ATTCCCATCCGTCTCATGTCTATGTTATTGTTCCTGTGGCAAACAAATTAAACTGGCCATCAGCCCTACAACACTTCTGATTACCTCTGCTATAAATGAGCAGTGATTCTCAAACCGAGCAGTAAAAAAAAAACTCAAACTCCAAAGAGGCAATTACAGCCACAGACATGAACATCAGCTCCATAGCACCATCAGCCCCGAAGCACAATCAAACACAAACACAACCCACTTACTACAACAATACTTCACATTTAATCAGTGGCTTGGCATCGCAGCTACACTATGATGCAGTGCTTGTAATGCAACACTGACAGGGCTGTGTACACCCAGCAGCTGACGTGTCACCAACACCTCAGCATAAGGACTAAGACTGTTTCCGAGCGGTCGAGATGACAGCAGCATTTACTTCGCTGATATTCTGGGACGTGAATCCACCTCTGAGGCAATACCTGGAGTCCAATTATAGCTGTTTACTGGCCTAGTTTGTTGCATATCCACACAGTCATCTACCTTTCAACACTATTCTCAGTGTCTTCTATTTCATAGCAACTATCAACCCTTAGTGCCATGCAATCTAACAACACATCGAATGTTTGGTCAGTTTACGATTGTAGCTTGTTTAAAGTCAGGGAACTAACACCATCATTCAATATTTTTAAATAACAAACTGTCTTATTGCGAAAATCTGAGTTGATTTATTAATGACGAATAATGATATGCTATGGTTTCATATCAGTAATCATTAGGTAAGAGGTGTCAGTTTTGCAACGAAACACCCAGATGTGAGTCTTCAACACTCAAGAACAGAAACAAACTGTAATTTGAACTTCAATGCCTCACCACTGCACAACCATGACCACTTTAACAGGTCAAGCAAATCATCTTTCCACTGAAGTCAACGCTGATGGATTAGCAAACACTGCGAGAGTAAATGTTAATATTGGTAGAGTCAACAGGCAAGGTGACAGTCTGAATATGCTTAAGTCATTTCCCTCTAATAACAGCCAAGGAAGTGCATGTCTGCTTTGCCAAATGGAGCAAATATGCAACTGCAGTTTTAAATGTTATGTTTTGATGTATTACAGCTTCTGCTTTAAGCTATAACTATTTTTAATCAGCTACAGTTGTCAGGTTCTCCACCCTTTACTTTTGTTTCACCCACACACGTTGCAAGTTTTGTGGAAATGTGTCACCTACCATTTTACTCCAGTGATAAAACACTTGAAATAATTATGATAATAATAAACTTTATTTATTTAGCATCTTTCATATATGAAATACAGTTCACCAAAACACCAAAGAAGAAAGCTGATAACTGATGTAATATTAGGGCTACTCCTGATCATAATGGCAGTAACTCAACAACAATACCTCTCTAAAGTTTGCTAACATCAGCTAGCTTTAGCCACCGTAAGCTAATGGTCATACCAGACCGCGTACGGGTGTAGCAGCTTTAAAATCGTCTTTTTGCCATGAACGTTTATAAATTCTAGCAAACCTTGCGTCAGAGGGAAAAAAAATGTGTTGGGAACCCTGTGTACGTTTGAGTTGACTCTGCACAGAGTGCAGAAGGTCAAACTGTCACTGACAGTCCAAATGAACACAGGACACAGCCAGTGATGATACAACTAGTCTGTAATGAGGTCAGGTTGGTCAATAGCCACCATAGCAACAAGTTCAGTGGTGCAGAGACAATGAAACATGGCTACTTGGTTTGACGAACTAACCATCTACTGTTTTTGCCGCAAAAGATCTGGAATGCAGAATATAAATACAAACTTTAGCTTTTCAGTCATCATTTCTGGGTGTTTCTGTCCTGTCAGAGGGTTCAGAAGTGTCTACAAACACCATCATAGAGGACTGAACCAAACTGTGCCATGGTTTAATGATGTCAACAAGTTGATCTTTTTGGATTATTAGTCTGGCCAGGACACAAACAATCGGGGATGCAGGCGACTGTTCCAGTAGAAGAGTTTATTTTTGGCCCTGACAGACGCGTATGACACGACTCCAGATAAACTCCACAAACCCAACAAATCAACGCTGTGGCACATCAACAGCCCAGCTCATTCAACAGTAACACTGTCTTCACTACAAGCTGGGTCAAGCTGGAAGGTACAGAGCACTAGCAGCCTGTGGCGGTCTCATTTGTTGGGTCTTATGCTGAGCCTTAAGATGTCATTTTCCTGAGCTGATGGAAAGAAATCTGGTGATAAAGTGAAGTAATTGTGCTTTTTCAGTTCAATTTCACATGCAAACATTGCAGTATAATAATGTACAACTACCTCACCCCATTGACATCTTACTGTATTTATTTATTGACTAATCTATTGAATATCTGTTAAACTGTTTGATTCATTTGATCAATAAGTCTGTTATATTACAAATGTGTCAGCTTATTTAATTTGAACAGCCCAAAGCTGTAAACGGACCAATTTCAAAATTACATTAAATTTTATCTGCCTAATGTATTTATTGAATAATGGTTTAAAATGTTTTTATTAATTGATTGATTTATTTATTCTTTTAGCCTATGCAGACAACATCACTAAGTCAACATGAAGAATGGGCTTTAGTGGCGAGTCAGTCTTACACAAGATTGGTTCTGCAGCTCAACATCTGTGTGATACTAATCAAATTAAAATGCACAGCAGAACAATTTGTTCTTGTGACCACTATAAATATCCGGTAATTTTTCATTTCTGATGGTAGAACAGATTAGAGGGACAGACGGCCTTTCAAGTCTACAGACTTGTCTCCCCACCAACATGATCGGCTCACACACACACTCAGACAACAGAGATGTTTGAGCAATTTTAGAGATGTAAGGGAAGGAACAGCTATGATATACTTTGTTATCTCTACAATAGGGGTAGCAAGTGCATAGTTAGCATCACTCGCAGTCAGAATGGCCACGATTATGAAAATACCAGAATTTACCTCTGAGTCCAGCTTCACTAACAGCCCTAAAGTTGCTGTTGAAGAGTTCGCCTAAATGACATAAAACATACTTGGGCATAGTCGTGTAGCCTTGCACATTGTTTGGGTTTTATCTGCTGAGGTTTTGAGATACCCGTCTCTCCCCTCCAGTACAATAGAGGCGACTGCTATTTTGTTTGTGCTGCTCAGAGCAGTGAAAAATGACATTGTGAAACTAGAGAATACTTCGCCCAAGAAAAAGTCCCACAGGAAACTGTCCACAGTGAGTAAACGTGACGGTTTCTGGAAAGACACACTGCTCGCGAGATTTTCAAATATCACTTTTCATTGCTTTGAGCAGCAGTAAAGGCATAAATCTCAGGGGCAGATATCTCAAAACCTCAGCAGATAAAACCAAAAGCATGTGCACGGGGAAAAAATTGGACGAACTGAAGCTGCAAAAACAAATACTTCACACCAGCATTCAAGTTATTCTGTGTGTTGTCATTTATTGTGGTATAATACTGAAAATCCATTTGAAATAAACAGCCATAAAAAATATGGACACAGGGCTGGTAACACCACACCCATCTACACTTCCAACCAAGAAGGACAAACAATACATTGTGTGTGTTTCTGTGTGTGTATGTCTACATGTCTGCACAGTCTGTATTTTCTGACATAGCTCGAGTGCGCGCATTCATTTGGAGGCTATTGCTACATCTCAATGCACGATTCACAAGCGCTTAGGTCTACGCGTGCGTGAGTGCATGTGCGCGCGCGCGTTATCAGCAGGGGCTCCACTTCACTCAAAGAGCAGTGAGGCCAAGAGTCTCCAAATGCGGTATGACTCACAGAATCTGCGCGCGGGCTTGCTGGAGTGCGTGCGTGCGTGCAGCTTGCAGCAGTAGTGAAAACCTCTCAGTGGAGCTGTGTGTAGACTAGGGAGAGGTGTGCGTGTGCGTGTGTGTGTGTGTCCTTGGTCTGGCACGACACACTGAGTCAAAACATTTCCCCTCGCGCGCCAATAAGATATTCCATAAGGGAGAGTCTTAAGAAAGCATCTTTTCAGGGCATGTTGTATCCGAGCCAGCACAGGGCCATTGAACGCACACACAAGGGGACACACCTCCATTTGACATTGACAAACATTATGCACCCTTCTCTGGTGCGCCAAGAGCCCAAATACCCAAATACCCCCCACCCCCACAAATCTAACTACCTCTTTCTCCCAGGAAGAGACAAAAAAAAAACAACCTTTCTTTGAAACCATGAAAATGCCACTGCTGCAGCAGTGAGGAGAACAGTTTTAAAACAGCACAAAGGAAAAGCAAAGATGCGCCTTTCGGCTGAGAGACAAGACACGGATGGAGCACGGAGGGAAGAGGGGGTGGGGGGTCAGGTTCGTACACACTATGATTCAAGTTCATGCAGCACGGGGATGTCAATACTGGCCTACATTCTGTCTGCGGGAGATCTGAGCCGTGCCATTGAGCTGTCATGCCTGGGTAGCAGGAGGGAGGTGTGGGGGAGGAGGAGGAGGAGGAGGAGGAGGGGGAGCGGAACAAAGACCCGCTGGCGATGCCACATGTGAGCGTCAATAACTCGCACTCCCCTCACTCACACATACTCTCCCAACGGACTCACGTGCACGCAATAAAAAGAAGAAAAAGTTTTTTTTCTTCTATTTGTGCGTGCAAGCAGATATCTAAATGCTAATGCCTTGAGCTGGATCTATTCTCTATTTATTTTTTATTTCTTTCTTTTTTTTTTTGTTGACAGGCGAACCGAGCAGCGTGTTTCAGGATTCAATCAAGGAGAAAACACGGGCTGGGGGGTCACTGATTACTTTGACATGGGTTTGTATTATGCATGATTAAACAGAAGGGTCCACCTTGCATCCCTGCACATACACAACTCCACCGAGAAAAACAAATCACCCCCCCCCAAATCCTTCACGACTGTTGAATGAACAATGACAAATCTATACAGCCTACTTCCGACTTTTTCCAGGACATAAAGAGCTTAACACTTAAAAATAATAATAATAATAAAATAATGAGGATAAAGGATAAACTCACCTTTCAGTCTGCAGATGGGAATGAAAAAATCTTCACACAAAAGCAGAGATCTCTAAAAATATATGGCAAGTCTCGCTCTCCACTTGCGCAATGTCTTCTCAGCTCTCTTCCCAGCCTGTCCCTCCAGTCTTCCCGCTAATCTCCTGTTATTTCACTTTTTCCTCCACCGCCTTTATTTTCCGCTGTTCCTTCTTCCCCTCTTTTTTCCCCTGTGTTGTTTTCTCTCCTTTCTCCAGCAGGAGGAAAATTCAGCACAGTGAAAAGAATATGGAGCGGTCAATCAAAAGGCAAGATGGAGCGATGGAGTTTTTAGGGGTAATAAAAAAAGTTATCACCCAATAAACCATCAGAAAATGGTAAAACTGGTTTGTTTTAGTCCAAACAGGTGTTGGGTTGTGTTTAACTCACCTTGACACGGCCACTGTTTGAACCAGACTAAATGCTGACGCGAAATCGGTAGAAAGTAGCGTGTTTCTCTTTCTCGTTCCCCCTCCCTCATCCCCTCCCAGATTTCACGTTGGTACGGTCCACTCTTGTTGAGCTTGTAGAGCCGAGCCTAACGCGCGAGCTTTTTTTCCCGCCTGGGCCCGAGCCAGCAGGTAAATAAACACACCTGGAGCTAAAATTCGGTCAGGAAGAGGAAGAAGAGAGGGAAGGTGGGAGACGTTTCGACTTCAAGGAGCTCAACACCGAGACCTCCATCCTGCAGAGGTCTGGTGGTCCGAAGTCCCCTGGAGGGATCCGAGTTTCACTTCACCTTCACAAACTTTACCATCTCAAAATGCCTGTGTAACGTGTCTTCCTGTTGGATCTGTTTAGGTCTATGTGGGGGGAAGCAGGTGGAAAACTAAGCAAGTTGATGAAATGGGATAAAATCGAGCATGTGTCATTAGAAAAGAAACTATTAGAAATAAAAAAGATAATGTGCTACATGAATTCACATTTTTAACACAGACCCTAAATTGAGTACAGTGGATACACTAGCTTATTTATGCTGTTTAGCAGGACTGTAGTGAACTGTTAGGGAGCCCTGGTGCAAAAAAAACTAAACAAACTCCTACTCTCTGTGCAACAGGAATGTACCCTAAACTGTCACCTATAAATTCCCTTTAAGTTCAATGCAAACAGCAGAGGACATGGCAGCTTCATTAACTCTATACTCACTGAGACCATGAAACCGACCAGTGCTGCAGTGCTGCTGGTCCCAGCTTGTCTGCGCTAATTTGTTGAAACAAAACTTGAATGTCAGACTGAAATAAATATTGATTGATAATGAAAGAGGTTGAAAATGGTAATTTTCTTTGCATATATGCAGATCTAAACTGCTATCCGCATCGCTGTCACTGACCTATATTGTGATCAGTTTTCAGATTAAACTAAATATTATGTTTAATATTAGGTTTCATCAGGCAAAAATAGGCATCTGTGTACATTAAGTTATTGAATTGTTTTTCTACTGGGATTTATTGTTGACAATAAATATGTAATGTCGTTTTGATATGTTTAATACATTTAAACAACTATTCAGTAATTTGTATTGTTTGAGTTTGTGGATATGTTTTCCATCCAACTTGCTCCTCCACTTTGGCAAAAGTTAAAAGAAACTCAAGCTTTATTTAGACTTTTGAAGTCTTAATATTTACTTAAATGTGGCTGAACAGATGTGGAAAGTTAATGTGATATATATATAGAGTAAATTTAAAGTATCCTAATACTGTAATATGAGACATACACGTAAAAGCTTAAGTATCTATAAACATTTTATTCTCTCCTGTATATCCAGCACCAATTCTTCCACATTAACCACGAAGCAGCCAACTTGCATAATGTTGTTTTCCGTGCCAGAATACATAATGAGCTCTTTCACAGGAGCAGAGGGAAAAATAAACATGACACATGTAATCCCAGCTGAAACTGTAAAGTACTGTACAGCAAACCCAGGGCAGAGCTGCTGAGAACCAGAACATCACTCATCAGCTCTGTGGTTATGCAAGTCAGGTCATAGTTTCCCCGAGTGACACACATAGACACACATCTGTATTGCAAATTGGATGACCACACAATTTCCTGTATGTGCTTCCCAACTGCATTTAGAATGGGAAAAGACAACAATATGACTGAAATATTCCTTTAGGGATTTATAATGAATCTATAGCGGTTATTACAGAGGCCTTATTTTTAGACTGCAAACATTTTGTTGTAAAGGATTTCTTACAGCTTTTGTAAATGCATACATTTTTTTAATCTTACCAGAAAATATGCTGGTACCACATTTGCAATATGAGGATTTTGTCGAAAAGTTGTTTAAATGCTACAAATCATGATGGTTTTCCAAAATTTCTAGCGAGCAAACTATTTCCTGTGGAAAAGGCTGCATTTTTTTTTTTTTGCAGTGGCTGGATTTGGAATAAAAACACGCTCAATATGTTATCTGCATCATAGCTGGCAGTTTAAAATCTCTCTGCGGCTCTAAATTAACCACCTTACATAATGATCCTCCAGACCGTGCTCCCGTCATGCTGTGGTGAGCCAGATATCTCTTCCACCCGAGCACACTGACGCACATTTTTAAACAAGTTACTGTGTCACTGTGAATTCAGTCTAAATGAACACATACAGTGCGAATGTCGTCACACTTCACTGGATTAAAAACTGACGAACATGCTGAAACTCCATCTCAGAAAGATCTGTGGTTTAAAAAAAAAAAAGGAAAAAAAAGAAGTCTTTTTGTTCAGCAGACTCCATCTAAAGTGATTTGTTATGTTACTTGCACCAGTAAAAGGGAGTATGTGCAGTGAGAGTTGCACACATTGGTCTGTGGCAACTGCTACAGTAGTTACAGTTATGTATCAGTGGTCACTGCTTATCTTGGCCCACCAGCTGTGCAGCCTGGCTGGATTAAAGGGCTTTCAGGTGACGTAACACACCCTCTGGTGGCCACGCTGGAACATCAGATTGTTGTTGTGGACAACACGTGATTCAGCATCCTCAACTGGCGTTTGCTGTCAAGTTTATTGCCAATTTCGAACTTCACGAAAACAGGGGTATCCAATCAGTTTGCATTTCTATCTATCTGTCTATAGAAACCGGTTTAGATTGATGTGCGTATGGGGATTATTTGTAATAACTCTGTGGTTGCCTATTCACGCGTATATTCACCTCCATCAAAAGTTCGTGTCAGCCACATTTCTCAAAACCACAGAGGGCCGTGCTATCATCGCCAGACAGCTGAAATCCGTTTGACAAGGTACAGTGAGGGAGAGCCCCCCCCCCATCTGTCCTGACCTCTGTGTGATCTTTGGACTTTAAATAAGACCTGGGCCAAGGCCACTGTGTGAACAATCACTCTGACGCAGCGGGAGGCAGTGATGGAGCCGCAGTACTCTTCCAAACAATATGTCTGTCGGTGAGGTCATGGCAGGTTGAATGGTTGATGAAAACTTTTCCCCCTCTCCACATCTATTACATCTACCAGTCCTGAATATAAAACATGTGTGTGTGTGTGTGTGTGTGCGTGTGGTCTGTGGGGTTTTATGGCACGCTTTGAGTCAGTCAATTGACAAATACCTTCAAGTGTAAACATGTCAGTTAGCGGAGAACAGGACTTTGTCTCGTTCGGCTGCCAGTAAAAAGGTTAGCGAGAGGAAGAAATTATACCCACCTACTGTAGTTCCATACAAAAACAATATGTTTGACACACAATCAATCACATGACACGCAGAGAACAATCAGCCTGGAAAAGTTTTTGTTTGTTTTCTGATAAAATATTGGCTGCAAAGCTACAAAGACAAGCCAACAGCTACATGTCGAGCAGGATATGACTTGTACTGGCGTTTCATGCAATATTATATTCAAAAAAAATGACAGAGGATCCAGTAGCTCCCATGGCACCCAGCGTGAGAAATTTGTATTCTAAGTATTGCATTTTGAAAAACTGTTTATTTCTCATTTGGACGGTTGATTGTGCAGGGTGCTGCTTTCACTCACCCTTCCATTATAATCATGTTCACCCACTGTGTCAATCAAAAGCCCGCCTGTGTGGTGTAATTCACTATAGTGCTGTTAAGATGATGAAATTTGAGCTTAAATCATAATTGAAGAGAGAGCCGTGGGAGGTTCAGGTAGCCGCTCATGTAATCAGCCACGGGGCAGGGTAAAGTATCTGTCACATGTTTAATTTCAGCAACAAATTCTGAACGAGTTCCAGGTCTGAACATTTACTGCTCGGTCTGTCTCACGGGATCCACTTTGCTCTCAGCTCAGGAGTTCTCAGTTTCAGAGAAATCCATCCACCAAAACACTTGACTAGCTATCAAAAATAAAAACTTAAAGCTTCAGTTTTTTTTTTTTTTTTTACAGTATATGTTTTAATACAACAGTTTAAACCTGCAAAACGGGTGTTTGGCCACTTGGAGGCAGCAGAAACAATCAGTAAACACAACACAGACATTTGAATTTGGTGAATTTACCCAACTAAAAGATACAGAGCAACATTAGCATTCATTTGGATTCATGTTTCTGGCCACCTGGTGAATGTAAATCTAATATTTACTAACCGTTTAGCTCAGTTTTTTCTCTCTACCGAGTCTTGATGGAGCTATCTGGCTCTTTAGCAGCTAAATGCTCCACTGCGATCAAGCTAACTTTGTCTGATGGCCATTTGGCGATGGACTGGCAGTGTACAGTGGAGCTTTTTGTGATTCTTCACCCGTAAACGACTGCATCCAAAAACACAGCACTGTTGAGTTCGGTGAGAAATTTATTAAAACTGTAAAGCTGGGGGCCAGAAAATGAAAACAATTAGCTGAAAGATGCTACAAATGTCCGTACAGCTGAGGACAGGAATGGTGGACCTCGCCACTAACAATCAAAACTATTATACTGAGAGGTAATATTTGAACAGAAAGTGACTGAATGACAAAAGATGGATGTATAATGTAATGAAAATGTTAAGAATAATAAGGTTATGTAAATATTTATCTCAGTAAATGACAAAAAGAGCAATTTCAAAGTCTTTTTGTAGTCAAATAAAAAAAAACTAAACTGAATGAGCCCTAGAAAGAGTAGAACGTAATGTCCCATGTTATTAACACCAGAAACATTCCCGACCTCTCCATAGAAACGACCATGTATCCTTCATGTCTATTTATTAACAAGGCAGCTGCTGCAAAGATGTTTCTTCCTTTGTGCTAAGACAGATGGATGCCGATGAGTCCAGCATGTGCTCCCAGGCCTTCATCTCGTAGAACTGAAGCAGGCGTCTCCAAATACGGGGCTTTAAAAACCTGAAGCTCATTATTCGAGAAGAATCTGCTCTGTTAAAGTCCGTGCTACGGACTCTTAGTCCTCCTCACACGATCACAGCGAGCTCAAAATCTGTGAACTCGCTGTTCCTGTTCCACACCACAATCAGCAGCACCCTCGGCCTCAGGGTGACAATCACCTTCATCATCATCATCATCATCATCTACTGATCTTCTTGAGCAGTGTTGCAGATGCCGTGCGCTCTTTACAGGTTAACAATTGCATAACCCAAAGATGAAAGACTTCAGTTTGGTTCCATTACTTTTAAATCTTTCATACTTTTTTTTGGGAGTGATAGGAAGAACAATCAGCGACACCGAAGCCTTTGATCCTCTGGATTTTCAGATTTTAACCGTCCAATCAAACGCCTGTATCTTCAGGTCACAAAATTTAGCTGGCTGTAAGTGTGTGTCTCCTCCATCCTGGCTGTTTTGGGGAACTTGAACCACACAAACTTATATCTCCTCCACCGTCATCTCCTCCATTTTAGCTCCTCTTCAGCAGTTCTGTTCCTTTTGTCCTCCATCCGCCCTTGTTTCGTATAAAGCTCTTTGTGAATAGTTTCTTTGATCCGCCCGTCTCTTCCTCTTCTCTCGATGAGTTCAAAACCGACTGGATGATAGTGCTGCAGCTCCAGTTGGTCACTATGTGGCCCTCGTCGGGTAAACCAAGCTCCTTTTAATCACTGTAGTTGACCCCATGACCCCATCTGCCCTTCATATGCACATGTACAATCACACACCCAGGTCCTCCTCCCCCTCTTTTACCCACCACAGCTGACCTCCTGCTGGCAGCAGTCCACCAGGGTTAATGCTGATGGCTGGAAAAAAAAAAAGAAAAGATCAGAGTGGAAGAAAACCTCAACACAAATGTTCCAAAGCAAGTCTGTTTTCTAGTAAGTATGATTTAACTCTCACTTGATGCATATAACAGCTTACACATGGCCAGGCCATACAATGTGCTCCACAGAACGGAGTGAAGAAGCCCTGAGGAGAAATCAAGGTGTAAGTTGTTTTTTGTCTGAAATCCGTCTTTGAATACCCTCATTTTCACCGTCAATGACACCCGCTAACAGAGACTTTACTACACAGTAACCTTTGCCTTTCAGGCTGACACACTTATCCACAGTGATTAACGTTGTCCACATTTACAGACCTACATTTAGGCCAGCCCGCACCCGTACGCACACCACACTATGATTATGCTGGTGAGATTATGCTCTTAGCCAGAGTGAGTGTAATTGCAGCAGCATATTGTCGTTATCGGGCAAAAAACCTCAGATCTCTGGTTTCAGTGATTTGCACGTTTCAGATTATCCAGAAGGATTTCCTTTTCATTTTGGCGCATAAAAGCTGTTCAGAACTCCATAGAGAAAACATATATAAAAACAACTGGGGAATAAAGGTACAACTACAAGTTTTTAATAGACCAGCCACAAGTTTTACTGCATATTCTGAGCTAGAGCATATTATTAGGAAAGGTGTTATTAGGAAACCTTTCTGTCTTTATAAAAAAGCAGCCCCCCTAGTTGGGGCCCATGTGTTGTTCCACCGAAAACACCTTTCCCCTCTTCTCACTCGGTTCGATTGAAGTGCTTGTCTGAGGCCCAAAAAGGTCAAACCTGACAACACTTTATATAAAGAAGCAAAGAAAAGAGAAGAAATTAGAACAGATTTGTGTATCAGAATTTAGTTTTTCCTTCTTTTCTAGCCCATTAATCATCTCACAAGTTAGTTCGTTTTTAGTAGAGGATCTGAGAAGCTCTTCCGCCAATGTCATGTACTTGCTTTAAAGGTGAACCAGAAATAGACACAGAAGCAGCCACTGAGATGGGAGATAATCATTGTGTTCCTGAAGGACACTTTGACTTGGCACGTAGTCCCCTGATGGACACCTTGTTCTGTTCTCTCATCGATCCTGTCACCTGATATTGAGACTCTGAGCACACCAACAACACCGACAGAGGCTACCGACCATGTCTCACTGTATTATTACCCCAGAACGTTAAACACTCCATCTGGTCTCCATTTGGGCTTAAAACTCCGGTGGAGGTCTTTCCTCTCAACTTTACCTGACACAAAAACAAAGGAAACAATCCAAGAGGAAATAATAAAGTTAAAGTATAAAGATAAATAGAGTAGTAAGTAGTAGTAAGACACATGTGCACAAGTACATTCCAGGTGTTTCTGTGAATTGCAATAAATAACAGGGAACCACAAACTGCATTCTTATGTAACAGGCAGAATTTGCAGTGAATTACTTAATATTATGAGCTGTGGTTTTATGTGTTTGTGGTTTGCACACCTCCTTTTCACTTACAAAAATATGCGCGCGCACACACACACACATTTTATAAAGAGTATACAGCATGTGTTTTAGTTCACAGTTTTGTACACATTTGAGTTTACTTGTAGGCTCAATAAAGTCTTACAGGTGCGTCATCTAATTTGACTATCATGACAGCAAAATATAAAAGAACTTTACAACATCAGGCGACTGTTTCCTTTCAGTTCCATAAATGAACCTTTTACAATTTGCTGTAAAAAGTATTTGATAATCCGCATCTGGTCTTCATCTACTTTTTCCAACTTTATGGAGTTGTCAACATTACTGGAAACCAGAACAGTACCTCTGCGCCTCTCGGCTCCCCTCCGTGTGAGCCATGTTTTATATCTTGGAAAACTGAAGTCCAAGTTTTAGAAATCACTTTGCCAAGTAAAATATTCAAGAACAAGAGAACAAGAGCATGTTCCTTGAGACTGGAAACAATGGGGTTTGTTGAAAATGTGGTTTTAATTTCCAATCAGTCCACTTAAATAAACACCGTCTCATTTATTTACAGTTCTTACTGCAAGGGCGGTGCAATTAATTGGACAATGGCACTCTGATTATTGCACCTTTACGTGCCACATGTTGGTTCATTATTCTGATTAATTTGCACTTTGAGTATATGAGGTGAAAAGGTGAAGATGCTTATTTTCTATCTGTTTACCAAGAGCACAGATCAACTCCGCTGTGCATTTGAGGTGATAACTAAGTTCACAGTCAATGTCACTGTCTCATTATTTCTTCTGTCATCTGAGATGTACCGAAGCCAGCGTTCTTGCTAATTTGACCTGAGCTGATGGAACTAATTGGCGTCTGGATCATTATTATTTTCATCTTTTACTTTGGCGTCATGAAGTTATTGTCACATGAAGCGTCTAAACCGACAAGTTTTCTCTTCTAACACATTATTCTCATGTTACAACCCTCCCTCACCTCAGCCCCCGGGTCTGTATAAACCTGCCTACCACTGGCTCACACACACACAGACACACACACACACACACAATCTTATACACAAGCTCTGACTTGAATGCACCGCTATGAAGTCTTGATGAAGGACAAGTGGATTTGTTTGATGCTCAGAAATCAAAAGAAGATCAAAAATAGCTCCACTGTAGCGTTCAGCAGACGTTCCTCTTTAGCGCCGTCTGAGCGAGTAAAGAGGCTTTGGTGAGAGTTGATGTTTGTGAAAGGAAGCAGAGCAGGGGGGGAGAAGAGGATGAGGGGGGGGGGGGGCGAGAGTGGGGGGGGGGGGGGGACCAGTAAAAGTTACTGCATCTCCTCTGGGATTATAGTAGTCCACTGTTCACTGTCAATTTCACTGATTATAGCAGCAAGAATTTATGCGTGTGTTCATGACTGGGTGTGTGCATGTTTGTGGGGGGATTTGAGACAGCTGCAGAGAAGGGGTGGGGTGGGAGGGTGCTAAGAGAGGAGGGGGTGCAGTTTATTTTCCTGTGGCAGTGGAAAAAGGGGGTGTGTCCCTGCATGCGATTGGCCCGGTGGGCCGATTCCAGTGTAAGTGACATCACAACTTCGTGCCTGACCTACTTAAAGTGGCCGTGACGTCACAGCTGTCTCTTTGGCTCTGTCTCTCTTTCCTCTGCCCCCTCTTCTTATACAATTCCTTTCTCTCCGTCTCTTTCCATCTTGGTCGTTTCTCTCTCTTCTTTCCAATCCCCATTTACTTCTTTTTTTTTTTTTAACATTTATCATCTCCTTTCCCCCTCATTATACAGAGGCAAACACACAGGAAAAGAGTCAACAAGGTGCGTGAGAGAGAGAATGAGAGAGAGAGCAAGGAGGCAGAATCATCTACCATCGCCAATAACCCAATTTCTAGAGATTAAAGCTATATTGATGAATATTAATGTGTTGGAAAGCGGCTCTGGCCCTGATGACATGACAAAACGAGACGGCAGGCTTCCGCCATATGGACAGAGAAGCTCTGTGGGACCAGAGAACTGAGAGATTTAGTGCTGTCCTTGGTGTTGTTGTTGTTATTATTTTTAGCACATATAATATTTGCATATGTACAGGGGTGAACGTAGTCAGTCGATATGTATTGCCAATTGAGTTTACATAATAAATTCATGATGCATATTTACAGTTATGTTATATACTGACTGTATAAAATTTCATCAGGGCATGAAAATATAAGGAAGGGAAGGGCGGTATTGGCCCCAGTAAAAACTAATGTGGCGACTTGCAGGTCAAAAGTCAGTGTTAAAACTTGGCTACATGTGGCTGAAACACGACGGGTTTTAGATGTGTGGGTGAAGCCACACTGGATGTTGAAAAAGGTGGCAGTTCAACTAAATTTACATCATCAAATCATTTCCTTCCGCGTTTGTTTCGACACATTTCACTGATCCGAAGAAATATCTTAATTCGCAACACGCGCGTTCATGCAAGAGCTGTGTGGGACTCACACACTGATCGGCAAATATCTACATGTAAGCGGAGCAGACTGCTTTTGTGAAACAAGCCCCGTGTAGGTCTTTTAAATGCTTTATTTTATCAGGCAGTCTTCAAGGTAATCAAGGTCTCCTTTTCCAAGAGAGAGCCTGGAACTAAAAAAACAAAAACAAAAAAAACAATTACAGTCAGGCAAGCTCGCAATCAGCCTGCACACAACAAACAATCAGGCAAATAGAGCTGATTAAAACAATTACAAGTCATAAAACGTCTGTAGGGTGATTGCAGGGTATTTGAAAAGTTTTGGCCTCTTTAGATGTTTTCCTTTCTCCACGCAACCTCTACTTTGCTTCTAGGTGTGTAGAACCTGAATCCAGTCCTCTTGCAGTTAGAGCTGGTGTGCTATACTAAATATATGAGACATCTAGGTTAATTTATATACCTAAAAAAAACAGATATCTATTGACCTGTAAATCCCCACTTTGACCAAGTTGTAACATTCAAAGGCAGCTTACATTTTAAAGCGTCACTACCTCTGATCCTGTTATATAATGTATATATGGTAAACGTCCATTTTGCATAATGAGAACAGAGCAAACATTGACATTACATCTCTCTCAGCAAGAATAAAGTTATTTCCAACAATATGCTTATTCGCTTTGAAGAAAGATTTTGAGGATGTGTTTCTGTCTGTATTTGTATTTTGTATTTGTGTGTGTGTGTGTGTGTGTGTGTGTGTGTGTGTGTGTGTGTGTGTGTTCTCAGGCAGCAGCAGCACCAGTGTGGTGTATAAACGTATTACGGTGAAAAACAGATCTAACGGCAGATTTTATGTTGCTGAACACAAGCAGATTATCTGTGAGAAACAGCGACGGCGAGGACTGATCACCGCAGGGTCGCTTCATATCTGAGGCTACAGTCACATCAGGCTACAATCGCTCCGCAGTGAGAGGGACGGAAGGAGGGATGGAGGGAAAAGAGGGTGATAGCGTTTAATGGTTAGAGACGGGGGACAGGGGGACAGAGATGGAAGGAGATACGAGGGAAGCAACGCAGTGTGGGGAAAATTAAACGATGGTGGGACACAGGGAGGAAGGGTGAAGAATGATGGAGGCATGGAGGGCAAGAGCATTAAAAAACAGAGGGAGAAGAGTAAATAGAGAGGAGATGTTCAAAGGCTTCACAGATTAAAGAAGATAAAGGAAAACAGAGAGAGGGGTGTAGTCAAAGAGAAAAGAGAGGGAGGGAGATAATCCAACTTTTGCTGAACATGGCCAATGGGAGAAAAAAAAAAAAGCAGCAGGCAAAACAGCCTCAAGCGACAATTCCTCCTCTCGTCCTCCTCCTCCTCTTCTTCTTCTCTTCCCTCTTTGTGTGCGGTGGAAAACCCTCTTTCTCTCATTTATATTCACACCAGCTATGGGGCTAGTCACAGGGCAACCACTGCACAATACTGTTCAAAACACACACACACACACACACACACACACACACACACACACACACACACACACACACACACACTCCCGCAAACACACACTGGTACAGTCGGGCTCCTCTTTGTGAGGCTAAATTAAGTGCAGCCAAGTGCAGCCACGACAGGCTGAACCCAGAGAAGAAGGACTTTCCATTGTCTCAGTCCGGTCTGTGTTAGATGTTGTGGCAGCGGGGGACAGTTTTTGTCGTTCAGTTTCCACATTCTGTGTGCACTTGCAAAAAAACAAAATTTGTTTTGCTCAGCAGTGACCGATGAAACGCTTACTCAGTGAATAGATCAGTTAATCAACACAGGAAAAAAAAAAGCCTGTTATTAATTGTTTGCTCCATTATCGAGCAACACTGGAAACCACTGGCAACAAACTTGGGGATTTTCTACTTTTCTTTTTTTTTCATTATTGTAAATGACAAATCTTTGGTTTGGGACTTGTTTTTTGGGGGATTTTATCACATTTTATTGACTAAATGAAACTAATAATTCATGAAAACTAGAATTACCACCTCACCTTTATCCAGAATCATACAAAGTATAAACCGTCTGTATGAAATTCTGTCGTAATTGCTGAGTGAAGGCTTGAGTTGCGGCTTAAAAAGTGACACATGTCCCATTTCCATGCCACATCCACAAAGACCGACCTCACCATTATTCACCGCAATCAGGTGAACTTCTACCAACACTGTCCCAAAGCTACTGTGGCTCAAGTGCAGCCATCTGGTGCTGAACTCCACGTTTGCATCACAGCAACGAAACCGAAATCCAGCAGCACTGGCCAGAGCAGGCACACACGTGTTGGTTGGTCTGTGCCAACACTTGGCCAACATCAGCCCGACCCCGCTGAGCGCTCAGGCTGTGATAGAAGAATCTGGTCAGTTAACCGACAGCTAGCCGTAGTAAAAGCTCTACAATTTTTAATGAAGTCATAACTTGGTGTTTATTCAATCTGTTCTTTAATTATATAATTATTCTGATTTAGCAAGGAACATACTGTATCATACTGATCATGTCAATTTTAGCTTTTATTATGTAAAAAGACTATATTTCATAAGTTTTTAACAACTGACTATTGATTGTTAACATGGCTATTGATTAAGGAAATTGTTTAGAATTTGCATTCCCAGTAACAATATTGATTTTCAACTTGACAGAGAGATAAAAGACGGAGATGCAGGTCACTACAGCATGTGGGTGTGTTTCTCTAAAATACCATGAACACAAGCAGCTCCAAACCAAAACAAGCTTGTTACCATAGGATCCACAGTTTTACACTGTAACCCCTCCATGACACGGTGTCAGCAGACAGCGCATCAGTAATTACTACAGTTAACAGATGGGGAATTAACACACACACACACACACGTACAGTCGGATGCTTTGTTTGAAACTAAACTGAAATACATCTGCAGGCAGCCAACTTTTCTCTTCCTATGTTTAACTCGTATTTCATTCTGTGTTTACCCAACTCTCTCTCTCCCTCTCTCTCTGTTACACACACACTCATATGAACACGCTCAGATTCTTCTGAGACTCACACTCACATAGGCTCAGCTACTTTTATAGGTCTCTTCCATCGTGTCTTTGTTTCACGCTCCGTCTTCCTCACAGACACACTCATTCACACAATGAGCTCCCAGCGGCGCTGATCACCCCGGAGGCTTACAGCTCCATTCCTCTATCTCTCCTCGTCACCTCTCCCCTCCTTCCTCTCCCTGCCTCTCGACCTCTTTGCAGCCCTGCAGTACTCCTTTGCTTTCATCTCCCTCCTCCCCTTCCTTTTTCACACCCCTCTCATCCCTCGCTCTCCAATTCCTCTCCCTCCGTCTCGAGCCGCGACCTCTCGTTGGCTCAGATTATTGCGTCGCTTTTATTTTCCATCCCAGCTTCACCTCAGTCTTCACCCACCTGTGAGGCTGCATCGTTCATGTTCATCATCTGTTCGTTTTTATTTTTACCTCTGATGTTTGGACTGTTGCAGAAACTAAAATTCTCCATCCATTTCTTTATGTTAAGCAGGTTGATGGTACAAAACTACATCACTAGTGCTTTGCCATTGTTTCAACATTTTTAATGCTTTCACATGAACATTTACAGTAGTTAGGACCCGTGTCATGCTGAAATATAATTTTTTAAATAGCTGTGACTCTGTTTCCAGTATTTGTGCTAAGCTATGCTAACAGGCAGCCGGCTGCAGCTTCATGCATAGCTTCATTCATTTACAGCACAGACATGACTCACAGCAAGAAAGCGTTGAGAGAAAATGTTGAATCACTACTAAGTTTTAGTTTTAAAACTTTAGGTGAAGCTATTTGTAAGTTTTGTTATTGGTACAGAGCCAGTGATAGCATTAACAGCTGTTACAGGTTATGTCCTCTCAGCAGCACTACTTCTTTGGCGCAGACTGGACGCTACGGTGACTCGGTATCAGAAAGTGATGAGACAGTCCAACCGGGCCTGGGCTAGCTGGTTAGCATGCTAATTTCAGTAGAAGAAAAGAAGCGATAGAAATAGAGGGAATTGCATTCCGCCACTGGAGACAGCTCTTTGTGAGTTAAGGAATGAAGTTTCTCATAAGGAAGAGCTACAACGTTAGAGCTACAACGCTAATGTAGCAATAGCAAAACTTACAAATAGCTCCTTTAAAGTTGGAGCATGCCTATGGTGAGGGCTAATTTGGGTTCTGCTGGGTTAAGTTTAGGTTCTGAAACCAAGATGTTGGAGCCACCAGTCAAAGTACCAAAATCACAACATGTTTATTTCTCGTTCTTTTTATGTTTAGAGAAAGACTTCTCATGCACAAAGTATTTACTATATAAGATATCATGCAATTTCAGGGAAACAAAATTGATGTTAAAGTGATGACAATTTTTTGTTATTCTGACAAGCTGCTCTCACATTTAGACTTGTCACAGCAGGGAAAACCACAACAAGGCCATTTGGTGATGTTATTAGCCACACAGGTGTAACTAATAACATTATTAATGGCTTAGCCACATTTACTTGTGCCAGCTGAGCCAGCATGCACAGCCGGCCCAGCTGGCACACTTAAATGGAATGCAGCCATTGTTAATGTTATTAAAGCTTTTTCCTGTTGTGACAAGACAAAATGACCAACACGAGGAAGGACTATTTCAGACTCAATTTGTTGTACAAATCTTGCTTCACTGCTTTATCTGAGCAGTTAGAAGTTAAGTGGTTTGCTGATATAAATGAGCTAAAATAGGAGCATGTCAGTCATTTTGATGGTTCAATTCAATGACCTTTTGATTTCAGGCCTGCCTCTCTAACTAACGCCCCATGCGATCATGTGGGTTCACGCTTTAACTTCAAAGCTTTTAATTGATTTGAAGACTATGTCTGTCCATATACAATAATGTGTTACACAACTATGTGAGCCAAGAGTTTGCATTCACACCACTTATATGATCTGTGTTAGAAATGAGAAAGCGACTCATTGTCCCGACTTCCGCAGGGAGTTTTATGGCTCCCTTAAAAATGCTGTCATTCATTGCAGAGAATAAGAACGGTAGTGTTTCAGGCCTGTTGTGGAATGTGGCTTGATGTTCATTTGATAATCAAAAAGTACGCCTATCCACATAGTCTCTTGGAGGCGTGGAATCTATCAATGAAAACCTCAAATGTGATGCTAATAAAATAAATGGAAGCAGGTCTGATAAGCTCAAAATGCGCACATTTCCAGTATTTTCTAAGAAGGCAATAAAAGATGTTCTTCCAGTGAAGCTGTTGCGTAAGAACCACCAGCGCTCAGACAATGTTTTAACTAAAAGGTACTTGTGCTGCAATCACTCACTTTAACTGCTACACATTCTTCATCCCCTCCAGTGCACACCACAAAATCTTTTCCGCTCTTCCTGTCATCTCTCCATCTGTCAGCTTTTCTTCCATCTGTCTCCCGTCTTCTGCGGCCTGTTCAGCCATCCATCCATACTCTCATTATCATCCATGCCCCTCTGCCTGTCTGTCGTCCCCTCCTTAATCACAGTTCACCATGAAGACTGCTGCTTATTGATTAGTTATCCCTCTCTTCTCTTTGCATTCCTCTTTAGTCCTGCCAGCTCTTTGTACTTGCATTCATTACCGAGCTCCAAGGCCTCAGCAGACTTCCAGCAGGATAATGTATATTAATAAGGAAGCTGTGTATTGATGCAGTTTGGTCACTGGTAATGAAATTGCAGACTAACAAGCTTGTCCACTTAGATTTATTTTCATTCTTCCTTTCCATGTCTAGCCTGTGGACTGAATCACTCACTCTTCCGATGTGTATTTTGTTAGATTTAAGAAGTAACTCACTTACCTCGGGTGATATTCAGTCATGCAGATTGTTTTGGTCTGGGTCTGTATTTTGAGACAGAGAATTACAAACTGTGAGGAGGTTTAACGGGGTGGGTTGCACGGAGGGAAAGACGTAAAGCAAACTGAACTGCTGAGGTGAACGGTACTTAAAACTCTTGTAGCCCGATTGCCTCAATTTACGTCAAATTGCATATTCCTTTTCAGAGAAATAACTCAGTCAGATCTTAAGACACAGACGCTATACACATATTTTTGAATTCGGTATGACTTACCGTTTCCGAGGACATCATTATATCCGATGTCCATCGCGAATAAACGTCCGTAAAACTGATTCGAAATCACACAAAAAAAATGCGCTCCCTCTTACTCAAGGACTCGCCCGGGAATAATCACGTTTCTAAGTTTTCTTCAGTATCAAAATAATCCAGCGATACTTGTCTGTAAATCCAATGGTGCGCTGCAAACAGGAAATACTATTAGCTATTCCGGACGTACTTTTGATGGTGCCACTTTGTCAGACTGTAAACAAATATAGGCTATAAAGGGTTCCACTTGTAGCCCACACTGAATCCATGGCAGCACAGTGTTTCCTGTTTTGATTTTCTAAAGCATTATGGGAAATTTTTGATGTTACAATTTTTTTTTTTTTACATTAGAGTAGATGGGGAAAATTATTTTTAACAAAACCATTAAAGATCAATAAAAACCTGGGGAATTAAAAGCATAATTAGATGCTTAGATGAATGTAAAGGCAGGGAGAAAGTGATCCAACTTCACGTCCAATCCAGCCTTAACCTGTCTGCTCTGTATTTAAAAGCTACACAGACTCAACATACAGCCTATGTCAATCACACTCTGCTCCTGTTACACAACCCATAATTTCTCACCACCTTTTTATAAAGCTCCACCTTAATGACACACAAGCCTTTCCCTGCACCTGAACACATCCATGAATGTTGTACCAAAATCCCATACAAGATCCAACTTGGAAAATATGTTTATTCACTTTCACCAGTGCAGCTGAATGACAAACAGAACATCAACAGAAACAGACAAACATGGAGTAGCACTGCATTACACAAGTCAAGGTCGATTAAGGTCGTAACACCTCTGCAACAAACAAAACTATTTTCAGAGTAATGAGGGTTTCTGTCGGAGCATTTGTGCAGTCCGACATGAAATTTTCAACATGCTCGTGTTATCTGACAAGCAGAGGGTGAGGATTTTCTGTGAAGGACAGAAATAAGTTATTATGTTCTTTTGTGTGGACAGTTGTTATGACACACTGCCATCTGCTGGTTAGGAGGCAGCTGTACAGCAGCTGGATCGGGAATATATTTGACATTTTTTTCAAGACGGAGCTTTGATCAAACCGTTGCACCTGAGCAATTTTTTTTTTTCCAGTTTTGTTTAAATATCAGCTTCTGCCAAATGATAGTTTGTTCAGTTTTTGGTAACAATTCAACACATTAATCTAAAATCAATAAATGATACGGGCTTGGTTTACATTGTTTCAATTTGTTTATACTGGAAATGTAAAACAGGTTAACTGAACTGACATTTTGTCTAAATGTAACACATCAGAGTTTGTTTTTATCCAGTGTCAGAAAATGTTAAATGTTAAAATTCAAATAAAATAAAACAGAAGAAAAAAAGTAAAGAAAAGTTATTTACTAAATCCGGAAACAACTTGACATAGTTATGATTTTGTGAATCTATGCGACAGAGGGAAATGTCTACAATACACTGTATATAAATGTCCAGTCAATTCAGCAGATATGAGCACATTGACCATTGTGTACAAGTCTGATGTGGAAACACAATCACACACAATAGTTTTGTGCATGTGTGTCAGCCTGCCTGTGTAGTGTTTATGACTCGTCTCCGTTGGCGCTATCACCGTCGTCCTCTCCTTCCTCCTGCTCGCCTTCCTCCTCATCCTCGTGTCTCCCTCTGCTTTTCATCTGCGCAGAAGGAAAAGTGGACAAGCAAAACACAAGTCACTGACTTCTTAGCTCTTGCTCTGCTTTTGCTCTGCTTCCCTCTCTCTCTCTCTCTCTCTCTCTCTCTCTGTCTCTCTCTCTCTCTCTCTCTCTCTCACTCTCTCTCTCTCTATCTCCTCATCCTCACTCCTCACCTCATTTTCGTCCTCCAGCAGATCTCCCTCGTCCTCGGAGTCGTTCAGCTCCTGGCTCTCTCTGTCCCGTTTCAGGCTGTCCTCCTTCTTGCTGGAGGTAGATGAGTGGAGCGGGGACACTTCACCGGGCTCTGGTTTGGAGCTCTTCATGTCTGAGTAGACGGTGGGAAAAATAAGATATTGTAGGTGAATGCTTCTCCTATATATCTTGATAGACCTGGAGGTCTATCTAAAATAAATAAATACAGTATGTTTTATTGGATGAAATTCATATTTTTGAAATCCGCATATGCCCCTTCATGACTCATGAAGCAGTATGAGTCACAGAGAAGATATTGTGACTTGTGAAAAGGGTGAGAAAAATATCCAAAAATGTAACTCCTGTTATACATTTGGCATTTGCTGTGATGTATTTTACTTCCTTTGTTCAAACAGTAACCACAAAGCTTATTAACAAAACCTTTTTCTGATTTATCTTTATCTCTGCACTCATAAGAAAATCCAACATCTTTGTTTTTATATAATTTTCTGGCATTATTACGATCTCAGGCTCACCGGACTTCTTGCCGTGGTCCTTCTCCATGCGCTCCAAGCTCTCCAGCAGGTAGTCCACCTTGTGTTTGATCTGTGTGAGCTCTCTCTTGATGGTCTGCAGATCGTCTACCTTCACTGTGGAGACAGGAACAGACATGAGACAAGACAGGAACAAGACATGAGAACGCTGACAGAGAACGCAGTATGGGGGATTGGGGGGGGGGGCATATTTGTACATGACAATATGGGACTTACTCGTACGTGAGTTCCTCTGGCTGCTTTTGGAGGAGGAGGAGAAGCTGGCTTTGGTTCGTCGGCTCCCTCCGCCGCTCAGACTGACCCTGGGGCGCTTTGAGGGGATGACGGCGCGGGACAGCGGCGGAGGAGGAGGAGGCACCCGGGACTGGTAGGAGTACATCCTGAGGTAGAGCCACAAAGAAGAATATTCCTTCATTATGAACAACTTTGTTTCAACAAGATATTTTCCCTTTTTGGATTTATTGACAACACATGCGAATTAAAACATGGAGACCTCAAATAATTGTATTGCATTAACCTATGTATGTGTTTTTCATTTGTATATTTATTCATTCAACCTTAATTTCAGCATTACATTTGTGGGAACCATACTGTCATTTCCCTTCCAACACTTTTTACACCTAAACCATAAGAATTATTAAACATTAAGTCTGAACAATAACCTTTATAACAATAGGCTGTTAGGTGATAGATACATTGATAAAAATATGAGCAATTATTCTAAAGACGCCTTACCTATCATAGTAATCTCTTTGAAAGTCATAGTCCAAATCGAAAGACGAACTGTGGAAAGAGCGGGGATGGAGCAGAAAGATTAACTTCAGCAACTTCATTCTGACACGACGTCTGACCTGTGTAGCGCAGTGTGTACACACCTGTACATGTCTCCCGCCGAACGCTTCACAGTCTTGGATCTGTGAGGCTTCGGCTCTCCTGCCAGGTTGATATCTGCGGGTGGAAAGACACTGAAGTCAAAGGAGGGAGCCAGAGCTGTCAGGAGTGGGAGAAAGAGCCTGAAACATGTTATGAAATTTCAATTAACACATTTCATCACTGCCACCCCTCCACCTGACGTTTGGTTATTTTGCAAGACTAACGACAGGCATTGCAAATCAGACAGCTGCTCACGTTTATTTTTAATCTGCTTGGAGCATCGAACAGATTTAGAACCAGAAACAGCTTTTTTTTCTCTGTTAGTTTCTTTAAGTTTCACTCCTCAAAATAATCCTTTAAAACACTCAACAACTGAAATGCTGTTGTTAAATCCCTCTTTTTAGCACTAGGGGGCAGCACATGGCTCAGCTGTGGCTCCAGCACTGCTGTGACCTTGAGCAGAAACAAGCAAGTATAAGAAATCACTCCATTCAATTAACATGATTATTCACTGCTGTAACTTCATCTTTTTCTGTACAGACACGAGAGAGCTATCGATCTTCCCATCTAAGTCTTGGCAGGAGAGAAATATAAGCATATTTACCAAAATATTGGAACTATTTGTTTAAGCTTAGGCAAGTAGAGCGAGTCTGTGGTGATGCCAAGCACCTCTGATGCTCACCAATTAACATGTGATATATTCTTTTTAGAGTGTACAAATGCACAAAGTGTAAAAATGTCTTGTAGTTGTTACCATGATGTTGCCATGCTGGCCAGGTCAGGTCAAACTACTCCTTTAGGAGAGACAGTAAACACAACCTTGACCTTGACCTGGACAAAATCACACTCACTTGGTGCTCTGAGCATCATGACATGAAGTCTGCATTCTGAAGTGCTCTTGGGCAAGATACTGAACCCCACAATTGCCCCCACTTGTGTGAATATGCATGTGTGATAGAAAAGCAGTGTGTAAATCTTGAGTCACAAAAGCTACATACCCATAACCCCCTCCACCTCACCTAGGACCTGTCCCACGATCATGCGGCCGTCCTCGCTGGCCACGGCGGCCCGGGCGTTCCTCTCATTGGAGTACTGGACAAAGGCGTAGCCCTTGTGGACGGAGCAGCCGACGATCTTGCCGTACTTGGAGAAGATGGCCTCCACGTCGGCCTTGGTGACCAGCAGGGTGTTGAGGTTGCCGATGAAGACGCGGGAATTGAGGGAGCGGGGGTCGGTCTTGTTGGTCACGTTGCTGCTGGCCATCAGGCTGGAGGTGGAGGACGACGACCAACTGGACAGGAGGGAGAGGAGCCGGGTGCAGAGAGGTGGGCATGGAGGATGGGAAGGGAGAAGAAAGGGGAGAAAACAGACATGTGATTGGGCAGAAAAGGTGGAGGGTATTGATGTTTAGGGAGACAAGAAGTGGCAGAAGAAAAAGAATGAGTTGATAAGCACATAGCGATATCTATATTCTTGTCTCTTACTTTACATTTAAGAGCTACACTTATGCTTGGAAACTCTCTAATGTGCGGATTATCTCTGCATCAAGATAAATAAATCCTTTTTCTCGCTAAATACTGTGACTGTGTGAGTGTCACATGGTGTAATAGCTTGACTTTTTATGCCTAAGATTTAAACTGGTATCCCAGATAAGTAATCCCAGTAATAATAACGACTAGCAGCCCAAAAGCCAAAAATCTCCAATTTACAATGATATAAAACAGCGAAAAGCAGAAAATCCTCACAATTAAGAAACTGGAACCAGCAAATGTTTTTCCTTAAATCAATGTATCTGTTGATCAACTACCGATTAATCACCTAACCATTTAGGCACTAATGACAGGTCAAAGCTAATTGTGCAAACACACCTCACGAATACAGAACACCACCTTGCACTCATCCTTTTATTAACTAAATGCTGTTGATGTGCGCAGATGTACAGTAACTCTACACTAACTCTAACGGTGCAGGTGGATTCAGTCAATGGGGGTGCTACTGTATATTTTACACACACTAAATGAGTGTTTGCACTTTCTGAAGGGAGACAGGAGCCTCTAAGAGCAGACATGAGAGCAGAATAGACAGTGTGATCGGGTCATGAAGCTGCCAGCACTCACTCCATTGTGTCTGTACTCGGGTCGGTGGAGGTCTGCCTGCCTGTCTGACTCTGTTGGAGAGAAGAGGGTCGTCGAGGGACTATGAGAGATGGAGTCAGTGACTGTGGGTTTCTGGGGGAACCCAAGAGCTGCTTAAAAGTTGGGGGGAGTGGCTGCAGGTCAGGAGGTGGTGGATAAAATGTTTAAAAAATTGGAGGTGGCCATAAAAAATTAAAATTAAAATTAAGAAAAAACCTGTGGGATAAATGGTGGATTGTTATGACAAAAACAAATAGTGCATTTAGACTTTTTTTTACTTTTAAATGATTCACTCATGAGCATGTGTAAATGTAATAACTAGGAAAATAAGAAACACCAACAGTGTCCTTACAGTAGCACCACTTGGATGAAGCTTATAATGTTCAGGTTTTGTTTTTTTTGCCAATATTAAATATAGATTTGCTTAGTGAATGACATTTGCATGGGTGCTGATGAGTGCAGAAGTCACATGACGACAACATCAACAGTGGTATCATTGCATACCTGGAGGCTCGTATCAATATTATGCAATAGTTCCTGAGCCTACTGGTACGATGACACACTTTTTATTTTGATCTCCTTGGAATCTCCTTGTAAATCTTTACAGATCTGCTTTTGGATCTTGTTGTTTGTGTTTCATCACCGTGACTTTTCTTCCTTGTTGCTCTACATCAGTCGAGAGTGACGCAACAGCAAATCAGGCGGCGCTTGTTGTAAATCGCAATTACTAAAAGCAGCATCAGGAGTGAATCGCATTAGCGTGTCATACAATTAGCAGCGTAAAGTGTGTCAGCTTTTAATACGAGCACAGAGAGGCCTCAGACTGTCGCTGAATTGCTGTTGCGTCAAGTCTACAACACTGCAAAGTTATGTAACATTGCAGTCTCACAAGATTATCACAGCAAGTGCCAAACTCAGGGACGCTTTTATTGCATATTTGTTAAATGAAGCCAGTGACTATGACTTTACAAATAAATGACCATCAATTTATTGTTTTGTGTTCCACCCTCCCTGTTTTCTTTTGCTAACTTTGTGGAAGTGTCAAGAAACATAAACCCCACCACAGGTAAACACCGGCTTTTCTCATTGACCTTTTGTGCGTCTACCTTGTGTGTTGTTGCTAATTCCCTCTCAGCCATTACCAAGCCGTGTCTCAGCTGCCAAAAAACGCAACGTAAACTGTAACCCGGCAGCAGCCTCTCCCTCTCTGGCCAGAAGCAACTAGCAGGGGATTACATGGCTTGCAGCAGAATGACTGGCCAAAAGCTTAATGCTCTGCTCTCCTCTACATGATTTGGCCGGGACGTTTCTGTTGCTTGGCAAGCTGACAGGGTGTCTACAACGCCGAGTGTATTCAGGAGGCAAGAGGGTGGGGGTGGGGGCGCCATCACAGGCTGCTTAGCAAATGTTTCTAAATCATTGTGGCATGTGGGGGAACATCCAGACTTTATGCACATACACTCCGTGTGATATGTTGCTGTTGGGCAGTAATAGAAAAACATTTTTATTTGAGAGTCTGGTATTACTGAACACTTACACACAGGGTGCAGAGGATAACAGTAACACCTGATATATAGCATCCCTGTGGGTAACAAAAATGGTGAGGCTCATGATGTTTGTATAGAGGTGTGAACTGTGACTGGTCATTTCTGAGGCTAGTCTAGTCTAGTTTGTAAAGTTGCTCAGTTAATACTCACTAACCCATAGCCACTGATTATCATCGACTTGTAAACACTAGTGCTGTTTAGCTAATGTCATTTTTCTGTGTTTGGCACATGCCCTCAGCTTCTTGGGACTTCTCTCAGTGCTATATGACATGATTTGGCACAATTAGAAACACAATGAAGTTAAAGTACCACTTGACAGTATGCATCAGCTTTAGTAAGAGTTTGGCATTCACCATGTTCATTGTGGAATTTTTTTTTAATTCATTTCTTTAGGCAACTTCCTGGAATAACAATAACCTCAAGAAATTGAACAATATAAGCTTCACAGAGGTGGTGTTTATAGCAGGGCTGTTATTTTGAATAGAGTTATACTGTAAAGTCTCAGTTAGGGGCTAAATGATGTTGATGTCATGATATTTACATTTTATAGCAGCAGAATCATTTCCTATCCTCTGCCTCATCCGGGCCTTACAGTGAGATGCTTATAATGATCTTTACTGGAAATTTAGTTTCATTTTGGCTAGTGGGTTCATAACAACAGATCAGTTATGTGAGATAAAGTCAGTTTTCTGTGCTTAAACTGTGAAAGACACTGCAACTGCAGCTTCATGTTTGAAGACAGACAAGATAGAATGACTGGCAGAGCACCTTCGCAGTGGAAACAGATGTGTCACATGTGTGCAGCTGTGCATAGATTAGTTTATATGTTTCGATACAGATTTCAGATGTAAAAATGAAGACAAAGATGCAAATAGGAATATGATCTTAAACTTAGTGGTAAAAAAAAATCTCAGTGTAACTAAAGATGGATGTGAAAAGAACAAAAGCACAAAAAACTTGTTTGCATTTCATAAAGGGATACACGTCATCACTAAATTTCATATTAGTGATTACTGAGTAAGTTAGTAATGAATGGTATTCAGTAGGCATGCTGATTTAATGGGCACAAACTTACTACAGGTTGTAATAATAGTGGCATTACTGTTATAATAGAGAGCAACGCCTCTTAAAGTGCAGGTAACATTGTTTTCATGTGAGTAATGGACCAGATCTGACTCCATCAAATGACATGCACACTCACAAAAGAAACAAAAATAAATAAATCACATTGCAAAGCAAAGGCAGAAAAAAAGAAGAAAAAATCTGGACTTTTTGCCTTTGTCAGTGCCAGTCCTTCATCCAAGGACTGTGCGCAGGAGAACGCTGAGGTTGTTCAGCAATTAGCTACAAATCAGGCCTCTAATAATCAATAATGAACGTTATGTTTTTAATAATCATAAAATCGGGAACATGTTTGGAAGTTCATACAAGAGGCCACTAGTGCCAAACAGTTTGAAAATGAAGCAGTTGATTTTCTAGTTTCACAGCACAATAAATAAAATAAATAAATAAATAAAAATGAAAAAAAAAACAAAAATAAAACACTACATGCTACTTGCTCTATGAAATCCAAAGGGGGAGAAATGGGCTAAATCACAAAGGGGTGAAAACAGAGGTGGACTATTAAAAAAAAAAAAAAAAAATGATGCAAAAGTTGAGGTGAAAAATAAACCAAAAAAAGGTTGAGACCAACTTACGATTTGCCGCTGTTCAAAAAAGTGGCTTCAAAAACTAAACAGGGGGAAACAAAAAGGTAATATTAGAAAAGAAACCCTTCTAAAATGAACTAGGACTGTTATTACAACAAGCAGGGGAGGAACTGGGAGGGCAAAGTATGAAAACTAAGTAAAAAAAACAAAAGACTTCCCAATTATAAATCCCCTAGCACACTCCCACTATGACCTGCTCTCTAAGAAATCACTGCTAAGTATCGAGTTATAGGTCAGATCTTATTTTGGCAGGGTCTACTTCCTCATTCACTAAAATGTTTATTCATTTTCAACTCAAACAGTAAAAGAATAGAAAAATTGTTTGAAATTGAATTTACAAACTGATGAAATAAAATGAAATCGTTTTTTGTTTGGCCCAACTGATTCAAAAAAAGTAAAAGTTAATAAATAAGAATGTTTTCAACACTGGAGTTATAAGTGTTTCCGGGAACAAACACTTAAAACTAAATGAATAATTAACAGTTGGCGGTCACATTGTATCATACTATTCTTGTACTGGTTTGTTTTACCTCTAATGCTAGAACTGATAGTTATTGCTATTTGATTATTCAGTTATTGATATTTAAACTACAAATTTGGTTTTACTTTTAAAAATGAAACCACTAATGCCGTGTCTTTTGCCAGCTCAGTTGATATTGTATAGCACTGCTAGGGGCTCGAATACCCATTCAAATAGTTAAGCAAAAGGAACAAATGGAATGGATTTAAGTATCAGAGTTTGTCTGTAAACCTCTACCTGCTTATTTGTCTCTGACCTCTACAGATATGAAAACTGACATTAAACAGTATAAGCAGAAGACTATCAGACATTGGTGTCAGCTTAAGTGCACAGCAGAGCATCAGTCTGGGGGAATAGGTGGCCACCCCACTCTTTCCTCCTGCCTGCCCTCCTTGTGACAGGCCAGAGTAAAGGGTCGGCTGCAGAACAGCGCCCCTGGAGCCTGGAGGGACTCCTGCTCAAGGACACTTCCACACTTCCAGAGGACGGTGTAGGGTTTACCACACCAAGTGGGGGGGGGGGGGGTGGGGGGGGGGCTACAGTAGGGGGGTAAAACAGGGAACTTACAGTTTAGGGGGCCATCATCAACTGGAAGTCTACCCTGCCTTCCCACTGAAAACTTTGTGGCAGATTAGATTAGGAGCTTTTTACAGACATGAATACAACTGATCAGTCAGAAAGCACTAAAATTCAAGAAAGTATCAGAGCAATTTTGAGGTGTTGGCCTGACTACAGCTCATTGCAAGCCCCTCTGTAGGCCCTCCTCCCGGTTCTAAGCAGCTCCACAATGCAGAATAAACTGCTACTGAATGAATAGGTTTCTCGATATGCAAATAAACTTTAATGATTATACCAGAATTACTAAATGCACAAGTTATGTCGCACCAATGCTACAGAATTCCCAGGTACATGACTGCACAGTACATCAAAACACCGTTGTGTTAATGTTCCGTAAAAAACGCACCCACTTCTCCTTGGGGAAAAACATCTTGCCTGAAAAATTACATCATTCCTCAGAGATTTGCTGCAGAAAATATACTGTCTCAGCACTGCCAAAATCACAGAGAAAACAGGAAAAACAAGTCTTAAGAGTCAATGTCAACCACTGCAAATCAAGTTACAGGTGGGGGCAAAACACAGAAGGGGAATAAAAAGCGTTTTAAAAACATATTTCCAGAAAAAGGGAGACCCGTTTTGAACACTGTCCAGAAAAGACTGGAATAGTCTTCCATCTTTCTCTCCGCGAAAATACGACCACAATCAGATAAACAATAAGGTAACACAGCAGCCCTGAAAAATGGAGGTTTTAAAATGTCTTATTCGAAAAATAAAGGCAAAAATCTTGCTGTGGAAGCTACTTAAAACTAGTTTCTGCGCAGCTCATACTGCCATCACAAAATGTACGCCACTATAAAACCAACACAGTCTCAGGAATACCAGCCAGGAAAAATGCATTAAAAATAAAAACAAAAAGTCCCAAAGACGGTTGAAAGTCTGGAAAAAAATTTAAAAAAAAATAAGAAAAAAATCTCTCGGTTAAAAATACTCACCAGGAGCTTACTACTAAAAATGAGTAAAAGTCAACGCTGTTTTTACTTGAGAGGGTAACGATCCGCTTAGGGCTCTGCAGGCTGATTGTATCACCTTGAAACCAGTGGACATGAAATGGCGTCGACACAACACGCAGCAGAAGGGTCACGCCTACTGCTGCATCCCAGTCTATGATTGGGCATTGAAACCGCCCCCGTGTGAAGGCACACTTTAAAGATTGGTCGATACGCGTGCCAGTTCGGCTCATGAATGACGACAGCCGTACAGTGTACACGCCTGATTTGCATTGCACTTAATCATTATAGCTTAACTCAAAGACTGCTAATGTCCGGGCGCGAGATCCACATACTCTCGTTACACTCTTTATTTTACGGATTTGGAAAGTTTCCATTATTTTCCACAGACTTAGATTTTACACATAAGCAGACCCAGCTATAGCGTGCAGCTGTTTGCTCTGTCAGGGAGCGAGATGTCCACGCGCTGCAACCAAGCGCGTGCTTCGGCGCGCGCGCGTGAGCAACAGCTGTTGGAGAAAAGAGACATAGTGTAGTGAGTGATGTCACAAACTGACCCTCACTGCTACAATAGTTATGCATTCTAGAATACAAAGTAAGGTGGAATGGAATGTTGCGAAGAATAGAATGTAATGTGATACAATGTAACAGCTTTTAACATAATGTAAGAATGCAGAATACAGTGTAACTTAATGTTTGAATTCTAAAGAGGACAACATCATCATCATCATTTATTTTTTTACACATTTTTACATTTCATTTTGTTGTCTTTTATTAAAGCACACACACACACACACACACACACACACACACACACACATGCACACACACACACAGACACACACATGCTTATAGGAGTTTAGATTTTAATGCATCTTCACTTTTAAACAAAAGCATAATTAAGAATTGAATGGCACATGATATGTAAGGCACCTGTCCATTTCCATATCGCTCAGCAAAACAGCCTAACTGTCTGTAACAATGTCACAGTTTCTTCCTAGAATAAGTGACTCAGTGATGGAATGGCTTTTGAAAGTATCCCCACAGATTCACCACTTCAACTTCTGAGAGAATGAACCTGAGAAGTAAACAAATATGGTTTCAGTGTAACACATTTGATAGATAAAGGGATAAAGAAACATAGATCAAGAGAAGCAGTTTGGGCTTTTGTTCAATAATGTGTTTATCACATAAGGCACCTTGTCAGCCATCCTCCTGCGGTTTCGAGGCAGTGTTGCATCCAGCCTCAAGGTGGACTCGGGTGTTCTCAGCACCTCCTCCAGCTTACACTGCTCCTCACTCCTGTCACTCTCCTGGTGAATCAGCAGGTATTCAGTTAAAATCTGAGTGATACTATGATTTGTAACTCTGTCCCTTAATTTTGTGCAGAATCATACTTGTGTAGTTGTATGTAAAAGCATCTTTAAATGAAAACCTGTGTGGGAGTTTGAAGACGTTTCCTCCTGCCTATGGGAGTGCTGGGGCCCGGGCTTTCCGTTCCACTTTTTTGTCGTTCCCGCTCTCTCTGCAGCAGGATGCCCTGCCATGTGGTCCTGTACTCCAGAGAAAAATTACTGATGGTTTTACAGAAGTCCTCTGCTTTTGTGTCTCTCACCATAGCTCGGGAGTAGCCGAGGAATAAGAGGAAAGAGTGGAACCTGGAGAAACAAAAATGAAGAGCAAACAGAAAGTTTTAGGAATATCTTAATGTTAACAATTTACAATTTGGGAAGTCATTTTGGTTTTATTTGTTGTATTAAATAACCTGTTGATAACCCGACGATGGACAGCTCTTAGGACCTTAAGCCTCTCCTCAAACTCTTTCAAAATTTTCGGCAGCCGGTGACGGAGTGAACCGTCTGGGGCCAGGGACTCATCTCCTCCCCCTCCCCTCTTCTTCTCCCCCTTTCCTCCTTTCCTCTTCTCCTCAGCCTTATCCAGTGCCTTCAGCTGCTCCCACGATGCTTTGCACAGGGCCTCTAGCTGAGAAAGGTTGGACTGGACTTGGGAGTAATCACACTGCAAAAATGAGAAAAAAGAAGTTTGCGCATTTTGAAGTGGCGTCACAGTGGATTACTACTTAATTTTGAATGTATTAACATTTTTGATTGTCTGTTTGCTCTCAAGGTTTTTGTCATATCAGACTCAAATGAAAGCATAACATACACACTCAGGAAACACACACACATACGCATAGATGCAACAACACACCTTGCCAGCTTTAGTAACAGCACTGATGTCAGAGTAGAGATCAGAGGATTGTGGGTAGAGCTGCAGCAGCAGGACACAGACGTGGTGCAGCAGGGGCTGGCGGGAGTGTGTATCCCTCACCTGGGACAGCTTGCCCAGGTAACTCAGCTCAAAACCCCGGGCCTTGGAATATTAAAGTGTGGGAAAAAAAAGAAAAGACTCACTAACACTGCAAACTGCATTAAGGATTGATAGCATAAAAGTTTAGGATTGTACTGCACCCACCTTACATCCATTCAGGAAGTTACCGATTGCTAACACTGTTGCCAGGATACATCTAAAGGTCTGGCTGGCTGCTAGCTGTTCCATGGCCAGCTTCAGATGGAAGAGAGGCTCAGCAATTTCCTTTTAAGAGGAAGGACACATTTAGAGGACAATGTACTGGCTAGATGAGCCAAATCTATGTTTTATTATCATTTTGGTGACATCTTTGGTGATAGGAAGTCAGATTGAGGTGGTGTTTTTCTACTTCCCTCCTATAGGGATTAGGCTACTTGCCAATCAAACAATACTGTGATGGTGGGTTTTTTGATGAGCTTTTGTGGGAGGCACCAGAAAAAAATGATCATGCTAACTACCTAGATTCTTTTTCTAGGATATGTTTTTAAATACAATTTAAGTGCAAAAAAAACGATTTTCCATCTCATGCTGTTGCATGTTTATTGTACTTACCCTCTCTAAGGAGTCGTAGTCCAGAGCGAAGGCCCACAGCTGAAGCCTGGAGCTCAGGTGAGAGATTTCCCCTAAAGTGAGGAGGCAGAGCTCGGCCTGGGCCAGATGAGAGTGGGGGTTCTGGGCCTTGGCATCCTTGATCAGACAAAGTTCCTCTTCTGTTGGGATCAATGCTTGAAGCCTCTGATTTAGAAGGAATGTGAAAACAGATTAGGTCGAATGGGACTCTCTGCTGTCTCTGCTCTCCCACTGCCTTTAGCCAACAAAAGCAAACTTTAGAGGTTAATGAAATGCTGACGCTCAAATTCTGGAGGACGTGACCTCTACTGTACCTGAACGTCCTCTCTGTCCAGCACGCTGCTGTCCATGCTGTAGATAGCAGGGGGGAGGAGGCGGGGAGGGGGCAGGCTGCTCAGTGCAATGGTTATGATGTTACTTCGCTTCATCCCCAGCACTGACACTGATGGCTGCTTCTGTGTTGAGATACAGAGGATTCTATGAAACATTTTCTTCAAGATACTATAAGTATATTTGTAAGTGCATTTTAGGATTGCTTTTAGCCTGCTGAGGAAGTGTTTTAAGGTCAGATAGGTAAAATCTTCTGCAACTACATTCATGTATTCAGGCCCTAGTAGTCAATAAAAATGAATCCCTAAAAATGCAAGAGATTTCATATGGTTTAAAATGTGGTTTCAACTCCTTCATTCCTGCATCTTTTGTCATAATTTGACAAAATTCAATTAAATGACTTTGCCACCACTTCCCCAAAGGTTTACATTTAAAGAAAAACAGATGACAACTAGAGAACCACACAAATTGACCGAATGTGATAAAACTGTGGTTGCCTACCTGTCGCGCAGAAGCCACATTAAAGCAGGTGCTACTGCCCTTAGACTCAAACAGGTACTCCAGTCGGTTTGTATCCAAATGGACCGGCTCAAGGCCGGCCCAAATTGTTTGAGTCCCAAAGCGGGTCATCCGAGGAAGGGGACCCAAACTCTGCAGTTCCCTCCAGTGGAGCTTCAAGGTGTGACATTTAATGTTCGTACCTTTAAGGGAGGCCGAGGGCAAAGCTGGCGCAAGAGGAGGAGGAGGAGGAGGAAGAGGAGGAGGAAGAGGAGGGGGTGCTGGAGGGGCTTGGAGACATGTTGATGATTCATTGATTGAATTGGTTCCCTCGTCCTCTGTACTGTCTTCCTCATCCCAGAGGTCGGAGAAATCCAAGGTGTTGAGACAAAGACGTGCAGCAGGTTGGAGGATTGAACCCCAGGGCCGGTCAAAGTCCCATGTCAGGGGGTTATCCTTGTTTTTATCTGACTCCTTCATTGGTCCTTCAGTGATGTCTGTGACTCAAAATAAAGTTTTGCTGATATTCAATAGAATTACCAAGACAAACAAGGTTATCCAAAAACTGCACCTCTTCTTCATGGTAGAAAAATGTAATTCAGATCAGAAAGAGACTTGCGTCGTTCCTTTTTTCCTCCTCTCACTGAGCTCACAGACTCTGTATATCCCTCTGAGTGTCTGTGGATGCTCACTTGTTCACCACAGAAGCACATAACTCACACAACCAAATCACAATCTTTGAACCACCACTGTGTGTTCTCACTTCACCGTAACCTGCAATTGTCTTGGGTGCAGTGTTTTGTCCCTGAAATCAAAAAATGAGGAGTCGTGTTTGATCCAGAGGTTGACTGTTCTTCTCCCGCTTGTGTGCCAGAGACCTGCGACCTCAGTCAAAGAGAAACACTTTATGTGCGTTTTGAAGGGTTGTGTTTAGTCCTGCATCCAATTCTGCTGAAAAAAAAAAAAAAAAAGAAATGCAGGGAACGCTTTTCTGCAGAGCTTCCAGAATATCCAAATGACGTGCCTCTGCAGCTATCCCTTGACTTTCATATCCCCCTCTCTCTCTCTCCCTCTCTCTCTCTCTCTTTCTGTAAGTGACAGTGATTTTCCAAGAGCAAACGAGAGAGGGAGAGAGGTGCATTGGTCCGTTGGTGCATCAGTTTTGGTTTATTTGAGTTGCACCCTTTCCCTTAATTTCCTTATCGAGCCTGCATCTCCTGTTTGTATTGCTACTTGTGTATACACAAACCTCTCAATCTCCCTCGGAAGATCTGTTACTTCCCTCCTCTTCTGCCCCCCCCTTCTCCCTTGTGAGCGCATAAAAGAGCATGATTGACTATTTTGCCCTGCATCCTTTTTTCTTTTTTTGTTACATGCAACACTGTGGATGTCATTTCAGCATATAGTGACTGCAATCACCAAAGCTGCCTTGATTAAACATGTTATAGCGTTTCGGTGTGTGTGTGTTTGTGAATTTTTACGATTCTAAAAAAGCTCATTACACAGCACAGAGAAAGATTATGGACAGCTGTGCTGAACAACATCATAAAAGGAAGAAGTATTCTCTGCTTGAACATTAGCGTGAGAGCACACAAGTGCAAAAACATTGCAGCATAACTGGTTGAAAAGAATTATAATCAAAAACAATCTGAGAAAATATCTATCAATCCTGAAGGGTCTATAAAGTTGATGCAGTGTCTGCCACATTACTGATGGTGCAGTACATACTCACACGGGTCATTTGCATGGTCGACATGCAGCCTTAATGAGGATCCCGCCCTCGGCCATTAGGTCTCCCATAATTACACTTTATCTCGTTCAGTGGCCCTGCTGTTTAGAGGCGGCAGTGGGGCTCATGGGACATTTAGGCCAAAATGAGCTCTATTTGGAAAGCTTAGGCTCTTTTTCACAGTTATTTACCAACAGTTTTCCAGAGCTATGAAAGACAACATGCTCTTTTTAAGCATCTTATTTCTTAATAGTCACTCTTTATACTTCTTTAACCTCAAAAAATCAGGTCACAACTGTACTATAGTAATTTTTAAAATCAATGTCGTCAAATACTTGAAAATGATGGTTGAAATGGATTTGACCAAGATCCAATTACTAGTCACAATATTTTGATGATGGTGTGGCGCAGATCATGTGAAACAGACAGATTCCCCCATGGGAACACACAATATCCGGGTGTTTTCCTTTGATGAAACTGCCCTGGAACTTCCAAGTTTCTGTTTGTGTGTGTGTGGTTGTATATACAAATGTGTGCATCTCTTTTCAACCGTTTCTCTGTCTGTCCCACCACGACTAATGAATGTATCTCAACTCTCTCAGGGCCTTGACGGCACAAGATTAAGATCAGGGAAAACATTATGTGTAATCACTTCCAGTTTGCTTGGAGAATATTAACGGTTTTAAATTGTCAGGCTCAGGAACCAGACCTTGAATTTCATCATGTAAAGGTCATTTTGAACTGAGAGTTTCATACTTTTAAATCCTTTTAACAAAAGGGATCAATTTTACACTGGCACACAGGCATTTTTGTAAGATTCAGGTGAGTTAGGGCATAATAATCAGATTACTTTTTTAGACATTAAATGACGCTAATACAAATGATGACTTATTATGATGCAATAGTTTTGCCTTTGAACGTGCACAATTTTTTTCTAGGCAACTAAACATATAATTTCCTCAAAGACAATTACATACCGGTGTAACACACTGCTATGCACCACACATTCACTGCAACAATGCATTGGCAGTCATGATTTGCGATCGTCTGAGCGTGGGATGCCTTCTTTACACCTGATCATTGGTGGGTTCACAAAACCACTTGCAGATTATAATATAGGGTGAGAATCCAGCCAGAGGTACAATGATATATAAAGAATAAAGATTAAATAAGATAAACAAGAAGTCTGTCTTTTCTAAAAGGGTATGAAGAACCCCAGGGCTCTTGAAAGCTTCAGGCCTATGGCACATCAACTTATTTGAGCTAATCGAAAATTTGGGAATATGCACCAGAGCAGCAACCATAGCTCTCAGCACCCGTGATTGGGTCCTGATTTCTGTAATCTTGAGGCCCTTCAGGCTCTCGGCTAATATTCCATAATTTAAAAATTGTACACATTGCACACAAAGTGGGAGAAATGGTGGTTGGCAGGGGCCCAGCAGCTCAATTTTGTCCCAGGATCTCATACAGGTTGGAGTTTTAGTTATCACCCCTTTAACTGACATTTAACTGGCACTGTCTATGAAAAGCCTACTTAGTATGTTCATCATACACACTACTGTATGAAGGTCACAAACACTTACCCATGACACATGTTTATCAGCCCAATAGCATCTTAAACAAATATAGATGGATATGAATATATGTATGAATATGAATGTGAATATATGAATATATCTCCAGAAGACATTCTGGAGAATACAAACATGAATTGGATGGATTAATTGACCTTTTTTTGCATCCATTATTTTCTAAAACTATCAAAGAAACAGATACAATACATGTATGTATAAACTGTGCTCAAACTATGATTTTGATTTTATTCAATTCATTTCAACTTAGGTTGTATTGTTTTGGTGTTAAAAGCCCCCGAATATGAAAAGAACTGAACAGGGTTATTTCTATGCATATACCCTGTTATCTAGTCATTTATTTTTATTTATTCATCATTACACGTGTTAATATTATTATTAATGTTTTTATTTTTTAATTTTGTTTTTATGTATTTATTTATTTGAGAGCAACATTAAAGGGGTTGTATATGTCTGCGCATATAGGCCTACAAGCCCTTCATGTTCCTCTCTATTGCTTTTATTTAGAAGGTCTTGAACGGAAGTCCCTCCTGCCGCTTGTCGCGCTCCCGCGTTGTTTTGGGAACATTCGGTTTCCCGGTGAGCGCGCGCTTCCCGGGCTGTAGCTGCCTGTCATCGCTGGGGCTGACATCACACAGAGGATTCGCCACAATGTCAAACATCCACCAGCAGCGCGAGCTCATGGCTTCCCCGCGCCACAATGAGAAGCATCGCCGCGTTCTCCTGCTCATTCTCTAAATACAAAACTCCATTCATCTTTTTATGGGTTTATTCCATGTTCCCGGACAGGATGCGTTTGAGGTAAGATCGGTCACTCTGTTATTTCTTTATTATCATAATTACAGAATTATTTACGTTTTCCCATAAATGTTTGTATGAAAAATCATTTTATGTTTCAACATCACAATCTCTTACTGTTGACAGCATTTTTTCCTCTCTCATCTTTATGTGAAAAGTTGTCCGGCACCAACATTCACTGTCGTAGGCTATTACGTAATGGGAGTGCGGACACTGCTGAACAGATGTTACAGTGAGGTGCTGTAATGACAAATCTCTGGTAGCAGACCCCTCAGCTTTACACAGCTCCATGTGTACACTTTTTTTTTCTTTTGGTAACACTCGTTTCCTCACTGATTCACTGTAAGGAAAAAAATATACTTTATTATTGGCCCAGCTATTATTTTAATCCTCCACACTTTAGAAAAAAATGCATTACTATGGAAATTGTAGGAATATTAAGCCTATATATTATCAATGGAACATAAAGACTCTAAAATAGGCTATGACTCACTTACTTTAAACTTGAATAAAACAGGCATCCTGAAAGTCCATAGACTATTTAAACAATTTTGTACTTGTATATTTATCAGCAAAATCTATATTCAGCGTTTAAATCAGTGGTGGCTTTCACTGACTAGCTCACAGTTATGGAACATACTGTTCCTAGCAACAAAACAAATCGTCTATTTTTAAAATGATTTTATTATATATTTAATTACACTTAAGAGTATGTACTTACAGTCAACAGGGCTTGGCAATATGGAAAAAAATCTATATCCCAATACTATGTGTAACCACTTTTCAATAGGACATCTTCTCTAAAGGGTTTATAAGTTGTAATGAATTGCTTCCTTATTCCTTATTGTTGCTCTTTAATAATGTCTTTAACTTATCTAAAGCCCTTTATTTATAAAGGGTGCCATATTAGAAAAGTTGTATTGCATATTTTTCTGATATCGACATATATCATGATAAAGCAGATGTAGGCAAAATCACATGTAAAATAATCACATTGATGTTTAATGGAATGAACTATTATGATTTACATCTGGCAAAACTGTAAAACTCCCCTAAAACAATTCCATATTTTTTAAAGTTTTTTTTAAATTACAACTTGCTTGGCGTCATTAATTTGGACAGAAGGATGTCATCAAATCACCATGATACAATAAATGAAAATCAATAAACTGCAAATTTCAGAGAGCACCACACTGTCAAGACAGAAGAACCCTTTATTTATTCTAAGTTGTGTGCCGTGTATGTGTCCCAACAGGTCTATGTGAGTGTGTGAGCCAGGTCAGAGGTCATGCTGCGGAGGGAATCTGACTCACACGGCCTCTTTTCCTCCGGAGAGACGTCTGACAATGACTGTGAGGTGAGGCTGTTTATTTATAGGCCTACCTGTTAGCGTCACAGTATAGAGCTCACGAATCAGAATGAGACATTAAAGCGCACTTAGTATCACATCGTTACATTGCCAATTGACAATGTAACAATGAATAGTCTACAGCAGTGATGAAACTATATATCCAACTGAGTAATGAATAATAAGGTAATGGAATGGAACAAATACTGTAAATATAGCTCTGATGTTATTTTCTTCTTTGTCTGAATCACATGGATTCATCAGGACTCATAACTCAAATATCTCACGCTGCCAGTCAGCTGTCCTCTACTTTTGAGCAGTTTAAAATGCGAGTAGGTGGGAAAGGTTGAAATCCAGAAATCTCATCACTGAGCCACCGACAGGGATTCAGGATATTAAAACATAAGCTGGCGATATTTAACAACTGCTTATCTTCAAGTCCATTCTACATGGTAACTGTCACACGTTGTATGAGCTCGTGTCCGTCAAAGCGTCACGATAAAAGGAACAACAAGCCTCAAATACAGTAAGTCAACTTACAGCTCACAGTTGTTTATCCTGTCTCTCTTTGTCTCTTCTGTCTCAGATGGGGGCGAGCTGTGTAGAGGTAGATGGAGTGTGTCTGTGCGAGGCCGGTCCCTGTACACTTTATTCAGAAGCACACACGCCTACGCCGGTGAGTGCTCAGTCTTCCCACTTAAGTGTCTGCGGCCATCGCTCAACCTGCTCAGATCACAAAGTGTTGCTTCATCTGTAATTGTGCTCTAAATACATGGCTTTAACTTCCTACCGACCCCTCTCTCACTCTCCGTTGCTCTCTCTCTGTCTCTCTCTGTTTTTTTTCATCTTTTACTGTATATTTTAAAGGAACTGTTTCACAGGTGTCAGTTCGTATCTGTTGAAGTCAATCAGTAAGTCAGTCTCCGCTCTCTTCTCGCTCTCTCTTGTTCTCAGGACACACTGCTGTGTGAACACTGTGGAAAAAGCAGAGTAATGTTAACCAGGTACTCTGAGGGATACGGCACAGAGGTAAAGTGTGAGTGTGAGCCCATGTGTGCACACAGTATACCTGCTTCAGACACTGAAGAGTCTCGTCTGCATGTGTTTGCAAATGCAACACCTTGTAACTGCTTTTCATATGTGTGCGGTCTTTACTTTGGCAGGTAGCTGGCAGTCTTATAAGGCTGTTTCTAGGTTGCTACTAATACATGTACAGAAGCCCAAAACTGATAGGGATATTATTACACTATATTTCTCATGTGGATTTTCAGTAGCTTATATTTTAAAACAACCACTAACAAAATTATAACTGATTATTAATAATACCATATTTTGAGGAATATAAACATGTGTTTTCTTTTTCTTTTACCTTCTTCATTTAAGCCAAACTTCTCAAATGCAATCGAAACGCAAGCAGTCATGGATATTTAACAAAACGAAATACATTTTTGATTTAAATCAATTTCAGTAAATGTGTCCAGACAATTTTATGTGGAGAATAGTGAATTAGAGAGCAGCTTTGGAACCAGGTTAAGTATCTACACAGTACATATCAATTAGCTGCCAGTCTTTATATTTGCACGTTAGCCATCCAGTAAAATCAGGAGATGGGGAACAACCACCAGATTAAAAGCCTTTTGAGCTCATTAGTCATGTATAGATGTGTTAGTTGATTCATGCATGATAATAATAATGATGGTGGTAATAAAAAGTGACGCATGCAGAACAGTCCCACAGACAAAATGCCATCGTCAAGTGTTGTTTTCGGTTTACAAATAGTGGCGGTCGCTGATGATTCACCGGGGCTGTTAGGTGTTTCATCCAACAACTGCAAAATAAAATCCCTTCTAGAGTGGATGCGGAGGCTGTGTTGAAAAGGGCTTTCAGCTTTTTCTCAAATGGAAAATGTTTGTCTTAATGTAACAGCTTCAAGCATATTATCTGTATATTTGTCTTTATGCATACACATTTTTGTTTTTAATTACATATTGTGTCTTTTATATGTTTTATTCCTCTGCAGGAGGAGTGTGTATTATCTGACCCTCAGGGGGAGAGTGATGCAGATGCTGATATAGAGGATACAGATTGCAGGTTTGATGTGCACTCACACTCACATTCACACACAGTCCTACCTTTGCTTGTAGTTCTTCCCTTTGTAAGTGTCTAACCTTGTGCCGTTTACCTGATTGGTTCAGACTCCAGGAGCCGGGATCTCTCCAGCGAATCAGCTCGCGGAGACGCAAGCGTCCACGGGTAGCGCGGCAAGACACCACAGAGAGTGAAGATGATGGTGGGAGGAGTCACAGATCCCATCGCTGGAACCTCAGGCTCAGTCCTGACAGAGCACACAGCAGAACCATACTGGAGGTAAAAAAAAGAAGACACAACACAGTAATGTAAAGTCGAATTAATTGTGCTGTACCGCCATTTCAACAAAACACACGGGCTTGAGAAAAAAAGCTCATTGTTGCTAGTTTAAATCCACAGATATTATTTATTTGGTTAATTGAAATGCTTGTGTTGATGCGGGTGTTGGAGGGAAAGCGAAATCTGTCTTAACAAGAAGAAGAAAGGCATACAGTAGGGAGAAACAGTTGGGTATTGCTGCTTTCAATGAAGTGTAATTTGTATTTAAGTGGTGTATGTGTTGATAAACAGGGTTTTAATACTCTCTTGTGTTTAGCTCCTATATTGCTATAAATTCTGAGTTTGCTAACCATGTCTTTACCAATAACATTTTTTCTAAATATATGCTTATGGGCATATTTGCATCAGAATCGGACAGGAAGTGTAAGGGCAGAGAACAAGTGGGAAAACATGCAATAAAGGTCTCATGTTGGATAATTGGAACCAATAAAAACAGTGGAGTTTTTTTTTTTACCACTGGGAGTGCTATAGAGCAGTGTTTTTATGAGTGGGTCACCTTTTTATTTTTATCCTGTTAGTGATGTAATACACGGTGCTGCTGCTTCTTCGCTCGGATCAACAGTGGGTGGCAGTGATGTGCCAAGACATGTAGCAATGCGCCAACAAATGCAAATGTTTCAAGGGGAAGGAAATTCATTTAACATGTTTGTTAAACCTCAAGGCTGCACACAAGGCATTCTGGTGAGGAAACCCTAAATGTAAACTTAACTTTTGTTTGTTCACAAGAAAACTCCACGCAGCACCTTTAAAGGCTCAGTTTATGGATTGAAATATGAATTGCTGGGCCCTAATATAAACCTAAGTGAACCAAATACAACACTGTACATAAGACAGGGGATTTTATTATTATTTACATGAGAGAAAATGAAGAATATGTGTATTCAAAGACCTACATTTCTCCTCCTTCCTGTCTTCCAGGAGAGCATATCACAGGTCAGGCCGCTGATCATCTGCCGGCCAACCACGGAGAGGCAGACGAGTCCAGTCGAGCTGCCCCGAGGCTCCAAGCTGATGTCTCTGTGGCCGTCGTCCCTCTCTTTTCCTCTTATCCTCCTCCTCTCGCTGCCCCTCTCCCTCTCCCTCGTCATTGTTATCGTGTCTTTCCTCCTACCGTGGGCCAGCGCTTGACCCGACATTTCTGTACATCAATCGGTTCATTCCAACAACTACACAAAGTTCCACCAACTCCTGAAATGTAGTGGATAGCACAAACTGGAAAGAAAAATGTATTGGGTCTTTTAAACAAACTAATATTTTAGAAATATTTAATTCTGATGTTTTTTTTTTCCCTTCCAGAAAATATTAAAAATACATTTTTGGAAGGATTTTAAACATCTTGTTTTTGGGGGGGACATTGTTGGCCTTTGGGCTCCATTAAAACCACAAAGACACAGGTTCAAATATTAAAATTTTTCATGCTGCACCTGTTGAAACCACTGTCTGTGCATTTACATCTGGAGTCTGTTCACTGATGAAAACAATATAGACTCTGCGCTTGCTTCTGCCTCATACAATCTCACCTTCCGTCTCACTTCCTCACCCCCTCATTTGTAAAAATAGACCTCTCATCTCGCTCCTTATTCTAACGAGCCACAGGGGCGATATGTTGAGGGGGGGGGAGGGGGTGTGTTTCAGGGCTGCGCAGGTACATTCAAAAAAGGAAAATAACGGTAGGAAAACATGTAAAAGACGATGCTGCTGAACTATGCAATACCTCTGCTCCTACCGCGGCATCCCAACTGCTGTCAAAGAACGTCTACTATGTCCTTGGCACTGTCGTCACCTTCTTGGCCCCTTTTCTCTCTGATGAATATACTTTATGAATGCAGGGACTTATGGTTCTAAAATAGAGCATGACCCAATTTAAAAAGCAATAGAGAGAGAGAGATCTGATATAGCTCCCGCCATGTATGATCTGCAGTACATCTGTTATTTTAATGGAGGGATTACATGTAGTATTTTACTTGTTGCAGACTGATTTAGAAACAGGTGGATCCTACTTCTTCTTCTTCTTCTGCTTCTTCTTTTCTCCGTCTTCTCCGTCTTCTTCTTCTTCTTCTTCTTCTTCTTCTTCTCCTGGCTACACTTGTATGTTTTTAGTAAAATAAGCTGACCTCAAAATAAAACAAGCTTTAGTGAAACTTAATTATGTTAAAGCAATTTAAACACTTTAAACTATTTCACAGTCTTGCATTTGAAACATTACTATCGTGTTTAATAACATTCATGTCATGTCTATGTTTATGAATTATTATTTAAGATGAAAAGTGAGCTTGACAATCGGTCATGCTGCTAATTTCAAGCTGAAATAACTGGAAAAAGCCATTTTGCCGTGGCTTCTCTGTACTGTACGTTTGACGTTATGTTGTTTTCGAATGCTTTCAAAGCCATGATTATAATTTTTTTTAACACCACACTGAAGTTGCTTGCATCCCTGTAGAGAAATGTTTGTTTTTCAGTTAAGATCAAATTGTACTGTATGAGCTAATTTGATTAATGTTAAAGACCTTTTTCCTCTCCCAGCCAGTTGTATTGCCTGTTTTACATGTTAAATTATATTTCCATGTGTATGTTGACCTCTATTTCATTGAGCCATAGAAGTTCAATAAAACTAGATTGTATTTTGACAAAAAAAAGCAGTTTTTTTTGTATATACCAGCAGTGTAAGACAACAAGTTGTGGTTTTGTCAGATTTTGTCAGTTTTACACATCAGTTTTTGTAAGGGTTAAAAAAAACAAAACAAAACAAATGTTCATTAGTGAGCGTATGCTTTCCTAAAATGTTCACACAGCTTTACAGAATAGGAGTGAATGCTTTGATAAGTGGAGGCAATACCTGTTCTTGCACTTCTTCTACTTCTGCTGATGTTAAGAAGAAGAAGAGTTTTAGCCTCATTTCCCAGCAGTGTTTGCTGCACTTGAGGAAAGGGCCTGAGGGGGAGGGTCCCATAACGAGGTTAGCGCTCTTCACTCCTCCTCTCGCTGCGTACGTCGTCATGGTAACAATCAGGACTGCAGAGGAAACAGACTTTTCATAAGTAGACTGTAAGCTGCTGCCCAGAGCCAAACACTCGCTTTAGGTGATGATGTGAATAGAGCAACATCTGCACATCTGCACATCTGCACATCTGCACATCTGCTGTGTTACATGATGTTTAACTTGGTAATGAAAATCTGCTCTACTACACTGTGGCATTTATAGAAAAGTTGTTGGTATAATATAATTTATTTTATCCTAAAAACATGCTCCACGACAGCCTTTCATTGGGCTGAAAGCAGCTTGCACACATTTGAATGCTTACACACAACACACATATTCAGTCTGGAGAGAAATGCTTTACCTCATGAATGTTTTCAAAATGCACAATATTTAGCTGAAGTTTTCAGTTTATTTAAATGCATTCAACTTCTCTTCTTGTGTAGGTTTCATTAATAGCCTGACTCACTTGTCTGCTTGTTTAAACCTCCCAGTGTGTATGTACAGTAGATATGTGTGAGTAGATATGCTTGTGTGTGTGTGTGTGCGTGTGTGTGTATATGTGTGTGTGATCCCTCACACGTGAGTGGCTGTGAAAGACCAGAGTTATTGTGTCCTCAGGTAGGAGTGTGTTTTAAAGCGAGATGTTGCCCACCAGTTTCATTTCCAGCACACCCACTCAGAGTGCTTCAACTTCAAAGCATTTCAGTAGATAGAATTTCAATAAGAATTCAGTCTGTGTGCTGTTGCGCCAGTCATCTTAAGATTGTGTCGACGTTAAAGAGAAAAGACCTTTAATCAGGGTTACTGGGTTTGTTTTGCACAAGAGTAAGTGACAGCCCTGCTCAAGTGCTTCTCTGGTTCCAGTCCTCTGACCTGCAGCCCCTAATGTGGACAGCTAGCTAGATACCTAGCAACAGAAGGCCGGTGAGAAGGATGGATGAGATTGACACAGCTGTACAAGTTGTTTTAAGTCATCTTACAGAAATAACAAATGTTGAATGAACATATTTATTCGATCAATATAAAAAAAAGTGAACTGCTCCTAGCGACTGTTATTGCAGCTTCCATATCAACAGACATGATGTCAGCGAGACGGATACATCGCTTTCTACTGATCTACTGAACAAAAAAACAAAAAACAAAACAAAAACAAAAATAACCTTCTTTTCCCAACAAGAAATCAGCTACCATGAACAATAAACAACAATGAAATACCATTTCAGTATAATTATCAGGCTACTTTAAGTGTCCGTGAGCACAAGCTAGTTCAGAGGAGCTTGACTTCTGAGATTAAACCTGGAAGAATTTAAATTTAGGTTCACAAAAATAAGTGGATATTCTAAACTTCATTAATACAATATTTTATTATATAGTTATAAGCCCCCTAACACTGTAATTTCTGGTAGCTGTTAGTTTGAGATGCCACAGTGGCTTGCTGTTAGGATCAGACAAAACACATTACTGTTTCTGGCTATAAGACATATTCAGAAACTCATCACAAAGTTTGTTTAAAGACCGTCCTAAAGTCCGTCTATCTTACTAAATCAAGTCACACTAATAAAACTTAAGGTAACAAAAGCATCCCATAGCAGTTGCCATTTCTAACAATGTGGTAACACAAGGAGAGAGCATATTTGTGAGAGTCCATTGTCAGCTGCTTGTGACCTGTGAAGCTATTTTTCAACTCAAGGTTACAGTGTGACCCAGCTGTTTGTTTTCTCTGTCGGCACAAAAGCCGATACATATAAATTGTGTTTTGTTGTGTTTTGTTGTCCCCTTGGCCTCTTATCTACCCTCGTGCCTCTCGATACTTGACCCAGATACCACTGTGTTTGGCCGTGGAGGAGCAATGTGATCCCACTGATGACCCTCTAGGCATTTAATCCTGATCCCCAAGTCATATGGCCCTGAATAAAGATTCATGCCAAGGCCCCCAAGATGTCTTGGTGCACAGATTCATGCGGGCAGAGAACCAGCTGCCTCCAGGTCTAGATTATTCTCTTATTTATTTCTTGCTAGGGCCAAATATTTACAGTATAAATTCAAGAACAGTAGAACATGATCAGTACAGTACTGGAGTGCAATGTTGAATCATTCAAGAACATGAAAATAAAATGCATGACCTCTAAACACACATGATATAATAAACAATAAAAGGTAATAATAACAAATTGAGGACATGAAAACATGAAAAGGAACAAAACAATTTAACATTAATATAGTAGAAATATAACCAAACATTTAGTGCATAAACCCATAAAAAAATCTTTGTCAGGTCTCAGGTTGACACCCCAAACAGTCTAGAATTTCAATTACCTCGTGACATATTACACTATATAGCAGCATGTTTGGTTATATCAGGAATAGTGAGCACTATGAAGGTTCAACAGTGCCACTGTTGAACCGTCATATACAGGAGAGAGAGAGAGAGGCAGGACAGTAACAAACAGACAACACAGCTGGTGTCTGCAGACGGGACAAGAGGTAGAGCTGCTTGCAACAATAACAGCAACATCCAAACAGTGGACTGACATTGGACATACATGATTTTCTCTGTGCATTCTTGCTCATGAGATGTGCAAAAAGTAAGTGACCTACAATCTTTTGGCAATCAAGAGGTGATAATGTGTTGAGTGTTTAGGAAAGGGGGGATTGAAAGGATTAGTAGAGATTAAAGTTATACTTGACAGTATGGCAGTAGCTAATCCCTGCCTACAGAAGGAGTGGGATGAATGGAAGACAGAGACACAGGAGAAAAGGAGGAGGAAATGGAGGGAGAGGATGAATCGTTGGGGAAAAGTGGAGGTGAATGAGGAGGAGGAGGAAGAAGAGGAGGATGATGGGAAGGAAAACGAGGAGGACACGGACGGTGAGGAAGAGGAAGTGAGCGAAGAGGAGAGAGAGGAGGAAAATGAAGCTGGTTGGAAGGGAGAAAAAGAGGAAGAGCTGGAGGAAGGGAGTGAACAGGAAGAAGAAGGGCAGGAGAAGAAAGTAAACAGGGAGAAAAAGGACAAGGCGAAAGAAGCACACAACACAGAGAAAGAGGAGGAAAAGGGAGAAAATGAGAGAGAGAGGAATGTTAAGGAGAATAAGGAAGTGGATTCAGAGGAGGAGAGGGAGGTGACGGAAGCAGAGGAAATGGAGGAAGGGGAAGAGAAAATGTTAAAGAGGGAGGAGGTGGAGGAGAAGAGGGTAAGGGAAGCAGAGGAACTGGATGAAGGGGAGGAAGTGGGAGAAAATGAGGTAGAGAGAGAGGTTAAGGTCAACAAGGAGGTGAATGAAGAGGAAGTGAAGGAAGTGGAGAAACTGGAGGAAGGGGAAGAAGTGGGGGAAAATGAGGTAGAGAGAGAGGTTAAGGTGAACATGGAGGTGGAGGTGGAGGTGGAGGTGGAGGAGGAGGAGGTGGAGGTGGAGGTGGAGGAGGAGGAGAGGGGAGTGAAGGAAGTTGAGGAACTAGAGGAAGGGAAGAAAGGTATAGAAAATGAGTTTGATAGGGAGGTCAAGGAGAATGAGGAGGTGGAAGATGAGGAAGGGAAGGAGGTGACGCAAGGAGAAATTGTTGCGATTGGGGTTGAAGGGGAGGTTAGGGAGAATGAGGAGATGGTTGAGAGAGAGAGAGGGGACACAGAATCAGAGCAATGGGAGGAAGAGGGAGAATCAGAGGAAGAGGTAGAGATTAAGGTGAACAAGGAGGAGGAGGAGGAAGAGGAGGAGGATGAAGACAGGGAAGTGACGGAACAAGAGCAGATAGAGGAAGATGATAATGGGAAAGACGAGCAACCAGAGCAGGAGCAAATTGAACATTACGACCCTGGAATGCAGTTTAGAGAATACATGAATGAAAGGGGGATTGAGGGCAAACATGCTCAGCAAAGCCAAGAGAGTGCAGCACAAGAAGATGGAACAATAAAAGAAGAAGACATTTCAGATTCAGTCGAGCCCGATGATGAAGATTCTGACTGGATGGAATCTGAGGATGAAATCTTCAAGTCAGAGAGAAAGAATGAAGAGAGAGCTACTGAAGAACAATGCAATGATCCCAGGGAACTGGACGATCTTGATGAAAAGTCAATGAGGAATGAAAATAGCACCCTAGGAGTGTGGACTTCGAAGGAAAGACGAAAAGAGGAAGATGAGAGTGAGAAGCCTACACATGAGGAAGAAACAATTGCAGAATCTTGGACAACTCACGTAGAAGAGTTTCAAGACTATCAAGAAAAACATCAAGAGGAAGAGGAAGACTCTACAGATGATGAGGATGCAGAATATTCAATGTATGAAGATGTGGATAGTAATGAAGATGTGGTAAAGATTTACTGCAAAGATGATTACCCTATGGACATATTCTGCACTCTGAAAGAGTTTAGGGACTCTTCCCTTCTCACCGACCTAACTTTGAGCACAGAGGATGGGAAGAGTTTCCATGTCCACTCCCCTGTTCTGGCTGCTATCAGCTCCTTTATCTGGGAAGGCCTGAGTAGAAACAATATAGAAAATGATAGAGTTGATGAAAGAGAAGACGATGGCACAAGAGTTGGAACCAATACGTGGTCACTGTCCCTGGGTTCAGATGTAGATCTTGTTGGATTAGAGGCAGTTGTGGAGTTTGCCTATTCTGGACTTATATCTTGTCTGACCAAGGACACCGTGGAACAGATAAAGGCAGCAGCTCAAAAGCTTGGCGTTCCCAGGGTGCTGGATCTCTGCACCGAGGAAGAGTCCACAAAAACTGAAGGGCAGAAGAACGAAGAAAGGATATCTGCTGCAGAACAAATGATGATCAGTCTTCAGTCCATCAAACAGTTGTGGATGGACAAGGTGGGCTGTGATGTTATTTTGGAAGCTATTGGAGAATCGCTGCATGGTGAGTAGACATCAATTAGTAAATTTATATAAAGTTTCATATATGTCCTGTTATGTGTTGGGAGGTAGAGGCTAGTTACTCATCACCATTCTCCCTCTAGTCCACAGAGTCATCCTAGCCGCAAGTAGTGACTACTTCCGTGGCATGTTCACGTTGGGGATGAGGGAGTCGCATCAGACTTGTGTGAATCTCCCCTTCCTCTTGGCCTCAGAGCTGGAGGTTCTGATCGGCTGCTCCTACAGCGGGACTCTGCCCCTCAGCTGGAGGTGTGTCTTTGAGATCACTAGTACCGCTCTCCAACTCCAGTACCAACCTGCCCTCTCCTTGTGCCTAAACTTCATGCAACAAGAAATTAATCCCCACTCCTGCCTGGATGTGGCATCTTTTGCTCAGGCTTACGAGATGGTGCAGCTTCTCGAAGTTGCGGATGATTTCGTCTTGCGACAATTCCAAAAGGTAGCATGCACCTTAAAGTTCAAGGACCTGCCAGCCAAAAACCTCCTCAGGTACTTGAACAGTCACTCACTCTGTGTTCCATCTGAACTTGTTGTGTTCAAAGCAGTGGTGGCATGGATTCAAGCTAAGCCCCAGAAAAGGCTTAAATTTGCTAAGGAATTGATGAAAACTATTCACTTTCCCTTGATGACGTTCAAGGAATTCAAAGAGGTTCAGTCTCTGAATATGTGGTCGGATCACAGCCTGGTCGAGCTCTATGAAGCAGTTTTTGAGGATTTCTGCTCCAATGACACTGCACCACAGAGTCAGTGCCGCATCTACCTGCCAAAAGAGAGTCTGGTCCTGATTGGAGGTGACCAGATCTCTGAAGATCTGGGTAGCCGCAGCATCAGCAAAGAACTCTGGTTTGGGAATTCCCTGAGGAACCATACAGGGATAAAAAAGAACATGGAGTGGAGAAAGTTGGGAGAAATGCCAGAGCCCGCGAGGTTCAGTCATGAGGTGGCGGTGCTCAAAGGACAACTGTACGTGTTTGGTGGGAAGAGGTATTATGGCGTTGGTGACACCCTGAATTCTGTTTACAGGTAAAAGAGGGTACACTTGGGTCATTCAAGAAAATGGAGTACAGTTTATGTATCAACATATGTATCACTGTTTCTGTCCCCACATCTGTAGGTATGACCTCCATCAAAACAGCTGGGAGAGCCTGGCTGAAATGCACGAAAAGAGATGCGCTTTCTCTGTGGTTGTGCTAGATGGAAAGATATATGCCATCGGTGGACACTGTGACCCTGAGTATATTGATAGTGTGGAACGATACTGCCCCACTGCAAACTCTTGGAGGTATGTTGGAAGGGATATTAATTTTTCAAAGCAATGCGTGCAATATAAAATTTGCCAACCAGTAACCATCTACTAGCTTAGTAGCTTGTGCCATATTGACTTGCTATGGTTAAGCCAGATCTGTATGGTTGTCTGACCAGACACTATGATTTTCCAGCAAAAACTACTTAAAAAAAATAATATCAAATGCAATGGCAAAATTGTGTCTTTTGGATACTGTTGAGAAATCTAATGTTGCCAATGAGAAGGGGTTAAATTGAAGGATACTTGATGCTAACTGTGTAAGTAAGAGAATCATGGCCTATCAGAGAAATGTCTTAAAGTCAGGGATGTCTTGTGTTGACTAAACAGAATAAGCAATATACGTATAAACTCAATGTATATACTTAGATATATAAAAAAATCTCTTTTCTTTCAGCTTCACCCGGCCCATAGATCTGCCTCTCTGCGGGCATGTTGCAAAAGTTTTACAAGGACAGATCTTTGTCTCAGGAGGGCTGAACAGCGACTACTGTTGTCTTGCATCCATGTTTCTCTACCACCCAGAGACTGGGAGCACCTATCTGGCAGACATGACTAAACCTCGGGCTCATCACTGCATGGAGACCCTGGGTGACCGTCTTTATGTAGCAGGTGGAATCACCACAGATAATAACACCACCATTGTTAACCAGCTAGCCTGCGAGGTGTACAATCCTTCAGCTGACTCCTGGACTGCCTTAGCATATCTAAATGTGCCACATGTTGGAGCAGGATGTGCAGTTTTGGAGGGAAAGTTTTATGTGCTGGGTGGATACAGCCAGGAGGACTACAGTGAAACTAAAATGATCCACCGTTATGATCCCGCCACACAGAGATGGGAGAATATGGGCAAGATGCCTGGGCCAAACAATGACATACGAGCAGCTCTGCTGTATTTGCCATCACATTTCCGATTGTGATGTGAAGAGATCCAGTATGTCACTTATAGTTTTTAAGGTTTAATGACGCTGAATTTCATGTTACTTATTGCATGTTAATCACAGCATTATTTTTGTAATTTTGCAAATATTCTTCCATTGTAGATGAGGGAAGGATAGGTATGTACAATAATCATGTCTCACAATATCTTGATTGAGATAAATTTATCTTTTAATTTAGGGATGCCAAATGTAGGATATCTATGAATTGTAGTGTATTTTTGGTGCTATTAATTTAACTAAACTGTTAAATGTGCTGTAATTAAATTGTTTAAGTTTTAGTTAGGGATGGAGTGATAATTAATTCCTTAACAAAACATATTATATTTTAGTATTTTATGTAGTTATTAGTGTATGTACTTTACACTCATTACTGCAATAACCAACTATGACCACAGGAGAGAGCTGTCCCACTTGTGTTCATAGTTGCCATAGTTTTAGTGGGAGGCTGGTGAACACATTTGTCATTGCTGAGGGTGCAGACAGAGACATCAGAGAGAGGAAAATAGACAATGTATTGAATTTATTGTTTTGCATTAATTATTCTGAAGGTTCACACATACATACTTCTAATAAAATTTACCTAAACATTAAAAACATGTATCGAGCCACTCTAGTTTTGGGATAGAACCACAATACAAATATATGTCTGATCATCTACATTGGGAAGAGGAGAAAACCACTGAAGGTCGTGTGTCCATTCAGGTTATCAAACACTCTGCCGTTATCCCACAGCTCCATGTGCACCGTATCTCCAGCAGCCAGCTGCAGAACAACAGCGTTACTGCTACTGTCTGAGCCGTCTATTGAAGGGTCATCATAGGTTGAAATTTGACGGACAGCATTCTTCATTAATATGGCCCCCACTACATGAGTGTTGTAGCCATAGGAACTGAAGCTAAAGTAGTAGAGACCATTTACTGGTGCTGTGAAGATGCCTGTAACACAGCAAAGACAAGTAGATGCAAGATGAATCACTGAAATCACAAATAGATTTATGGTTTACTTCTCAAATATTTCTGAGAGAAGAGCTACTGGAGGCAAACATTTCAGGGAGAACCCAATGAATTATGGCTTTTCAGGGCCTGGGTTAACTAACAGGGAACTCAAAAATAAAGTATTACAATTGAAATGTAAGCGGTGATGTGTTTCTTTTATTGACTATAAATCCAGTGTTACAAAAATTCATGATTAATTGGCCTCAATAATTTAAATTTGACTCAACCAATGACAATATATCAAATGCTACTTGAAGTATCATTAATTAATATATTTTGGGGTTTTTTCCAACTCTGGAAGGAAATATCTGGCTTTTGAGTTGTTAAATGCTCCTCTATGCTCACCAGTTACAGCAAAGTAGCGAGTTGGTAAACCAAAACAATGATGTAAAATAGACTAAAATGCTCTGTAAAGTTTTTGTCACCCATTTTACATTACAATTAAATATTTTTTAATGTAAAATATTGATTAATGCAGCTTTAATTTCCCCATAGCACTACAATCACCACTAGGAAACACTACAGACCTGAGTCATGTGATATCAGTATCTTGTTTGAAATACTAGAAGCAGGCGTTTGAAAATAGAAAATAGTTCTATGATATTTACAATTTTCTCTGACAAACCCTTAGAAATTAAAAAAAGTAACAATTTCCTAAACATAGGCTACTAAACACAAACTCACAGTGTAAGATTGAACAGTACCTGTATTTTGATCGTAAGCATTGCCGGTGTTTGATAAGATCCTTTTAAAAACTAGAGTCTTGTCAGTGCAGGGTCCTCTGTAAATCTCTCCAAAGTTTGCCAAAGAGACAGAGAATGCGATCTGAGGAGCAGCTGTGGGCAGAAAAAAATTGTAAATGTTATAAAGATAATATATAGATAATATTAAAAGATGTGAATCACTGACTAGTGATACTGAACCATCGATTACGATAAAAAAGAACTTACATTTAGAAATGAACACTCACAGACAGCAGATTTTATGATTCTTCACAGTTGTATCATTTAATATCACATGAGAAATTTGTTTTAGACTTATATCAGTGTGATCACATAACATTTTCTGGTGTAAAATATTGAACTCTCTTAACATACAAACTTAAATAATCATAGATGAAATACTATTAATCTGTTTTACCTTTACCACTACTCTGTTTGAGCTTATCAATCTCCCCCTCTGAGGCGTTCAGCCTCATTTGCAGGCCTGCACAAGTTTATACAAAACAATTAATGACAAAAAAAGCAAAACAAACAGAACAAAACAAATGTATTACTCAAATTTTTTTTACTGTATGTGGTAATAATTCACACATCATCTCGTACCTTCATTCTCTTTCTTCAGACTTTCCATTTCAGCTTTCTGTCTCGTCAGCTCGTCTACAGTCGCATTGAGCCTGGCCTCCAGAGCTTCAAAGTCATTCTGCTGTGTTTCTACATCTTTAGGTTTGTCCTGCAAATTCTTTATCAACTTCTCGATAGTGTCTCTGATGTCCATGTCACCTCTTTGTCCAAACCCTGGCTTCACAAACAAGAAGCCCAGGAGTGTCAGCAGAAGCGAAGCCCTGAACTCCATTTCCTCAATCGGAAATGTGTGACTTCTTAGATGTTTTCGTCACGGTCTGTTGAGGGTGGTTTTTCCTCAGTGGCTTATATACCTGCTCTCTTTACTGAAAAGGGTCCTCGAATGATGAGTAAGCAGTGTTCAGGCCCTGAGGGGCCCCCGTTCTAGCCGTGTCCCAACAGGCCTACCAGGTAGGATTTTGTAAGCATGACTGCCAGTAAAATATCAACAGGGAATGTAACATAATTATGCTACATTATTGTACATTTTATGCAATGCAAATGTGGTAGTAAATGTTCCACATTATTTTGTGGTATTATGTGTTACGTAAAAACATTCCTGCACAATAGCACATCCTTTTGCCTGTGTTTTAACACTAACATGTTTAACATGTTCTTTTATATGTGTGTGTGTGTGTGTGTGTGTGTGTGTGTGTGTGTGTGTGTGTGTGTGTGTGTGTGTGTGTGTGTGTGTGTGTGTCAGCTGGAAAACTTAAAGTCAGCCACAGAAAAGTCTTCAACCAACTTGTGTTGCTGCTGACGTTTGCTTAATTAGCTTGCTAGCTTCAACTGATAAAATCTGCCAGTGACAATTCAGTTGACGATTGCCAGCTGAAAATGAGGCGCCTGGTTTTTGTCCCCCTCTGTTTGAAATCAAGCACCCATTGTTCCAAAAATGATTGCTAATTCTGAGCGGTAAATCCGCCACCATTACCAGTGTGAACTGTGAGGAGTATGGAAAGCTTGAAGCCCCCAAAAAACAGGTTTTTTCAGCAGACCCTGTTTCAGATATTTCGTAATACCCCGTGACTAAAAAATTACCCTGCAAGGTCATCTACAGGAATTCATACAAATGTCAGAGTCACTAGTCCTGAGGGTACATGATCCATCATACTTAATCCATTTAAGAAATCATCTCTAAAAGACTGATGATGCACAGTGGTGATCTTTCAGAGATAAACCTTTTTTTTTCTTTTTATATAGGAGTAGACATCAGCGACACCACCAGCAACACAGTGATTCTTGAATTGAATGCCAGAGACCGGGTCAACATCATCCTGTGGAAAGGTGGAAAAATCTATTCAAGTGTCTTCAGTGGGTTCCTTGTCTTCCCAACATCATAGATTTTTGAGGTAAGGCATGTGAACAAGATGCTTTTATTTTATCAGTTTTTTTAGGGACATCTTTTTCTTCTTCTTTCTTTAGAGACTGAATTAATTTGTTAAGACACCTTTGTCAAATCCAAAATGTGGTGCTGGGCCTGGAACTTAAAATGTAAACATTGTTTAAGTGCTTAAATACCAGATTGTACCATACTCATTGCATGGCTATAGACTACTTACTACTAGCCATTAGAAACTATCTGGAAAATGTCTCTGGAGAGGAAGGCTGTGTTTGGTACATGCTTTAAGTCAAACTGAAGTTCATTTTCATGCTTTATTGCTCATTATATGACAATTAAAGGGCTATCTATTTGTGGTAGGATGATTATTTTGTATTTTATGAAAGGAGGCACATCTGTACAGCTGTAAAGAGAATATAAATTAATTAGTTTGCAATATAACATTATATGTGGAACGTTAGGTTCCTTTTAAACTGTTGTTTAATCACTACAGTAGCATTTTTGGGGGGTACCTGTATTTGCATGAGACAAATATTTGATAAAAAATGTTTTAAAAACTGAAGTGAATATATAAACATTTACTTTCAATCATCAGCAAAAAAAATCCTTACAAAAACAACAAAAACTGTACTGTATATTAAGTCTAAAGATAGTTTGTTAAATGTAGCATCATTATATCCTTTGTAGTCAAGTCCATAAACCAACATACAAGTCCAACATACAAAATGATCCACCTGGATATTTAATAAAACACCACACAAAGTTGAATTGAAAGGGAGATTATCATAGTGTATATTCCCACTTCTTCAAAAAGATATATTTTTTAAACATTTGTAATATACTCTTGGGTATAATCTTTTTTTCTTAACTCGCAACCTTTGTCACTCAGCAACAAGGTAAAACTATAAAATACTTTTTATTTTTAATAGAGTAACTAGTTCTTGAGTTTATATATACTACTCTTGGGGATACTATAAATTTAACATAGGAAGATGGTAAGACAAAAATCATCTGGCATTTACAGAACAGTTCTAGACTCGAATTCCTTAATATAAACTATATCTTTGTCAGTACAAAAAGCAGTACTAGATGTATACCTAAATCAGATTTGCTAATAATCCAATTCCGGGTAGATTAAGTCAGTGTATTCTAAAAGTTGCTATTATTTTTATATTTTGCCACATTTTTGTATTCAACACGTTTGATTATTTCACTACAGAGTTACTGTCTCAAGTGTTCAGGCAATCGGAGCACACATGCACGAATGTCAGTAACAGCCCCAGGCAGTCTGCCCATGTTCTCCCATCGCTGTGTGCTGGGATCAAACCGGTGGACCAGTCCAGACTCACTGTAGTCGTCCTGGCAGTATCCACCCAGTATATAGATCTTCTCTTCCAGGACAGCTGAGGCGGCACCCACATGGGGCACAGGCAGTGATGCAAAAGCAGTCCAGGAATCAGTCACAGGATCATACACCTCACAGGCTTGTTGATCAGTGTAAAATTTCCTCAGGTTACACACCCCACCGCTGACGTAAAGATGGCCTCGCAGGGCCTCCATGCAATGCTGAGCTCGATCATTGGCCATGTCTGCCAGGTATGTGGTTCCTCTCTCTGGGTGGTACAGGAGCATGGACACCAGACACACATACTTACAGTTGAAACCTCCAGAAATGAAGATTCCTCCATCTAAAGCAGTGACAGCGTAGCCACTCAGAGCCTGGTCCAGGGGATGGACGAAGCTGGGAAAAATGAAACAAGAGGTATCAGACAGGAATGTAAAGGAGGAATAAAACAATAAACGTAGCCTCTATATCCCAGAGTTTTCAGTCCTAACTAGACAAGAGGTACAATTAGTCGGTTGATAAGCTATATATTTTTGTCAACTATAATAGCATTTTAAGTCCAGGACACACAGCTAAAAAACAAAAAAGCTGAGCAATCCACTGCAACCTCCTACAATATTGCAAACCAAATATAGTGTAGGTCTATGTGTGTGTGTGTGTGTGTGTGTGTGTGTGTGTGTGTGTGTGTGTGTGTGTGTGTGTGTGTGTGTGTATGTGTGGCAAGACAAGGGAGGGCCACAAAAAATGGCTGTAAACCTATATGAACATAATTATTATCAAAGCTTCAGGAGAAGATTCAGATACAACAGCAAGACCTTACAAACCAACATAGACATGCAATTCATCAACTCATATATTGTGAACTTACATTTTTCCACTCTGCATTGTTGACTTACATTTCAATTTTCTTATGTAGAGATGTTGTTACTAACAGTAATGTGGTGGATGCCTAAATGGCAACAAACAGTCCAAAAGTTTAGCAGCTAAGCTAAGCTAACAGGTGATGAATGGTTCAGCTTGTGTTTTGGCCTTTGCACAGATTATTCAGTGTCTGACAAGATGGACAATATTACAGCTGTTGAATTTTCTTTTTCTTGATTGAGTTTGTAAGAACTGCTCCTCCTGCCATCCAAACAGAGCCTCAACTGCACAGGTGTATTATATTGTATAATTGTGAAAGCCACCACCATAACTGTGACACTGCCTCCTACTGGCTTGGAATGCAAATGTAAAAAAAAAAAAAGAAAAAACAAACAAACAAAAAACTGTAAGTCAGACATTAGACATTTTTGGTATAGAAATGTAAAGTCAACCTCCCACTCCTGGAATTTTCCATTTTGCCTCCTGATGGGGGAAACAAAGCTTTTCAAAGCAATGAACCACTCTATCAAATTGTTTGAAGCAGTCAAAATGGTGACATCTGCTGGCCAACCTTTGGCATTGCATTTGCATGGAAGGATTTAGGGTCAAACAGCAAGTGAACTCACCTTTCATCCTTGATATATCATTGTATATTATAAGAATTAACTACTTTTAATAATCTTAGTCTTTGACAAGCATGTCTTTTATTCAAAAACCAACATGACACATCCCTAATACATTTGGGCATGCTAAAACTGGACCTCAATTCATCTTGCCTCTGTTCTTCTCCTTTGAAAGGTCAATACTGTGTTGAATAGTCTGCTTTAGGTGTTACATCACTAATCTTACCTCCAGGAGTCAGTGTCTGGGTTGTACATCTCAACGCTGTCTACATTGGTGTTGATCTCCTCATCTCCACCAATGGCGTAAAGGCGTTCCTCATGTGCCACCACTGAGAAGTTACTTCTAAGCTCCTGCATGTCAGCCAGCCTCTTCCAGCTGTCCTGTACGGGATCGTAACTAGCATATATGCCATGAAGGTAAAGGTAAAGATGGAAAAAGTGAGATTACAAATGAGCAACTGTGAGACATTCTTGGTTACTGAATGTGAGAAGATATTTGTGCATTGACTGCCTCCGTTTACCTGTAGACAGATTTCATTATGTTATCATTTGCATAGAAGTAGCATCCTCCAAACACATACAGCCTCCCGTCCATTGCTGTTACTCCATGCCTGAACTTTGGCTTGTCTGGTATCTCACCCAGCTTCTTCCACTCTATCTCCTTCACCAAACCTGTGCCACTGCGCAGGGAGTTTGCAAACCACAGTTCCCTGCTTGTTATGCGCTGACCCATATCAGGGTTTAGCTGGTCTCCCCCGACCAGAACCAGAGCATCTTTGGGTCGTCTGATGCGACACTGATCTTGGGTTTTTGGAAGGCTGAAAGCAAATTCCTTGAGTGCTGAACCATACAGTTCCACTTCCTTGTTTCCAAAGCACTCCATGCGCAGGTTAATGGCCCTGACCTCCCTGAACTCTCGAAAGGTCATGAGGGGGAAGCGGACTGCGGCCATCAGTAAATCAGCTTGGCCCAATCTCTCCTCAGGATCTGCCTCAATCCATGAGATTACAGCTCGAAATACAGCCAACTCTGTGGGCACGCACAGACCATCACAGTGGAGGAAGTCTAGAAGCTTCTCTACAGGTAGGTCCTGAAATTTTGCTGTGGATGACACCTCCCAGAAGTTCCTCAGTACAAAGTCATTAGCTTCTTCAAGGAGCTCTGACATTCCATATGCTTCAGCAAAAGACACAATATCCAGGCAGGAGCTTACCTCTATTTCCTGTCGCATGAAGTCAAGGCAAAGTGAGAGGGCGGACTGGAACTGAAGCTGCAGGGCTGTGCAGGTGATCTCGAAGATGCAGTCCCAGCTGAGTGAAAGGGTCCCACTGTAGGAGCAGCCTATAAGAGCCTCTAACTCAGATGCTAACAGGAAGGGAAGGGAAACACAGGTCTGATGGGATTCCCTCATCCCGCAGGTGAACATGCCACGGAAATAGTCACTGCTTGCCGCCAGGATAACTCTGTGAACTGGAGACAGACAAAAGAAGAGTTCACACTTTGACCACTATCAAATAATCATCAAGATACCTAAAGATTGCAGTCATAAGAAGGACATAATGTCTACTAACCATGGAATAAAGTCCCATCCACGTCCAAAATCACATCACATCCCACTCTGTCTGTCCACAGTTGTTCAATGGACTGAAGAGTAATCTTCATTTCCTCTAGAGCAGAGATCTTTTGCTCTTTTGTCTTGGTACTTCCATCCCCCTTCATTGTTTCCTCTTTGTTGCAGACATCCAGCACTCTGGGGACCCCCAGCAGTTGAGCTGCAGCCTTGATCTGGGCCATGGTGTCTTTGTTTAAAGAAAATACAACCCCAGTATAGGCAAACTCCACAACTGCCTGAAGCCCTACATGATCAATCTCAGTACCCATAGACACTGACCACCTGCGGAATCCCACATCCCTATTACCGTCTGATCGTTCTCCACTCCTTTCCCTAAGTCTCTCCAGCATGAGGGAGCTGACAGCAGCCAGGATAGGGGAGTGCACATGGTAGCTGCTCCCATTCTCAGTAGTCAGAGTCAGATCTGTGAGAAGAGATGAATCCCAGAGTTCCTTCAGGGCCCTGAATATCTCATTAGGAGAGGTTTTACTGCATAATGTGTGGACGTCATCCCCAAGTCCTTCATCCCCAAATGCCTCCTCGCTCATAGGCTCCTGGATCCCCTGCTGAGAAGTACTACCCATTATGACCTCTGACCCCTCTTTCTTACTACTCCCACTTGATAGGCCCATACTGGAGTCATTGTAAGCCACAATCCTCCTCAGCTCACGGTTGTCCTGTTCTATCCCTTCTCCGCCTTCTTCAATCACCCTTTTCCTCCTCTCCTTCTCTCTCCTCCATCTCTCTTCCCATTCCATTGGCAGGTAACACCTGGTAAACTCCATGTCAGTGACTAGACCTAACTTTCTTTTAAACTGCTTTCTGTGGTGTTTTCTAATCGTTGATATTATTCAGCAAAATCTAACACGCTTGCCGTCAATTAGCTGCTGTTTCTCATGTTTACTTTTTCTACCTTCCCAAATCTTTCTCTCACCCTCAACTCCTCTCTCTCTCTGAGACTTAACTTTCCTCACTGCATAAACAAGCAGCTATTCATAGCCACCGGGTCACAGAGATTCAGTTTCCACTGAATCTTGGCATGCCCTTCATTGTAATTATCAAGGAAAGAAATGGAGATGAACTTCAGTCTTTATGATAAGATAAGCTGTGTAACTTCATTTATTATTTAAGTTTTAAGAGTCTATTGAAGGGTAAATAAATGAGTCAGGCAAAATATTTCCCCACAATGCACCTAGTTTAACTATGGCCTTGGCTTGAAGAGTGATTAAAACAACTGCCAAGGAGCCACAGGGAAACTGAACTTTATGCACGGTAATATAATGCTTACTTTTATGATTTTCTTAAATGATGTTTTTGTAGTAGAATCAATAATTAATCTGGGCTTCCTTATAAATAGATTTCTTTCACTGTTAGTCAACAATCATTTCCAAGCTGAAAAATGGGGAGATTATCGATAATGATGCTTGTGTGTTTGCTTGCTGGTCTGTCTGGAGGCCAGGCCAAAGGTGAGGGCAATGAGATCCAGATCACTGAGCTGACACATGAAGATCTGGCGGACACCAAGGTGGAGAATAATGGCATTTTGATGACAAAAACAACAGCAGCCACCCAAAGCTGTGAATCACTCATCTACTCGGTGCTGGAGGAGCTGGGGGCTCTTAGTGAAAGATTTGCAGCTACTGTGAAGGCACTGGAGGAAACAAACAAAAAGCTGGAGGCCACTGAGATGAAGTTGTATGCACTTAACAGCACGGTGACTGAACTAAGTCAAGGTAATAACGTAAACTAAACCATGGTTATGCACAGTTAGGTGAAGTTTCTCTTGTAACCACCACAAAAATTTGATGGTGTTAGCAATGTTTAACACTGACCAGATGAACTTCCAGGAGACAAACTATTAATGAAAACTATCTTGCCCTAAGTTTGCTTCAGAACAGCTCAGACTTAAATAACATTTGTATATACTGTAGGTTGTAATTATAAAACGGACATAATCAAGTTTATATCTTTCAGGAAAACCTCGGGTTGCATTTTCTGCTGCATTACCAATAGATGGCAACATTGGTCCTGTAAATGTTCTGTACTCCCTGGTGTACAGTCATGTTCTGTCCAACAGTGGAGGACATTACAGCCAATACACAGGTCAGTATTCATTATTACCTTTTCGTTCCATGTAGTAATCAATTTTTTTAACTTGCTCTGTTTAATTGTTGTTTCTCGATGAAGGTTATTTTACAGCACCAGTGCAAGGAGTCTATTATTTCACCTACTCTTCCCTCTGCTGGGGAGGAGGGGAGGAATGTGGTGGCAGTCTGTACAAAAATGGACACAGGGTAGTGTCGTGGTATGGTCATTCTCCAAACCACCCAACCTCTGGATCTAACAGCGCTATCTTGCAGCTACAAGTTGGTGACAAGATTAATGTTCGTCTTTGGCCGAATATGAGGATCAGTGATAATGTTAATAAGTACTCCTCATTCAGTGGATTTTTGCTTTTCCCTGTGTAAAGTGAATAGAAATGTTCACTGCTTTCAAATACATCAATCTTGTAATATTGGTCAGAAAATTACAAAATGTGATTTCTTCTTTTTGTACTTATAACACCTCCAATGAGTTGCTAACCTAAATGACCACATAGGCTGTTTATCTCTACCCTCTGATCTGACCTTTGTTATCATGGTTATGATAATACAACCTGTATGAAGTGCTATCGACAGGCGTACTGGACCTTCATTGTCAGGGTTACAACAAGCTCATGGAGCGGTCACTGTTTGGTTATGCTTAGACACAAAAACAACTTAGGTTAGGTTAACGGGCAGATCAAGGTTTATAAATACTTCCTTAGAGGACCCTTGTTGTCATGGTTACAATAATAAACATGCAGTTAAAGTTAAAAACTTAGGACTTTCCCAGTCGTTTCTCTTATCCATGACTGTCCCACAACTTTACCCTTGGACTTTGTAGCTCTATATACTACAAAATGACTTCCTCTTTTGATCCCATCATAACGACTACTGCCACTAGAGGTCGCCCAACAAGACAAAGAGTATGGCTCATAATAACCTGCTTACACAGATGACCTTCATGGGTTTTTTTTTTTTTTTTTTAAAAGGATAGCCTCAACACTTCATCTGCTGGCTTAATACTATTTTTCCCTCTTAATTGCTATATGTTGGAGCACACAGGGGTTAATCATAAGACTTGAATATGAATACTTCTTTTTGTTGGTGGATATTTCATGTTAAAATAAATAAATCCTCTGTACTCCTTAATGATATGTAAAATTAAGCTTTTACTTTGTTTTGATCTTCTTACTAATAACCTAATAAATGTTTCTAAAAATCAAAAATGCTTTTATCATAAGATGACCATTCTGATGCCCCTTAATGATAAGAATGTACCACAATCAAAATCTCAGTTACAAATCATCATTTTATTATCTTACTGTTCTTCTAAAACTGTTAATAAAGATGTGTAAGTAACTTTGACTTTTGAGTAATTGTGTTATTTTTTCCTTAGCCATATGTAAATATTATGTAAATGATTGTCAAAAACAGAGACACTCCGTATTGAGTCAGTATTCTCCTGCACTGTTCAAAGAGAAATCCTCTCTAAATTATAATGGCCGAAATTACTTGGATTATTCTGTCACAAAATCTTCATTGAGTAAAATTTATGTTTGCTTATATGTATACTGCTCTACATACTATTAAAGTTTGTGTCAGTTTTATACATAATACTTGATATACTTAATACATCATCCGTAAAAATGGAAAAGTAAGTTAACTGCATTAATGTGAAAAAACTAGAGACATTTCTTAAAATAAATTTATAACTGTTATCATAGCTTGGTATTTCCATCATTCAGTGAGATAAAACAAATTAAAATAGTGCACTCTTTGCTAAAGCTATTGCACACAACTTAATTATTTCACAAGAAAAAAGAAAAGTGGAGTGCTTCTGTGGTATAGCATTGTCCATTAGGATGTTCAATACAGTGTCGTTAAGATGTCACCACATCTGGTTGTTTTGTTGTCCTATGAAGTGCTTCTAGCTCAAAATCAGATCACGACAAAAATCATTAACTGGAAGTAGACAGTAATCACTATTTTTGTACTTAACAAGGATCATTTTGCACCACAGGAACCACGACTTTTCTTGTTGTTCCTTATCCTTTTTTCTTTTCAGTTGAAAGTGATGAGGTATTCTGGGTAGGCCTGGTCATCGTGGAAGATGACAAACATGGAGGGCTGCTGCTGGTTGTTCACCAAACTGTCGAAGCAGTCAGTGGGATCGCTGCCACGAGGAGGGGGCGCTTTCATGGAAGAATTACCGACTGTGTATCGGCCAGTCAGGACCCGAGCAACATACAGCCGCCTCAGGCCTGACGTGTCTGGTGGGGAATATCTACTGGCAGAATAGTCTGCATTGACCGCGAAGTAAACTCCTTTTCCATACATGGCAGCTGTGATAGAAAAGATGCATATCAACTTTTGAGCAATAATTCAACATTATGGGACTTTACTTTCTTGCCAAGAGGTTGACATGATCGATTAGCTAATTAAATTTTTGCTTTTATTTTCATAGACACATTCATTTCAATGGTTTTGATATAGCAACATATGACAAAACTCCTTACCATGTGCTCCTGCAAAGCTCCTGTCAAATCTGTCCCTTTCAATGCAGTTGCATGACTCTGCTGATGTGCCATGGTAGAGGGACTTCTCCCCGAGTTCTGCTAGCCCATTTTTGCCAAGTATACGCTGCCTACACACAGTATAGGCATGCCACAGGTAGAGGTTTTGCACACGCTCAATCTGAGATCAGAAGACAATAAATCAGTTACTTATTCTGTACTCCAGGTTTTTAATGCTTAAAAACCTATGGGAAATGTACATTTTTTGTGTTAGTATACTGACCTTTTGAATATTGTATTTAGCCGTTTTGAGGAAACCCTGAGCTACATCCTGATACTCTTGTGAGTTAAGTTGTAGCTCGACCTTTTTGAAGACTTCTTCATGCATAGGTTCCCATTGTGCCGGCAACTCTAAGGCTGAAGTAGAAGTCATACAACTTAATCTTGTTCAAAAAAGAGGATGGTTTAAACATAAGCCAAGTTTAACGTGAGTTAAGTAAAAAATTGAAAACTGCAAATCGTGACATACTTGCTCCGGTCTCACTCCTTCTCACTCTGTATGTGATCCCTGTTTGCCAGTTTTTGGCTTCTCTCGACTTCACGTTTACCTTCGCAATCATTCTGTCTGGTGCCGTCACATCTGCAGACACTTGTTTATTAATGTGAGCGTTCTCCAGCACGTAGTTGTCATGCAGGCTCAGCTCCTGCCAGGCTCCATCCGTGTGCTGAATCGACCATTGGACAGTAAGAGCCAACATTGCTTCTTTTTTGTCTTGGAGGTCTTCAATAAGTGCTTTGTGGACTGCTGTGTTTACAAGTTCAGTGACACTCAAAACGTCCTCTTTTAGGCCTCTCAGCACATAGACTTCTTCTCCTGACCCTGAGTGAGCTCTAGCTTCAGCTCTAGCTGTGATTCCTGCTCTGTTGCCATCCACGCTTCTTGAACTTTGACGTTTCCTTTGTTCCAGACTCATTCCTAAGACTCTGACTTTTGTTAGCACCGCTTCCAGCTCCATGGCATCAAGGCTGGAAAAATCATGCACATTCACCACTCTGTCTACCAGCTGCTTCTGCAGGATCCCCTCCAAATCACTCTTGACGGTCGTGATGATATCCGAACCATTACAAATCACAGTTAATACAGCCGGCTGCGGCTTTGAGGAGATGAAGGTTTCTCCTTGTGTTGCTGAAGATGCTGGGGTTTTTGAGTACTTCTCTTGCCACTCCTTGAGCTTCTGTTTAGCTTTTTCTAAAAAATAAAAGAAAAAAAGAGACTTTCAGTCTTGGAATTTGTGTGATGTCCACAATATCAATTATCCACTTAATGGAGAATATTGTTAATCTGACCTATCAAATATCCCTCCTGGTTGCTGATCTGACACAATTAAAAAAGATCTTTAACATTATATCCAAATAATGCATTTCATAATAAGGTTTTATACACTACTTATATCAGTTAATAGGAAGAACTTTTGTGTTTCCATGTTGAGGAATTTTAATTAATCAGGAACATCAACAATGGATAATAGTACTGTGTAAGATCCTATGTAGTTTACTTGTCTGTTTGGTTTGACTGTCATCATCATAGCTAATGCTTTGGCATCATCTTGTGGCACAAAGGTAAACTGCATGACTTGAGATAAACGTTCAAAACAGACAAGTATGAATACTATGCTATACTACCAATGTGTAGTAGTCACAGTCATGGTTCCTCTAGAATAAAGACAATTAACTTTGGTTATCCCCTGGTTTTTGTGTAGTGCTAGCATGTAGTTGAGATTTGTGGTTCAGTGAGTGAACTGGATGGATCGATGCTATGAAAGTTGCTACAGATGTTCAAGTTCCCTAAAAGATAAATTCTAATAACCTTGGTGACCCTCAGACTTTCTAATCTACCAACAAATTTTTTTTTTTGCCAAATATCTGCAAAACTAACAAAATTCCCAAAGGTCTTTGTGTTTATTGCTAATTAGCAAATGGTAGCAAAAAAAGTGCTTAGTGCCTTTGATCATAACCCATGGGTCAAACTTTAATTTCTCGATGCCCAATCAGTTTCTGCACTGAAAAAGATGGACTACTGTTTAAGTGGCACAGAGTACACAATTTCCAAGCTTTGTACATGAAAACAAACCTCTCAGGTTGAAGCGGCAAGGGATGGTTTGTCCAAATCGATTCTCCAGCTCTGATCTGCAAAAGCATATCATAGAGGACAGGTAAGTTAAACCAACCAAATCTGACTGGGCAAAGACTGCATCTATTCTAAATCTGTCTGCAAGTTTCCCTTCTATTGCTTGGTGCTGTATGGACAAGATTCATCTCTGACCTGAAAGCCTGGAAGACCGGCTGCTGCAGGATGACAATGCGGATGAGTGCGAGTGAATTCAGTTTCAAGTCCCTAATAGCTGTAGTTATGCCGTCCAGTATGGCTTTACATGCTTTAACAGAGTCCATACCAGCCACACCTAACGGGACAGAAAGACAATGGTTGTGAATCCACATGGAGATGCCACCCGATGATGCTATTTACATTGTGGCAGTGACAGGTTGTAAGCTTTATTTTGGTCCTGCAGTTAATTCACTATCTTCAAGTGGTACTATTTCTTATTGGTTTTTTATCAGTGTATTTTCTGATTTATCATTTTAGAGTCTATACTACATTTATAGAAAATGACTGACCCACCACCTTAACAAGTTGTTTTACCTTTACTTTTCATATGTTATTATTTTTTACATATGGTTTTTCACAAAAGAATAAAACCCTAAGTTGTTTTTGATTAGCACACAAACAAATTATTCATTGACAGAATGCAGAAGTACACACAACCCCTCATATACACACCCAGTCACACCCATATGCATACAGTACAAACCAGTGTTGATGGCTGGGAGGGCTACTGAGTGGTAGCCTTTGCTCTCACACTGCTTCAATATCTTTTTGCAGTTCTTCCGAATCAACTGAGGGTCACGCTTGAAACTAGCATGGATGATTTCTCTACAGCCAAGTAACCCGGGTCCTGTGGTGCACATTAAGTCTGTTGGAATGCCCACTGATGAAAAAAAAGCAACAGTGGAAAAAAAAAAACATCACGTCAAGATGGGTGGTGGTTGTGAATGTGACTTAAGTCAAGTTGAATGAAGTTTTTAAATGCACAAATTGAAAATGCACATAAAACACAAGGTTGCAATTGCACATTACGAGATTTAAGGTTTACCTTCTTTAGTATCCATGTTTTTTTAATCAAATAGCAAAGACAGCATTATGCACATCCCTGAAATCTCATAAAAGTGTGTTTACAATATTTTTCAGGCCATCCCTAAGACTTACCTCGTGCTAACTCAGCTTGAACAACAGGTCCTGCGGCAGTCAGAATAGCTTTGGAAACACCTGTGGAGTTCATGAATATACAGTTAGTTTCAAACCCAGGATAGTATACTGTATATAGCTGTATAGAGGAGTGGTGCTCCACATTTATATCTAAGGTCAATCAAAAACATTTAGTTCATACCAGATTGGTTATTGGTGAAGTCAGTTGTGTTGACAATAATATCAGTGGCCTCATTTACAATGTCACCATGGACCATCTGAAGTTTGACTCTGCCCAGCATGGCTGTGACCTCATCAGTAGTTACTGAGACATGGCGGTAAAAGGAAGCTAAAGACACAGCAATATAAGAAGAAAAAAAAGGCATGATAATGGTTTAATAGTTTCAATCAAATCTGCAGTAATATCTTATGGCTCTGTGTTAAGGGTCGCTGATAGTGACACAATTAAAGAAAATTTAACCACAATTTTTTGTAGTGTTTTGGATTTACACATGCATGATGGCAGAATCTCACCACAAAATCTCTCCAAAATAGCAAATGACTGAGGATGACACTTCAATAAATTAAGACCCAGGTTTTTTTACTCAGGCTTACAGCAGACCAAACCAAACTTGAAAAGAGACTGAAATTTAACTCCAAATGAATAGCAATGCTCCTATTTGCTGGATGTGCATATAGCTAATAGTATGCTGGAATATAGGCCCTAACTTCAAAAGGGGTTAATATAGTGGTATCTTTTTGCGAGCATCCATTGTGGCCTTAAAAGAATAAATGCTTCCTCAAGGATTTAGTAAAGTAATTTAACAAATTGTTGATCAACCTGCAACTAAAAAGAAAATATTCATACTAACCTTGATCTGGGTTAGCATCATTTGTGAATCCTCTTAGACGCAAAGTTTCCTGAGCAGATTGGAAGGTCTATAGAGACAAAGTGAAGGGTTTCATTCCAGTTTCATGATAACATGCTATACAAAAAACAAAATGCAATCGGGTTGTTGTTTTCTAATGATTACAATAGTCAATAGTTTGAGCAGTTGTGACACAATAAATTAACAACAATAGTTCTTTGCAGTTATAACATCAGCATTTACATAATAAATAGACTCAGTCTATATATTGCAGTAAATTTTGTAGGACTCTTTTTTTGTTGCAAGGAATGGCAACTGTATTTCCTTCCTTTACCTTGCTAGATTCTTTGTCGTTGGGGTGAATAACAACACGGACTCGGAAAGATGATGTGCTGATTCGGTTCTGTTCAAATGCCTGGACCTCCTCCAGAAGAACCCTGGATGCCACACTGTGAGGAAAACGCAGGACAGCACCGGTCCCAAGCATGGGGAGGGCAACTGAAGTGAAGCCTCTGATCCCACAGGAAGCCAGAATTTGTCTTATGCTTTTTCTCAGAACCTAGAAGATTCAAGGATTATCAAGATTACTACACCCCTTAGTTTTTAAGTAATGTTTCAAGAGTAGAAAAAAATAAAGCAGACAAAGATAAAAAAATGCTGGTAACACAAAAATCTATGAAAATACAACAAGTCACCTTGACTGCAGTTCCGTTTTGGTCATTATCCCAGGAGAGTAGATTGAGGAAGATCACTGCCTTAGATTGCAGTGCAGACAAACCCTCCACCAGGACTATCTCACCAGGCAGTGTTGCTCCTCCTGCATCTTTATAAAACTTTTCAATCAGCTGAGATCCTACCACACTGGACAAAATGTTTCCAACACGGGTAGTGAGAGGGTCATGGCCAGCCATAGGAGATACCAGGGCATCCACCTACGAAAGAAAAGAAAAATAATCTATCCATCTAATCATTCGAGTTGACACTTAAATGATCCTACTCACCATGTTTAATACAGAGCCGATAGCAGCTATGGATGATTAGCATCAGAAAATTCCTCAATCAAGTAGCAAAATTTATATTTTGCAGCATCAGCATTTAAGCAAAGTTTCTCACCTGCTGGGTCTCGATGGTTCCCTGAACAACCTCAAAATGGACACCGTCTCCAGGAGCTCCAGCAGTGGCTCCTCTTGATGTGTCTTGGGCAGCAGCACCCATCAGGTACTCCAAATCACTAAGTGTAGTGTTTTTGGTACTTATCCCTTGGAGAAGCCTGTCACATGCCTCCTGCATGGCCCTCACTACCTCTCCTCTGTTATCAATCAGGATGATTCTGCGCAGACTTCGCCCTCCCTGACTACCAAACCTTTTTACAGCAGTTACAATAGCCTCAGAGCACACAGTGAGAGGAACGCCAAACACACCTGAGCTGATACAGGGCATGGCAATAGACTTCAACTCCATGATTTCTGCCATATTCAGAGCAGACTGGACAGTTTTTTCAAGTAAGAACCTTTCCCTGCCACCTGCTCTTCCAGCTGCAGGTCCAACAGCATGCAGTAGTGTCTTGCAGTTAAGCTTCCCCCCTGTGGTCACCATCACATCACCTGTAGGAATTTTCCCAATCTGCTTTACTAAGGCACTGCTCTCCCTCTGTATTTCAGGACCGCCTGCTTTACTCAGTGCAGCAGCAACACCTCCACAATGGTCCAGATCTTCATTGGCAGCATTAACCAGGGCATCAGCATCCTGCTTGGTGATGTCACCCTGACACACCAGCACCTGGAGCCCATCACAAAGGCTGTAGCTGGCAACTAATGTCCCTCTGTTACTCAGTCTTGTACCAGATGCCAAATTCTGTTCTTGACACTGTATGAGACACTTCTGAGAATGAGCAACACTTAAAATGCTCTGTCTTCCAGAGGGGCTTTCAAAATACCTTACAGCCCCTGGCAGGTTTATGGTGACTGTGCCCTGAACAAGGGAGTCTAGGAATGGACCCAGTCTGTTTCTGACCTCAGTCACCTTGTTGGCTGGACCTTCCAGTACCACCATAGGCCTAGAGGAGGAGGTTAAAGGATGGAAGGTAACCCCTGAATAGTCAAACTTGTGCAGCTGCAGCAGTTCTGGTAAGAATTGTACTAACTCTGGGAATTGGAGAATGACTTTACCTTCAATGCATGTGTGGTCCAAGATAAACTGTGTGACAGCTTCACCCAGCTCTTCAACCTCTCTGGCGTGACCCAGTAAGCACACTGCGCTGTCTGAGCCAAACACGACCCGAGCCCTACATTGCCCTTTGTTCATCTCATTCTTCTTGGACATAAGCTTTTCTTGAAGCTCAGATGGCACAGCAGAGCAGGTAGGTAGATTAATCTTTACTTCCTTGAACTCACCCTGCAGTGCTTTTTCTGCATCATCCAGTTTATCAGCAGAGAGGGAGAAGACACGTAGCTCTGCGTCTCGTAATTCTATTTCCACCTTGTCACCAACCCCTAAAAAGTTACCTAGCATCCCTGGACCTCCATAAGCCTTCCGTAGGAAGGCCAGAAGATGTGGGCTCATGTTAGAAACTATCCTTTCTAACACCAGATTCTCCTTCTCAGAAATCCAATCTCCAGCCTTAAGAATATCCTCCACAGAACCTTCCAAAACTACCTGACCTGCATCTCCCTGTGTGACCTTAACTTCTGGAAAATTTCGTCCTACACCATGCTCAATCTCTTTCCAGAGGAGGCGGAGTTTGGCCTCACCCAGTCGACGAATGCTGGTTTGCCTCTTAAGTGAGTGTGTCCCTCGATGTTTAACAGTCAGGTCCACTACATCCATCAACCTCGCCTTCACCTGAGAACGTTTCCCAACCACAACAACCAGCCCACCCTCACTGTACACCTTCACCTCATCTGTAGTCTGATGAGAACTGCAGGACTGAAGCAAAGCTTTGACTTTGTGAGGGTCCACCTCATAGTGGCACAGGTAGGCATCAAAGAGTTTGTCTACCTCAGCTTTCCAGTTTCTACCTTCATCTACAACACCAGGTTGGGCTAAACTCTTGACTAAAACCCTGCCCTCCTCTGGGTAAAGCTGAGCAGAGCAGGACACAGAAGCAAATTCTTTCTCTAGTTCTTCCCCGGCCTCGGGACATTCCTGTAGGTAATGTAGGAGGTAAGTATCAGGTCGAAGTTCATATTCTTCACCGCTTGGTGGAGGAGTTGAGGCCAGAACAGACTGCTGTTTCTGTTGTTGGAAAGATATACACTCAGTTGTCAGTTTATTAGGTACATCTCGCTAAAACGAATGCAGTCTAATACAACAGCCCTGCAATAAATCATTTTTAATGGATTCTGCAATTTGGGGGGCTGGTTAATTATATTATGTTATGTTGACAGGTATTTCTATCATTTTGTCCACCCAATTCAAATCAGTGAAAGTAGGCTAAATAACAGAAACACCTCTCTATATTCACTCTGTATCATATTTTGTTTCTATGTCTAGTGTGCAACATTATTTTTGGAGGTTTTCCACACTAACCTGTGATGAGGTTAAGTCCAGTTTTGCACTAACTGCCTGGCCTGGAGTCGACGTAGTGGTGGGGAAGGAGCTGCGAGGTCCGGGGCTTCCTCTTACAGTCAGCACCAGAGACCCACCTGCGAACTCCAACATGTGCTCACATATCTCCAGGACTCTTTGCTGAGCTGAGGCAGAATAAGTTGACATTGTTTGTTAGGAACTTTATCTTTTAGAACCATTTTTCAGTTTTGTTGCCCCTCCATCTGTGTTTTTGAAATGAAATGTGTAAAATGTTGAAACCAAAATTCTTCCTTGACTCTGTGCATTAAAAAACGTGTGTGACACAAAACAGCTACAAAGAAATAGAAAACAGCTATGAGATGCAAAATAATCTCAGGGTTGCGAAATAATTACAAAGAGATGCAAAACAAACACAAGGACACACAAAATGGCCATGAAGTGGTGTAAAAGAACTACAAAGAGACACAAAGCGCCTTCAGAAATATTTTGTGTTTCTCTCAGTCTGGATGTTTTGCTCCAGTGTACAAGGAGTGACAGGTCTCTGTCCCTGCCCAGGAGCTGGTGTTTTCACTGACATACCCTCTCTAGAATCTTAAGTGACTTGTGACCATGACATGCATTTTTTTTTTTTTATTAGAGCAAGAGAATGGATTGCACCTATAGAATTCCTTATAATTTAACATCATTTGCAAACCTATACGGCTCATGTTGAGATGTTGATATGACACAAATATCAGATACCGGATCAATGAGATAGGAATAAGATTCATCTTGTACTTTTTAAAGAGCAGTCTGAGCACAGCGAAAGTGAAACTAGAATATGTTTCTAAATTTGACAGATGTAACATAATTCTCAATTTGAAAAAACATTAACATCGACACTAAACGCGTTTGGATCTTGGTCTGCAAACAGTAAAATTGGTTTATTTTATTAAATAAACAAATAAATAAGTGAAAATAATGTGAGTGAGTGAGATCAACATGATCCAAGGCAGGCATAGCTTACTTTCACTTTCACCAGAACAAGACAAACCAATTTAAGAAATCACCCAAAAGCAGCAGATATTTAAAATCACGTAGCTCACCTTCTCGCTCTTTAAAAGCAATGCTGTAAACTTTATCATTTGTTTTTGTCACTGAACCGCACTCTCCTCCTCCTGATTTTCGGCGAATATGGAAATAGTTTTCTATCCTCTTCAATTGCTCTCCATCCAGACTAGGGCACTCGAAGAACACGGGATACTGGTAAGGATCCCCCATAGTGCAAACACTTGAACTGATTTAAAAATCAAACATTTGTCCGATGAGGTTAGAAGTTGGAGCGACGTGCTGGTAGCGCCATGTTCAGTGGTGTCTTGTCAACTGCCGGCTCAGCTGCGCCCTCTGGTGTTCATTCATGGGTAAGACGTCAAAAACAACTACACCTGTGACTTCCAGTAAACACAGCACTTGCTACTTCCTGATGGTTTGGACGAGGTGGGATTTATTTATTATGTAATTTATGTAGCTCAATTCAAAAACATATAGAGGTCAAATTAGATAAACTTTGATAACAAGAAATGATGATGATAACAACATAAATACAATAGTAGTGTATTATACAAAATAAAAAAAACAATTAAAAAAACCAGCACAAAGCAGATGGCTATGATGAAATGAATGAACACCATTACGAATTGGACACTGTAAATATTAAAGCAGGAGATAAAATAAATAACTTGTGAGATGGAATATGATAGGCAGATAGATGGAATAACAAAAGTTGAAATTAATTATTTTTATTTCAAATATTATTTTTCAGTTCCAAAATTACATTGCATTGCATTACATTAGTATTTAAAAATAAAATAAGAAAATAGAGTTATTGATTAGCAATTTTTATCATATTTTTGTTATTTTAATTACATTGTGTCCCATACATCACTGAAATTAATTTTTTAATTAATTTATAATAATTTTTTTAAGTAAGTCAATTTTATTAGTTGATTACATTTAAAGTGTTAATGTGTATAATCATTCAAATGGCACAATCCAGACTCCATGTTCCTTATGTGTTTCAATGAAAATAGTTCACAACAAAATATCTGTTACAGTGAATTCAAATCACCCCTCACCCCTCAGCTCTAACCTTAACAAACTGTGTTCTTGTTGTTGAGTTCACACGCAATACTGGACGTCAAATGATAAAACGCTGATGTCAGCATTTGAATATTAAAACACTGAGGTATCAGATCTTTATCATGGCCAGGAAAGGGTCCTTTGTTGACAAAAATAACTGCTTGTGCTGTAGGGCAGAGGTATTTTAATATTATGGAAAACAAAGATGACACAGTATTAAGCTTATATTAAAAAAAAAAGTACACATTACACATTACATGAAATGGAGTCTGTACAAACAGTGAAGTTAATGTTAAAAGAGAAATTATTTTAAGTTACTCTCTTACTGACTCTACCTGAGCCTCTTTTTAAAAACAGTTTCAAACAGTTTAAATTGGTATTGGGAGTATTAGAGCAACATGGATAAAGGTCGATATATTGGCTGATATAAGCTTATTGCAAATATAGTTGTACTGAAAAATTCAAACTTTTAAATCAAACTGCCAAATGGATCCATATCTTATATATAATATGATATGTGCTTATGTAAAAAAATATAGTCAGCTGATATAAAGCATTATTATCAGATTCATTAAACTGTTAAATATTAATTTTGGGATTGGCCTCGAAGATAATGACCAGGCCATTGCAAAAATATGATTTTTTTTTCTAAGGACATGCATACAATTCAACAAATGGACAGTGAAGTTAATTTATTTTCTCACCAGGAAATTCCTTTTCCTGCAAAAAGTATGACATTAGATAGTGGGTAGCTTTCTAGAACATTAACAGGAAATCATTTGGATTATAAAGACCAGTAACTTGAAGCATTACTCTCGCAGGCTCATTATGCCTGTTTCCAATGTCAGCAGGAAGCCATTATTCTAACTTGACTGTTGATTTCCATTAAATTCTATTAAATTCAGATATTTCCCTTTGAGTCCCTTCACACATTATGAAAGCACCACTCATGCAAATTTTAAGCTACAATGAAACCAGGGCAAGAGGATCATGGTTTAAAACTTTATTCAGCTTCACAAGAATTTATTATCAATTAACATAAAACACCCAAAATGCGAACAGACAGAATTATGGTTTCACATATCATAACCATCACCAGATGTTTACCAAAGAGAATATTTTATGAGTATAAGCAGCAAAACATTATAGATCTTTATACTTAATTGACTAGACTGTTGGTAACTCTGTTTCTCTGCCCGTCAGTTTGTGATCTCTACATTTTTCATATTGCTGTTCAATAAAGCCACAAAGTCGTGTTTACATGGTATAAGCTTGTTGCACTAAAGAAAAATACACCAGAAATATAAAGCCTGTCACCACTGGGTCTGGGTGGGTTTTTAACATTTCCTATACAGCACAGATGAAATCAAACGTATTAGTATCAGCCTTTTTGAACCACTTGTGTCCGTCTCTTGCCATGGCAGCAGAATGGACACAGGCGTCAGGCTCTTGCCCTGGGACCCAGTTGTCATAGCAGACTAGATGATCATTGACCCAGAACCACAAATCCAGAGCGCAGGTGTAGCGCAGTCCCAGCCAGACGAAAGGAGATGAGGCGTTCTTGGCTCTCTGTTGGACCCATCTCTGCTGGTGAACGTTAGTGATGGAGACCAGGTCACGGTGGTGCTCTCTGCAGTGATCCAAGGCTTCGTCCCAGGTCTTGCTCTCTTGGATCAGGATCAGTTTTTCTGTCATGAACAAACACAGGAAGTTCAGTTCAATTATCAGAACATCGTGCTATAGTGAGGACCGTCAAATGTTGATGCTGATCACAAAACTTCTATGTTCAAGTCACTGCAAGTCAAGTCAACTTCAAGAACAGTTTGTGTGACAGTAAATGTTAATCATCATCAAATGTTAAGATTTTTAAACAAGAAAAAAAACTGATAGATCTTTGAAAAACTCACCTTCATAGCAGAAGAAGGGTTTTTTAGTCATACATTGATCAGTGTCCCATTCTCCTGATGTCTTTACAAAAGTACAGTTCTTTTGCCCTCGTCCATCTCCAAATGGCCCCTGATCCCAGTGACTGAAAGAGAAATTGCTCCCATCTGACCAAGTCCAGGTGTCTCTGAACAAGCCGATCCAAAGTTCATCGCTATCCTGTATTTCTTCCTTTAGTTTGTCATCTTCTAACTGATCTCCACTGGCCAGGTCTGTGTGATGTTCTCTGCAGTAGCTCTGAGCCTGTCTCCAGTTTTTTTCCTCCGTTATCAAACAGAATTTATCACTGGAGCTTTCTGTGGAGTGAACAGACAAAACATGAAATCTAGTCTCAGAAAATTCTGTTTTTCTTACAGGTGAAACAATAATAATTATTATTATTACTATTCATTTTTTAATCACATCAGCCAACTTTTTACATAATTCTATATAAATAAATGAGGTGTATGTCCACATGGAAAACAATTATTAGACAGGCTGACATGCTGAACACGTGTAACAGAATACACAAAACAGTAAGAATATGAGCCGCATGTTCTCACCATTGTAGCAGATAAATCCTTTTTTTTTTTATGACACTTGGATGTCTTCCATTCCTGATCCTTGTTTTTCATCCACACACAGTTCTCACAGTGTTCACTGTTCGGCTCTACATTCCCCAATTTTGCCTTGTTTTCATTGTACTCCACTCCAGGTAGAGACCAGTGCCACGTCCTTTTATTTCCTGGTTCACTGTACAACCCAATCCAGGCTTCAGTTTGATTCTTTACAGAGTCATGGAGTCTCTTAATGTCTGTCATGTCATACACTTTGGCCAGGTCAGTATAATGCTCTCTACAGAATGACTGAGCTTCTTTCCAGGTCTTATTCTCTCCAATAAAGTGGTACTCATAGCGACGACATGTGAAGAAGGAACACTGACCTACACACAGAGAAAGAATATTATTTAGTATTGATGCTGAACAAAATCACTGCTTACACCACGCCACTTAATTCATACGGGACTTGGAGTGTGATTATTGGATAAGCACCATGAGTAGTGTAACTGTTATATGAACCCAGATTCATTTGTACAATGATCTTTAGCAGTCTCTGTGGTGTGGAGCTGGTAAGACGAATCACGTACCCAACAGAAGGAGCAGAAACACACTCCACTGCATCTTCACTCTGTCAGATGACAAGTGATACACAAAGTTAGAGGAACGCCTTACAACATACAGTCCGCACTGAAAATGTACCAGTCATTTCAAATGCCTCTGAGACAAAGACTCAACATTGCACAGTCAGCTCATTCATTGCAGGTGTACTTTCAAATATTACATCATAATGTCAGGCGTTTTGTTATTGTGTTCACATTTGTGAAATCTAGAAAAATGAAAGGATAACACAATAAAATGCAAAGTTGCAGTTACACTTACAACTATACAAAATGATTCAATCAAGTTTGTTGAATGAAACTGCTAAATTCAAAATATTCATTTGATTCTATATGCAAAATGTTTGATTCCATTACTGAAAAACAAACAGCTTCATGTCAGTTTATTAGGAACACCTAGCTAAAACTAATGCAGTCTAATACAACAGCCCTGCAATAAATCCTCCTACATGAAGGTTATAAAGTTCAGTTTGTATTCCAGCTGTTTTGCAGTGGTGCTGATCCAGCTGTACGATCATTTTAGAGGCTGCCGTTTGTGTATTTCTGTATTGCATGAAACGGAGAGATGTTTCTACTATCTAGCCTACCCTCACTGATATAAACAGGGTGAACAAAATAATGGAAACACAAACAGCGGCACAAACCACAAAACTTCACAATGATCATATGGTTGAAGAAAAATCTCTTTAACACAGTTTCAACACAAACTGAACATCGTAACCTTCATGAAGGGAGGATTTATTATGACTGCAATAGTTGTAGATAGATGTTCTTAATAAACTGTCAACTGAGGATAAGTGTATATATGAAATCCCAAATACACAACAGTGATTTAACTTAACTTACATCTGGTGATGTCTTCTCTCTGCGCTTCAATCTGATGTCTCTCTCCCTCTCTCTCTCTCTGATGTGCTGATGAACGCTGCTCCTGGTAAGATACCACATGCTCCACACACACAGTGACCTCTTGTAGTCACCTTAACGTCTGATTTAAATATTAAAATACACAAGCTTCAGCTCTCTGTCCCTACCGCTAATAAAGAGAAGTCCCAAACAAAGGTGATTTACATAGTACAGTGGAAAACAAACAAGGGAAACATGGACAGGGGGAGGGAATGCATTTATGTATACTATTGAATATGTGAGTTGCACTTTGAAGATGCCAAATTTTTCCATTCTGAAAAGTCATAATCTTTACCTGCTGAGGTAGAATTACGGTCATTTCAACAATGATTTTCCTCCAATTTCTATTTTTGTTTATTTTAATAAACCTAACCTCAGACAAAACACGACTTTCATTGCTGATTTCTATGTAAATATATAATTTGGTTTGAACTGAAAGAAAAACAGAGATGATGTTCAACCAGTGAGCTTTCAGTTAATTCATTCCAATGAACCCACAGCACAGTGTCTTTCAGTTGGTGCACAGCAGGTCAACTGAACATACAAATGCATGAGAGCCACAGGGAGGCGTAGTTGTGCTGGTTGTTGGCCAATAAACACACTATTTAACCACTGGAGTCCAAAGTTTATGTTTTGTAACAGTAAAATGTGCTTCTCAGTAAATATCCTGAGTTTAAACTGTTTTTATAAAACTGCCTATCCTTAGGTTATATTCATGTTTGGTTTTTTTTTGGAAATAAAATGACTACCAGCTGATATATCGTTATCACATTTATTAAACTGTTGAATATCAATACATTCAGCCTAAAGTATTTCATTTGTGCTCAGTGAAAACATGCAATTCCCACAATATAGACAGTAACATTTCTAAGCAAAGCAAAAACTACCTCCAAAAGATGCAAACAAAAAAACATGATTGCTGTTATCTGGTACCATGCAGCCATAATGAAGAAAGGCTGATGTTCCTGAATCAGGACAAGGAGACAGAAAAATATGTTTGTTAGTGTAGCCACTTTCTTTAAATGTCTAAACTGCACTAAACCAGACTGTTGGTAACTCTGTTTCTCTGCCTGTCAGTTTGTGATTTCTTTCTCTTGTTGCACTCAAGAAAAATACACCAGAAATATAAAGCCTGTCACCACTGGGTCTGGGTGGGTTTTTAACATTTCCTATACAGCACAGATGAAATCAAACTTATCAGTATCAGCCTTTTTGAACCACTTGTGTCCGTCTCTTGCCATGGCAGCAGAATGGTAACACTTGTCAGGCTCTTGCCCTGGGCCCCAGTTGTCATAGCAGACTAGATGATCATTGACCCAGAACCACAAATCCAGAGCGCAGGTGTAGCGCAGTCCCAGCCAGACGAAAGGAGATGAGGCGTTCTTGGCTCTCTGTTGGACCCATCTCTGCTGGTGAACGTCAGTGATGGAGACCAGGTCACGGTGGTGCTCTCTGCAGTGATCCAAGGCTTCGTCCCAGGTCTTGCTCTCTTGGATCAGGATCAGTTTTTCTGTCATGAACAAACACAGGAAGTTCAGTTCAATTATCAGAACATCGTGCTATAGTGAGGACCGTCAAATGTTGATGCTGATCACAAAACTTCTATGTTCAAGTCACTGCAAGTCAAGTCAACTTCAAGAACAGTTTGTGTGACAGTAAATGTTAATCATCATCAAATGTTAAGATTTTTAAACAAGAAAAAAAACTGATAGATCTTTGAAAAACTCACCTTCATAGCAGAAGAAGGGTTTTCTTTCATGACATCTATCAGAGCCCCATTCACCTGATGTCTTTAAAAAAGTACAGTTCTTTTGCCCTCGTCCATCTCCAAATGGCCCCTGATCCCAGTGTCTGAAAGAGAAATTGCTCCCATCTGACCAAGTCCAGGTGTCTCTGAACAAGCCGATCCAAAGTTCATCGCTATCCTGTATTTCTTCCTTTAGTTTGTCATCTTCTAACTGATCTCCACTGGCCAGGTCTGTGTGATGTTCTCTGCAGTAGCTCTGAGCCTGTCTCCAGTTTTTTTCCTCCGTTATCAAACAGAATTTATCACTGGAGCTTTCTGTGGAGTGAACAGACAAAACATGAAATCTAGTCTCAGAAAATTCCATTTTTCTTACAGGTGAAACAATAATAATAATTATTATTATTCATAATTTTTTAATCACATCAGCCAACTTTTTACATAATTCTATATAAATAAATGAGGTGTATGTCCACATGGAAAACAATTATTAGACAGGCTGACATGCTGAACACGTGTAACAGAATACACAAAACAGTAAGAATATGAGCCGCATGTTCTCACCATTGTAGCAGATAAATCCTTTTTTTTCTTCATGACAGTTCAATGTCTTCCATTCCTGATCCCAGTATTTCATCCACACACAGTTCTCACAGTGTTCACTGTTCGGCTCTACATTCCCCAATTTTGCCTTGTTTTCATTGTACTCCACTCCAGGTAGAGACCAGTGCCACGTCCTTTTATTTCCTGGTTCACTGTACAACCCAATCCAGGCTTCAGTTTGATTCTTTACAGAGTCATGGAGTCTCTTAATGTCTGTCATGTCATACACTTTGGCCAGGTCAGTATAATGCTCTCTACAGAATGACTGAGCTTCTTTCCAGGTCTTATTCTCTCCAATAAAGTGGTACTCATAGCGACGACATGTGAAGAAGGAACACTGACCTACACACAGAGAAAGAATATTATTTAGTATTGATGCTGAACAAAATCACTGCTTACACCACGCCACTTAATTCATACGGGACTTGGAGTGTGATTATTGGATAAGCACCATGAGTAGTGTAACTGTTATATGAACCCAGATTAAGTTGTGTAGTGTAGCTAAAAAAAGGGAAGTCATCGCTCCGGTGTAGAGCTAACATGATTTACTTACCCATCAGAATGAGCAGAAACAGACTCCACTGCATCTTCGCTCTGTCAGATAAACCAAACACAATGATTTTCAACATCTTCCTCGTCCGTGTTTGAGGGAATTCATACAAAAAAAACAAGGCAGAAAAAAGCAGGACTATATATTAATAAGAAATAGAAAATGCTCCAACAGTAAACGAGACATACAATACATCAGCCTTCAACAAATCCTTCTGTATAGGAGAATGTAATGTTACGATCGCAATTACTGGCATCACAGGGTGATACACAAAATAGGAAGAAGACAACTTGACGCAGTGTTATCAAAAACTCAACATTGTACAGTCAGCTTAACAAAAGTCGTATTTATGGTAGGCATATTTTAATTGATTACATTATATTGTCAGGCGTTTGTTATTGTGTTGACCATTTTTAAAAACTCATAAATGATATAAATTTATATAATGATTACTTAATAAAATTATGAATTGCAATTATAAATTATTACATCAAGTTTGATTTACACACACACACACACACACACACACATATATATATATATATATATATATATACACAGCAGCAACTTTACTTACATATGGTTTCTTCTGTCTGTGCTTTACTCTGATGTGTGTCTCTCTCATGTGCTGACGGAAGCTGCTCTGTAAAATATCACATGCTCCACACACATGAGTTATGAGAGAAGTGATTTGCATAATACAACTGAAAAAACAAACAAAAAACAAAAAAAAGGGAAATATTAACTTTTGACTCTCCAACCAAGAAAACAAAAAGTGTCATAAACTGTTGCCAAGGCTGTATATGTCTCTCTGGATTTTATCTCAGGTCTTACTGTCCCCAATAAAGTGGTTCTCATAGAGACGATGTGAAGGAAGAACAATGACCTACACACAGAAAAAAAATAGTGCAGTCGCTTGATTATTTTAAACTTTATTTGACAAGAGTCTGACTGTTATTTCCCCTCAGATTAAGCTGTAGTAATTTGCTATTGATCTTTGCTGACATTTTGGTGTGCAGTAACCAAAACACACAGGCTGTTCAGTGAAATGCATACAAACACTTACTGTATATCAAAGGATACAACAACCCAGAATGTTTCTGTCTAGAAGGTGGTGATGTTTTGAAAATCAAATTCACATTTAAAAGTCAATATTCGAGATTTAGTTTGAAGATAATTTCACATAAAAAAAAAAAATTAAAGTGTAAAATTTGAAGATAAACTTTGCCCTCTTGTTACAATTTTTTATTTTTATTTTTTTAAGACTCTTATTATTGATCAAAGCCCAGATAAAAACTGACAGCTTCCATTCATGGTGGATATTATAATCATGATTTTGTTTTATATGGATTCAAATGTCACAGCTGTCGCATCTCCTCACAACCATAACAGGAAATGCAATGCACTGCATGATTTTACAGGGAAATAAACATGCAAATTTAAGTCATCCATGTATTCAATATCCTTGAACAAGACTAATCAACAGTACTCAGTTGTTTACAACCTTTGCCTCACCTATAATATAATAAAAAAACAATATTTTCAATACAAGACCTGAAAACATATTACAGTGTAAGTTTAAAGAATATTAGAATAACATGCTATAAACATTAAATAAGATGTGTAAACAAATGTGAGTTTTGCTATCCCTCACTGGCAGCAGACTGATTAGTGGACTACAGTTCAAGTGAGACAAGTTGTTTTTAGTTGCTTACCTCAGGTCAGTTTTCCCACATTACAGTTAGGAAACAAAGCAGACTCACAATGTACTAAACAAAACTTCAGGGCAAAAGGAAACCCAGTACAGTGCAGGTGTGTGCTTCAGTGAACCGAAGTGTTACAGTCCTTACAGTATCTTGCTTGTTTAACTAAAGCTAAAGTAAATAAATGTAGTAAAGTAAAAAGAAAAATATTTCCCTCTGAAATGTAGGAGAGGAAATATAAAGTAGCATGAAAAGGAAGTACCTCAAAATTGTATGGAAATACAGTAGTTAGAGTAAATGTACTTAATGACTTTCCACCACTACATATAACTTCAACACTAATGTATTTTAATACTGTTCAATGACCCAACAAGTAAAACTAATTAATTACTGAGTGAAAACAAAGAGGTTGGCTATTATAGAAGCTAATATGAAAAAGGTAAAAGACTAAATAAACCACTAGAGTCACACAAAAGACTCAAGAATGAAGTAGTAAACTCTGTATTGATGAAAGTATCTCTACAATCCTCCATTATCTCTGTTTGTTCACTGTTTGCTAAAATTAGATCATATATTGGGAAAACCTTTTTATATTTGGTAATTAAAGCCAGTCCAACATTGGGAATGGAAAGGTGTGCCTGCAGGCAGCTAGCTAACATCAGTGAGCTAAATTGTAACTTCAGGCTAAAGTTAGAAACTAGCTAACAATAGCGCCCATCCATTGATACTTGGCACAGTCTAATTTAGAAACTCTGAAGGTAAGAAAGTAAAGTGCATTGAACAAGCTAGATAGTTTGCTACTGCTACTTACATTTTCCAACAGTGTTTCAATTTGCTTGTGCAACACACACAGGAGCAGGGACGCTACACACTGTTTGGAGTAAGGCAAGCAGAGGGGCTGTTCAGGTAACATCAGAGTGACGAAATGGTACGGTCCACTTTAGGTGTGTCTGAACTCGTAGTACAAGATTATTCCAGGCGTGAGTATGCGGAATATAATGTACTATTGACAGTTACAGGTAAGTAGGATATATAAATGTTTCTCACCCCCCCTGAACTGTTGTTTTTACCTCTTGTCCAAGTCTTAATCAGGGGGGTCACAAACATCAACAAAAGTGTAGTATTTGTGTAACCTGCCTGTCAGAGACCAAAGCAGGCTGATACAGTCTTGTCTGTGCTGCAGTTATATGAGGAAAATTACCGCCCCCAAACAGGATTGGATTTTATTTTTATCCTTCTCCTCGCACCTCTTCATGAAAACGATTCATAGCATTTAGTGTTTGTAGATCTATACTGCCATCTGCTGTTCACACTGAAATGCAATGTGTTTCACCTTTTTCGTGTGTGAGTTATGTATAGATTTTAAACATGGCATGGAAATTCATGCTGCTATAACAACAGTTGTCTTTTTTTTCAACTCAAATGTCTGAAAATTGAATCAAAAGTTCATATATTTTTTTTACAATATTATATATTCGAAATGTATACATGTAAAATGTATGTTAGATCATGCCTGTGGAAGTAGACGGGATCACTCCATTGTTTAACAGTTTATTGTTTAACAGTTTCAACAGCAGAGAAATCAGTTATCCATTTAAACAAAACTCCAAAAACTGTAATCATAACATAAATGTGATTTTACATGATGTTACTGGATCTTAAGCACAACATCAAAAAATAAAACATGAATATAGACTGGTGTTTCATTCCTGTTGTCTCTTGTAAGCAGATTACCTTATATACTGATGTGAGAGAAAACTAAGTTTTAAATGACTAAATTTAAAACAAAGTTTTAGATTACAGTCGAGACAGACAGCTGCCCACAATGTGCCTGGTTCTGCTCAAGGTTTCTACCTATCAGAAAGAGTTTCTTCTTGCCACTGTTGGCAAGTGCTTGCTCATAGGGGAACGTTGAGTCTCTTTAAAAAATGTTATAACCAGTATTCAGTGCTATATTAAAAAATTAAATAAAATTGAAATAGGAAAAAAATTGAACCTGAAATAGAAAAAAGGGGAAGGACACTTATGGAAATAAGTAATATATACAAACGATCAGTGTAATTTCACCAGGTGTGACAAAGACAGTGAAAAATATGTTTACATGATTATTTCAGATGGAATTATAGTTGTAAATCTCCCTAGTCATCAATTGCTTTGTATTTGAATTTTATTTTTATTTGCAATCTTTAATGAATTTTGTAAGTTAGTAATTTTGTGTCTGTCCTCCCAAGATTGTGATTCCTACAGTTCCCAGAAAGCCCTTCAATAAACCCAGAGAACATATGAAGTGGAAGCTTCTTCAGCACCAACAAGAACAAATGGAGGAAATGAATTTTAAATTTTAGTGAGTGGAGTGAGTTTTAAAAATCAGAACAGATGAAATTAAACTTCTCGCTATCCATTTTTTTGATCCACTTATAGTGTCCTCCTGTCTCCATGGCTCCAGAAAAGTCACAGTCATCCGTCTTTTCTTCTGACTCCCAGTTCAAATAGTCAGCTGTCTCGTCACTCACCCAGAACCAGAAATCCAGAGTGCAGGTGTAGCGCATTCCCAGCCAGACAAAAGGAGATGAGGCGTTCTTGGCTCTCTGTTGGACCCATCTCTGCTGGTGAACGTCAGTGATGGAGACCAGGTCACAGTACTTCTCTCTGCAGTGATAGAAGGCCTCCACCCAGGTCATGTTTTGTTGGATCAGGATCAATTTGTCTGTCATGAACAAACACAGGACCTTAAAAAAAATCTTTAAAACAATGGGCTCCAATAAAGATGAAAACAGAAAAAGACAGAGAAAGTATCAAATAACAATTCTGATATATATCAAAACTTTTATTGTTCAAACACTTCAAGAGCAGCTGTTGTGTCAGTCCACATTCACACCTAAACTAATGGCATCGTTAGAGGAGCACTTCCTTCAGATAGGTCGGTCATCATCATCAACTGTTAACATTTCAGCACATAAGAATTAATACAGACTATGATCAAAGAAAGAAATCATTATAATATTTTGGTTAAACCCATCTAGAAAAAAAAATGGCTAAGCATATTCACCACTGAAAGAGATTCATGCATGCATAAAAAAATAACTAAACAGATAATAATTATAAACTCAGTGGGTCAAAACAGATCTTTGAAAAACTCACCTTCATAGCAGAAGAAGGGTTTTCTTTCATGACATCTATCAGAGCCCCATTTTCCTGATGTCTTTAAAAAAGTACAGTTCTTTTGCCCTTGTCCATCTCCAAATGGCCCCTGATCCCAGTGTCTGAAAGGGAAATTGCTCCCATCTGACCAAGTCCAGGTGTCTCTGAACAAGCCAATCCACAAGTTTTGGTTGTTGTTCATTGCTTTCATTTGGCTTTTGTTCGTTTCTTCCTTTAGTTCATTATCTTGTAACTGGCGTTCTCCACTGACCAGGTCTGTGTGATGTTCTCTGCAGTAGCTCTGAGCCTGTGTCCAGTTTTTCTTCTCCTCAATCAAATGGTATTTAACACTTGAGCTTTCTGTGGAGTGAACAGACAAACAAGCATCATATGAAATGCCCTTTTTTTTTTTTTTACAATTTGGCTAGTCTTAGAAAATTCAATTTTTCCGACAGATGAAACAACACTGCAAAAATAAGTCCTTGATTCAACAGTAGTTAAATGTGGCTCAGGAGCTAGATCGGATCAGGAGCTAATCAGAGGGTCGGCTCCTCCAGTTTGCATGTTAAAGTGTCCCTGGGCAAGAAAATGAACCCTAAAATTGCCCCCGATGTTTCATCAGTGTGTTAGAAAAGCGCTGAAGGCAAAGTAAAAGCCCTCTATGAACATATGAGTGAACTGGTGAATGTGGCTGGTAGTGTGAAGCACACAAGACTACAACATCGCCACATTGGTGCAGTCCATTTACCATGTATTAGATGAATATTTTTTTAACATCACCCAGGGTTTTACTTCGTCCATATGAATAAATGAGGTGTATGTCCACGTGGAAAACAATTATTAGACAGGATGACGTGCTGAACACACGTGATAGAATAGGCTACTCATGACAGTAAGAATATTAGCCACATATGCTCACCATTGTAGCAGATGAATGAATATTCCCGATCACAAACAATATCGAACAATTTACGTGCAGTGTCCATCGAAACACAGTTCTCATGACCTGTTTTATCATTCGGCTCGTCTTTATTCCATAGTGTGTGTGTATCATTGTACTCCACTCCAGGTAGAGACCAGTGCCACTCCTTTTCTCCTGTGGTGTTGTTGTACAACCCAATCCAAGCTTGAGCCGCTGAAGAGTTATGGAGTCTCTTCATGTCTGTCATGTTATACACTGTGGCCAGGTCAGTATACTTCTCTCTACAGTACAACTGAGCTTCATCCCAGGTCTTATTCTCTTCAATGAAGTGGTACTCATAGAAGTGACATGTGGAGAAGGGACAATGACCTACAGAGAGAAAATACTGTAGTATTAGAGCTACTAGCATGACACGCATCTAAAATCATAAGCTCCACATTTCGTTTGTACACCTTGCCACCTGAATTTAAATGTGGCTCAGTGTCCAGTCTAATTACTTGATTTATTTTTATCGACCCAGCATAAACTGTAGTGATCCTCAACACAACAATGTAACAAAAAGGGAAATTACAGAAAAGGTTAAAGACCCCACTGGACTATTGGACTTTGAATAAACTTTCACTTCAGTAATGATCAGTGACATATAAACATCAAACTGTAGTTACAAGTATTTAAAAAAAGAATTGCAGCAGTAATACTGCCCGATATCTGGTAAGATAATTCCCTTACCCATCAGAACCAGCAGAAACAGACTCCACTGCATCTTTGCTCTGTTAGGGGAAACTGATATTTTAGTGATTTTAGTGTGCAGCAAACCAGGCACAGTGATTCTGATATAGATTGTGGCAGTTTAAAGAAAATGTGCGGTTAAGAAACACAAGCAAAGTGTACCACCCTCTCCAGGAAGCAAAGTAATGCTTAGAGGCAAACATGCAAACTATGATCAAACCATGAAAAGATCTAACAAAACCCTAACTTTGCTTAAAATTATATTTAGTATGAAGGAGTAATGAAGGAAAACAACAACGCTGGCTGTACTGTCCACCTCTGCACACACAGTTAATGATATATCAAGGTTACACAACAGAATCATAACTTACATGGCCTGATTCCCTCTCCCAGCACCTTCAGTCTGATGTCTCTCCTTGATGAGGTGATGACGACTACTCAAATATTGACCTGGTAGGTGCTGTCCTATAGCCACCTTAATAGGCTACCAGCATTTCAGTATTCAAATACAGAGGACTCAGATCTCTATCATGATGAAGAAATTATCCATGGATGTCAGGAACATAGTTTACATAATGTAACTTTAAAAAAAAAAAAAAACAGAAGTGGGACATACTTCCCTGTCGACTGCCCAACATGCAGGAACAAAGATGCTATTCTACAATATCCACTAATAAGACAAATTTATTTAATTCATGTTAACTACTTAAAAAGAAGCCTGATGTTTGCATTGTCCAAAATTCAACTTGGAAAATTCAAAGATAACATTTACTCCCTGAGTTATTGAGGTATTAATGTTATTATGATTTTAATCCATTTTTGGTGTCATTCTATTTATTGCATTTACATATACTGTAACTGATGTCAGGATTGAATATTATAACACTGAGGTTTTATTGTGCCCAGGAAAGTGTCTACTGTTGACACTAATAACTCACTGTCCTTTAGGAGATTCACAATTTAATTTAATATTATAGAAAACAAACATATCACAGTTTTAAGCAGATAAAAATGACATCAAACACAGTTGGTAAAAATAGTGCACAATAATAAAATTTGAAAGAAATAGAGTCACAAAAGCCACCTGTTGGAGAAAATGTAGAATTTACTGTACATATTAGGCAATATTTCAGCTTTGTTGCTGATGTAATTTCATTTCATTTAGATTCCTCTTTCAGACACAGCTAACATATATAATGGCATGAATAAAATTTATAAAAACAACTATAGGCAATGTGAACAATCACATACTTTTACAGTGAAATAAAACCTAGTTTCAGTCTATTTTTTTGATAAACAATTTAAAGCAATGAATGAAGTCATTGGTTGTACAGTACAAGTTTAACCTAAAGGGCCTATCCTGGAAAACCATGGTATGCCACAGTGATGAAATGTACCTAAGTACATTTACTCAGATGATGTACTTAAGTAAAAAATTTGAGATACTTGTACTTTACTTGAGTGTTTCTATTTGATGCTACTTTCTACTTGTGGGAACTTTTGAGTGCAAATTAAAAATAATAAAAGAAATAAAATGGTGGACATTTATGACATATAGTAATTCATAGGCCTACTGTTATTTAGTAATTACACTAGAAGCTCAAGGTCCGTACATCGCACTAATCTTACAAAAACAACGATTCGTCTAGTCCTAACAAGGGCTAGTAATAAATTACATATATATACAATATAGTAAATAGAGTGGTTTTTGACACACCATATTATCAGTTTTCAAAATTCTCGCACAGCTTCCTATAAAATTTATTTATTTGCAAAGTTCTCCACTGCGGGACCAATAAAGGACTATCCTATTGTATGTACAGTAGATTTAAAGGAAAAACAAGTGGAGTTAAGTTAAGTTTCCATACGGTGCACAAGCTTCTATAAGGGTATATTAAATAACACAATTAAACAGGCTAGGTTATAGTTTGTTGTATTTTGTATATTGTACATCGTATTTTTTGATATTTGATTAATTTTCTTTTATCTCTTCTGATATTTTATTTATTTTATTTTAGTTTCATGTATCTATACATAAAATAACACATGTATACTTCATGTTTCCTTATTGATAAATGGCATTCAGAGTGGAGGGCAAAGGAAGAATGACCTTGTACAGGGAAACTTTTACACTGTGCATATGACAATAAACGCCTTGACTTTGAGTTGAAGGCCTTAACAGTCACCACATCTCAGCCCAAATGAAGAGCAATAGGAAATTTTTGCAGCGACATGTTAGACAGCGATCTCCATCACCATCATCAAACCACCATATAAGGGAGTATATTTTGGAAGAATGCTTCTCAATACTTTTGTTGAACAACCCTAACCATCACAGCGTTGTTCCAGGAGCAGCATCTGCAGGAACCTCAACTCCTCCCCTCTCTTTGCTTGCGCTGTCAGCTGTTGCCATTGGAAAGCATCTAAGATGGTGCTGGCATCCACATGATCCTGAAGATGATCTTGATATCAGTGATGCAAGTAACTGCATTGGTGTTATTTTCCATCCCTGCCCATGATGATACACTGCATACGTACATGTTCAAATATTGTTACGTTTGTTAACGCATCCTTGGCACCAATTGCACATCTTGGACACCCAATTCTTTTTTAAAACTTATATCACTTATGTGGGTTTTTTTTTTTTACCCAGGTCATTGTTTTGATTTAATGTCTGAAAATATCCATCCTTGTAAGACTTGTCCATCCATCTAATGCAGGATTTTACTGGCAGTAGAAAGTGAGTACGTTCTGCTGGTTTCCCCGTATCAGCACCGCAGGGCAGTGGAGGCCACAGGTCAGAGTATCCAGCCAGGCCATGTACAGAGCCCTGGGGCAGTCACTCTGCGGCACAGGGAGGCTCCTGGGAAAAAAACCAAAAAAAAAACCCATCACATTTACATATAACAAAACAGAACAACAAGAACAAATGCTGCTTGTATTTTACCTTTGACCAAAGCATTGTACAAGTCAAATATAGTGTACACTGTGGTTTGCAACAATAACAAAGATACCTAATCTTTCCCATGTCTCTGAACAAGACTGCCATGGAAATAGCCAAGGACTGAGGGCTCTTTGTGCATAATTTTGCATCCTTTTAAACATCAGTCAATGCATTGTTTTTATCTAAGAGGCTTCTATACATGTTTCACCTATATCATCACACACACTGATACTGCAGAACAATATTCAAACTACATGTCAGAAATTCATGATCATTAGTTCCAATAAAGAGAAATCTGAATGCTTCAGGATACTGTGATATTTTTGATAATAGTGTGTTTCTAACTGTGTGGCAACAGTTTGTGGAAGTCCCTTTCCTGTTTTAACATAACGACTAATGGTTTTGTTACACAGTCCAAATACATTTGGCCATATAGAGTAAGTTCACTGTTGAAGCTGCTGGGACTTTCTGAATCGGAATTAAAACTGGTATTTACCTCATGATATATTATATGTATGTGTGCCCATAGGAGGAGTTATAGTTGTTAAAAAAATACATTGATAATCACTTATATCTGCTTAAACCTACATTATAGCGTGATATGAACCATTTGTACAGCTTGTAAATGATAAGTAAAGTACGAGTAATTAATTCTGAGACAGAAGATGAGAATATAAGGATGGAGGTGGGAGGAAGTGACGCCATGGAGATGCCGCTTTGAGAAATGGAAAAAATTACTGACTGCGCTCTTTAAGAGAAATCCTATCTTCTCGATCTACATCAGAGGTGACAGACCTCAAAGGAAAGCTAAACAAACGCCATGTGCATTAAATGTGCTCTATTTGCAGTAAATCAAATGAGGCTTGATGTAATGTTTTCAGGAAACCTGCCATATGCAAAACTGAACTGATAATGTAAACTGTACTCACACAAGCACGAGAGCAGCATGTTGTGAATTCCTGCGGATGATTTCATTCAGCCTCACTTTTCTCTCAGACTGTGGGAGGAGGAGATAAAAGTGAGACACTGACTCGGAGTTGCATAATGCGTTGAAATGCACACACATTTGACCGAATGGATGACATTTAAAGGGACAGCATGTTGTCGCAAATGAAGGAAGTGAATTATGTATACACTAACATGCGGATACACACGCGCACACACACCTTAAGTTTGAAGGCCTCGAACTCTTTGTCAGATATTTTCCATGGGGCGCTTTGTTTCAAGTCCTCCACTGAGATGCCATCCTGCTGTTCATCATGTAGCCTGAAGGGGGCGACACTGTCCACAAACCTACTCAGGCTGAGAGGCAACAAGAACAGCAGGACAGGGGTCAGTTTGGCGTATTGGGCAGAGATTAAATTCAGTGAAATTAAAACATAACAACAGAAATCCAGTTTCATTCCGTCATTAGGGGTGTGAGGCTTGAAAGTAGCATTCAGGTGAGTCAAACTCAGACATGAACAAGGTGATTTTTTTTCCTCAGTAGCCTCCCAAATAGCAAAGTAAATCCATCCCATACTTGGGCCACATGCTTTTTTTTCTTCTGAGCCAGTATACACCCGATTCCACGACCAGAATTGGCCAATATACAGCATGACTGTCACATGCTACTCTCATATCTGGACCAATTCTGATGCACACAGAAAATGTTCCAGCTGTCAGACAGTACTGGAGGATAACAGCCGGACTCTGCCCAGATGTGGAAGTGTATAGGCCAGATTCAGGCGACCCAGGCATATTCTGGGCCAGAAGGTTCATTTTGCTATCTGGGCTACGTCTGTTAAATTTTCTTGTAAATGTAACTTTGAAAAATGAAATGAATGTAATTGGGTTTTGTGGACATACTTCTTGGCGTGCGGACGCTTCTCGCTGTCTGTCATGACGATAACGTCATTAAAATCCAGACGGAACCTCTTCAGCAGAGCGACCATCCTAAAAAGAAAAAATAAATAAATAAAAATGTTCACAAATTGCACAAGATGCATCTAAAACTTTACACTGCCAACAGCTTGCAGTCGAAGATACAGGTGTAGAAATGCAGATCAATGCAAGACCCAATCATGTCATCATCAGGTTATGTATTCATCAATTTCAACACATTGGTTATACAATCTTGGATGTTTTATGGGGAAATCATTCATTGATTATTAGTTGCAGGCGTTACTTTGCATTCTTCTCTTTTTCCAAAATGACCTGACCGTATATGGAGTATGCATGTTTCATTCCAAACAGGTTGCATTGTGAATTGATTTTGCAGCTCAGGAAGTGGAAAACATACAGGGACGTGACCAAAAACGTATTCTTTCTAAGTGGTTGGTGTGCCCCAGAACACTTATACCAGATGGTAAAATGAAGGAAACCTACTCGTTGCGGCCTTCCTCCATGTTTTGTTCATCTCCCACGATGAAGACCCTGACCTTACTGCTGCGCCAGTGTTTCCTCCTGGTGAGCAGGTAAGGCACCAGCAGAGTCAGACCTTAAAAGAAACAAAGAAGAGAGAGACAGCAGATAAGGAAGAGGAGCCAACTCAAAGGGAAAGGATGAAGATATGGCCGAAGGTAGAAGGTGACACACCTACTGTTTATTTTAAAACTGAGATGTTTATACTGATTTTCATCTCATCCATATTATTTTATGTGAATTTGATGTTGTACATATATCCACATATACAGTAACTTGTGTCTTTGGACTCACCTCCATCATCAGCTATCCAGTAGACGTCAATGGTCTTCTTCCCCTGGTCATTCTGAAACACCGTCTTGATCTGATCACTGTCACATTTATCGGAGATGTCGTCAACTGTAACAGCAAGAGGAGGAAGAGTGAGGTGTGGGGGCAGCAATTAGATTTTACTTACTTATTCTGCAAGTAATATTAGGAAGCAATATTGAACTCCCTGCTGTGTTTACAGAGTTATTCTCTTGATAATTGTTTGGATTCAGTTCTTCCTGCAGTTAAAGTTTGAATGGAAACATAGTATAAAGCATGATGGTGCAATCATTAGAGCAATTTAGTGAACCCGGTGCACTAGTTTGACCCCGTAAAATACATTTTCATCTTTCTTTTTATTACCCTGAGTAGCTTTAAAGTTGAAAAGAATTATTTCACTCCACACTGCCCAAAGAATCACAAACTGTTCGGTATATTCTGTGTCAGGAGCTTCCATTTCTTCACTGAAGTTAAGTTCTAACAAAGTATTGAAACCTCAGGCTAGTGCTGAATGAAAAGTGAATGAACTAATATTTTTCACTGGTATGTTTGTGAGTTGGAGATGAATTGAGTTTACATTGCCTCCAGGAAATAGCATCGTGTCCACACTATCAGAGTACAACTTAAATAGTGTTAAAAATCCACTTGACTACTGTATAATGAAGTTTAGCTTTAAGCAGTGCAGCTAGTACCTGACTGGGCTAAGCTGTGTGTGCTCACCACAAACCCATACAAACTGACACCAACACAAATATCAGAGAAAGTTAAGTAAATACACTTCTTGATTTATCAGCTTCGTGTTGTTGACAGTTTGATTTTAATGGATAATGAAGCATGTTGTTTTACTTCCACTCAACACACAGTATCTCACCTTAACACATAATTAGTGTATCCATTATGGCTTTATTATATCAGGTATGTGTGACTGACTTAGGGAGTGTGTTCCCAATTAAAAAGGTAATGACTGTCAAACGCTGAAATTTATGTGGAAACTCAGACAGGTTTTTGCATTTTAACAAACGTAGCCAAAAATAAAATAAAAATGACGTGAAATTTTAATAATTTGTCCCAGCAATATTTAAGTCCTGAAAGATGAGATGAACTATGAGGAGGACACTTTGTGTTTGACAAAGAAGTGACATTTTGGGTCAGTTTTAGAATACACACCAACAGACTGGACAGCGTATCTACACAAGAACAGATTTGTTTTAAGGAGCAATATTTAAGTTTTGCTATTGCTTCATAGCTTGTGCTAACAGCTGTTTACTTAGCAGTCTTGGCAAGAGCTTCAGTCGTTGTGTTTGTAAGACAAGACGTTATAATACACCCTCTGAGCAGCACTGCTTCTTCAAGGCAGGCTTGAAGCTACAGCGACAAAAACAGAAGCAAAACAAAGGAGTTTCTTTCCACTGCTGGAGACCACTCTTGGTGAGTGAAGCAATGAAGTTTGAAGCTGAACTTGTAATGCTTCCTCTAGACTTAGACTGGTAAGTAATCAGCTGCTAATGCTAACGATGGCTGTGTAGTAAAAGCAAAACTTATAAATAGTTTCATTAAAAGAACTAAAAATGTTTAAGATCCTATATCAGTTACAGTTAGTCACTTGGATCGATTCTAATTTATGGGTTTAGGTGATGCACTAGGGAATTATTGTGAGTCAATATGTTCTCAAAATACTGTAATCCAGTGTTTATGTGTGCATACAGTGAGTGCTCACCTGATACCCTTTCAGGAGACTGCTGGTCGTCATTTTCATCTGATCTGTCAGGCTCAAAGCTGTGGTTCACTAGAGGAAAGATATTACATCCTCAAACGGTTTTGTTTGTTTTTTTTTTCTTTTTCAAATTGCACAAACATGTCATATTGCAGGAAATCACACAGAGTAAACTCAAATTAATGTATGGATTTTTAACCTTCACTTTCAAACTGGTCAAAGATATCCAGCCCGTCCATCATCCTCAAGATACACAAACAGTAGTTGGAGTCAAAGGTATCACTAGAAACAAGAACAGCAACCGTAACCACATTGACATTACATTTGAATCACGTTTTTAGTTTCTGCAACAGTAACCTTTTTCAGTCTGCAAAAATTTGTCACACCATGCAGAGCTATGAAATCTTTTGGAGTCAATAAAACCATGAAAAACAAGTAAGGCTGCTTCAAGGCACAAATGATAATGACCAACTTACTATATGGTGTTGATGTAATCTTCAATGCTTTCAGAAGAACTGTCCCTCCAGTTTGTCTTGAAGCCCAGGACCAGAGTGTTGGGCTTCAGCTTGCCGAGACCAGATGCCTTGCAAATGACAACAAAAATTATTTGTCAAGTTTTAGAATAAAAGCATAAAAAGAAAAACATACTGTAGGTAGATATATTTGTTTGTGCAGATATATTATGTTTAACCGTTCTTCTGAAAGAACCCAATAGATGATATGTTGTGAGAAACAAATGAGAATGAAGATGAGAGATAAAATAAAGGACGCAAGTTATTCACAGCCCAAAAATGATTTTAAGATGTTGCCACATACAGTACATTCCCCAGTAGATGCATTTTGTACAATTAAAGCTGTAATTAAAGATAATGGAAGTTGTACCTGTAGCAAGTGCCGAGCTCCACCTCTGAGACTGTGTGCACTGAAAGGAGTATAAAACGAGCGCACCTTTCTCTTGTTCATCCACTTTACCAACCACTCTGTGGCATCCGGCGGCCGAGTCTGCCTCTCCTGTTCCTAAAGGAGGCCGCGAATTCAACCACATCTTTAGATAACAACGCAATGTAACCAAAAACTTTTGGAACAAAGTCGTTGAGACTGAGCGACTGACCGTGATTATGTCGCCGCAGATCATGAGGCTTATATGCTTGGTGAAGGAGCCAACAAAGTCCACCAGTGCAGGTCGCTGGTTTGGGGGCCCAGTCAGGACAAGACACTGGGGTCTGAGAGAACACATAAGAGAGAACAAATGAGGGTCAAAGGTAACTGTTTTAATCATTGCTTTCACCACTGATGATCACCTGTAAAAGACAGAATGTAAATACAGCGCTGTTCTACTAAATGAGAATGAGGAAATGGATTAATGGACAAATACTATTAGAGAGATTTAGTTTGGTGTTTTACACTCATTGGCCGCGTTCTCATACAATTATCAACTGACATGAGAGTTGAGGAAAATTGATACATAATATGATTGAGATTTTCACTCACCTAAAGTTCTTGACATGATCCTCCACACCAGACAGAGAGACAGAGTATGACAAAGCCATGTTGTATGTACCTGCCTGGACTGATGATCCCCAGTTTACCTCTATGATTAAAAAAAAACAACACACACAAGTGATGGCGGTATCAACTCACTGTGAGCACATCATAGAAGCCACACTTATTTCAATCTTTGATCCAGGCCACATTAATCTGATCAGATGAATTTCAAGATACGTTGTTTGCTTTTCTTTTTTTTTTTTTTGACTTACTTGGCTTGTTGTAGTTGACGTATCCAAACAGGAAGAAGATGATACTGAAGGTGACGAGAGCAGCCCACCAGGTCAACAGGAACATCAGAACTACAGAGATCACTGCTCCGAACAAAGCCGTCCATTTACTGTAGTAGTGAAATGACGGCCTCCAACCTAAAGGGAGTGACAGTGAGAAATACAGAACTCTTAGGTACCATAACACAGAATCTCTAATCTCATATACATTGAGATCATGATGTCCATCAAATTAGATTTCGAGACTTTTGGCCATTCAGTAGATTCGGAAATTGAAATGACCTGCCTCTGCCTCCACTAATTCATTTTCTGTGTCTGATAAAGGGTGGCCAGAGATCTATCCCAGCAAGCAGTGGGAATACAGAAAAAAGATTGATTTCTTAAAGCTCCATTCCCTGGTGGGAAACATTTCTTACTTTCAACTGTCCTTGTTATGTTACTGAGGCTGTGATCCAGGTATAGCTTTCAGAAGTATTACATTATGGTTTTCTAGGGAATAATCAGGAAATTTAAATAAAGTCTTTGGTAAAATTCACAGGTATGGAGTGACCTCATGGCCGAGGGGTTCAATGGACTGATCATGAACTAGAATGTCCCCAGTTCAAGTTTGGCTGGGGACTGTTGTTGCACGTCATTCCCTGTCTGCATCCTATCTTCTCATTTCATGATGTTTCTATAAGGCATAAAATGTCCCAAAAAACACTTCAGCTAAAAAGGAATACAGATGAGAACCAGTGCCATATCTGTTTCAACAAAATGATCACTTGATGCATAGGTAATGATGTACTAGCAGATTTGTGACACCAACAGTCTGTGTCTACAGGTAAGGTAACAATGAAAGAAGGAACACTTGTGTCTAGTCTTGTGTATAGTGGGGTGGTGTGTGAGAAGGACACTCACCAGGGGAGTTGGTGATTGAAGCGTGAAAGCAGCTGAAGTTAATGAGACAGTAGGAACACAGGAAGAAGTTGGAGATCAAGGATGCGATGATGTTCAGCTCACCTATAATGACACAGAAGGGAGAAATCAAAAACACATTCAAATCCAGAGATATATAAAGGTATTAACAAACTAATGAAATCTCTTTAAACTGTTCTCTCTTTACTTAAGTATTCAATCATCATAACAAGAACAAAAATTTTGTGAAGGGACTGACATATAACAAATGTGTGCAACAATAATTCCAGTAACAAAAATTACAACAGAATTAGATCATACCCACCAATGAGAATGAAGGCCACAGCAATGACGTAGCAGAGGATATAGGCCCGGAGTGGCTCATCATTTTTCCCATAACCCTTCCCAAAGACTCCAATGTACGGATATATTTCATCTCTGCACAGACACTGGAACATAAAGCAGAAAATATTCGGCTTAAAATGTGTGTTAGACTTCACTACATTTATACATACTAAATATGGTGTCTCCCCTGGCCATCCAACAATGTCATAAATCTCAAGATACTCTACAATACAGAACAATGCACCATATTTATATTTCATTGCTTTGTATTTGATTTTTTATTACTAACAAAAGTGGCATTTTCATAGATGTATCAGAGAGTTTCACGTTGGGTTTTGCCTGTGGTTTCTCACCTGAAAGACTTTAGGAGCGGAGACGAGGAAGCCAAGAGCAGATGACAAGCTGGCTGAAAACACACCAGCAGTGATAAGGTAGGAGACACCTGAAACTTGGCCCAGAACCTGGTTGGAATAGTCATCATAAAGAATCAAGGATTTTATATTATCACATGTCCCATTGTACTAATCCACTGAGACTTATGGGATAAAAAAAGATGTCAAATGTTAATTTCATTATAAACAGAGGACTTATTGCAACTAAACTGAATGGTACCTTTGAATTGTTGGCCAGACCATAATTACAAGAGTTTGACTCAATGCACTCTGTGAAGTTCCAGCCCAGTTGACATCCTTGACCCACACACCCATCAGTGATGTTCCCAATCAGAATGTCACTTATATTTCCAGAAGCATCCCGTATGACACACGACCCTGAAGCAAAAGGAAGATCCAAATATTATAGTAACAGTGTAATGTGATATTTCAGACTGTAGGTTAAGCCGCAGCACCCTTTTTATAATTTTCTTCTGAGTGATTCCCTACCATAAAGGTTGATAAAATTTGTTTTTGATATGGCTTACAAGTACAAACTAAGAGGTTTCATGGGTCCCTAGGTTACTGGCATCCAAGACCAAACCTGGGGCCCGTATTGCTGCTCTTTTCGACAACAGCTGCTTGTGACATTATTGGTGATTGCTGCTGCCAGTGATCATGTTCTTTCTCTGTTGTGGTTATTCAAGTTGACAACATTTTGGGTCCCCTTGGATAGGATATGGCTTACTTGGGTCCTTTTCCAATCAGGTCTCTCCTTTTCTGAAAACTGGAATGAATTGTTTTTTGGAAGTCTTAGTCCTGGCTAGAGGTAGTTTATATCATGGTCCTCATGATTCATGAAGATGACACATGAAGTGACATGTGTGATGTCATGAAATTTTAATGTCAAAGTCTATCACATTTCTATTTTTACTACTGTTCTGAGCTACCAGCCATCTCACGCTCATGCAGTATGCTGACGACACTGCCCTTGATATAAGTGATAAATCCTCATTCCCAATGCCTCCTGTCTCACCCCCCACACTCCAAATAACTCCCACTGGTTCAGATAATTACCCAATCAAATCACAGGCAAATAAATACAAAATAAAAGCATGTTAAATGAGTATCTTACCAACAGTTACAGAAATAGCTAAATAGCTGATTGTAGTCCAGAAAATGGCCATGAGGGTGCCTTTGGGGATAGCAGTAGCAGGGTCCTGCAAAAGGAAACAATATACATGTCAACATTCATGTAGTTCTTGTTGTCAACTGTGGTGTAAGAATATCACTATAGATCTTCTTTCCTATCATACTTTGAGGTCTCCAGAGATGTTGGCTCCAGACAGAATGCCGATGGCGGAGGGGAAGAAAATGGCAAACATCTTGAAAAAGTCGTTTTCAGGTCCTCTCCAGTCTGGTTTTAGGTTTGAAATGAAGATTTCACCTGGTGACAGGTAATAAAAAAAACAGTCTACTATTCTCTATTTTCTTGTTACAGGTGCAACTACTAATGCTTCATCCCTGGTAACCCTTTTCATATTGTTGCAGATACAGATTTATGTTCCCTTTAACTGTGCTTCATCAGATTCAAGCTTTTGAATTTTGCTGTCCCTGAGAGGCACCTTATCCTGCTGCGCATCACTGGAAGAAACTGCAGAATATTTGAGCTTCTGAAGTTAACTGAAGTTAAGTTGAATTATTAACAAAGTTGCTATATTAAAGAACTCACTGTGGTATCCAAAGATGCCCTCAGCCTGTTTCTCTACACTGGCAGGAATGAATGTGCCCACAAAGTAGTTGGAAAAAGCAACCATGAGAACTGTGAAGAACAAAATCTGGGCCTGAGAGACAGAGACAAAAAAGATATGATAGAGAGGAAAACTTAGTAAGACATAAGGAGATTCATGGGCCACTACATGCAAGCAAACCAAGATCAGAGAGTCAGCAGGTGCTCACCTTGGACTCCCACTCCATTCCAGCCAGTGAAATGAACAGAAGAACAGTCACCGTGATCACACCCACAATACGGACATCATTGACTGAATCAACCATGACGACACCAAACTCCTGCATACATCAACAAATTATTCACAATACATAAGAAACCAAAAATGGCACTCAGTTGCATAACATTCTGGTGTGTAAGTTATTTTACAGAGCTTCACAGGGCATACTATTTGTCTCAATCCATTTCAGTTAAAATAACTATGGAAATATACCTATATAGAATGAACTTTGGGTAAACAACAAGTCTGGAATCATCTTAGGACCTTTGCCTAATATTGTAAATGTTTTTGAGTTCACAGTCACATTGATGCATGGCTTTACAATACTAGTTGATTAATTTCAGATTCTCAAATTCATCTAGGCAGTTCACAAAGAAGAATATTATGTTTAAGTCAAAGCCGCATGTCATGATCTGAAATTAAATTTCAGTAAAGAGTTCAAATAATTCAAACCATGTAAAACAAATTCATTCATTCGTAAAGTACTGAAGCATTATAAGTACCTGCATTAGATCTCTGACCACCTCCGCAAAGCCAACAGTATTGAGGGCACAAGCCAGAGCGTTGGCAAAGGAAAAGACCATCCCAATTGGTCCACCAATTTCAGGACCCAGAGAACGAGAGATCATGAAATAAGCCCCACCTGAAAATGCATTTTCAACCACAGAGTCACACAGAAATTAGGTTAGACTCATTAGAATTGATGCTAAAAGTATTTAAAGCAAAAAAAAAACTCTGAGATGTCACAGTTCATTCATGCATATATTCATTCTGCCTTTTTACAACTGACTTACTCTTGTGTTACTTAGACCCTGCCACACCCTCCTGTTATGCAATAGCCCCAACTTTCCCCCCTGTCCACCTGACTCTTTCCTGCCCACCTACTCACCTGTTCCACTCATTCTCTGCCAGACTGTCTGTTTATAATGCTTTCCATGACATAGCTTCCCCACCCTTCTTTCTGTTTTTGCTTGCCTGGTTAAGACTATCTGTCTGTTTTTGGATTTATCTAGCTGCCTGTTTTGAACATTTACCAGTGTCTCTGAGCTGTGCTATTGAGTCCTCTACACCTTATCTGTGACATATAAACTATGGAAAACCTTTTGACTTGTACACTTGCAATGTTGAAAAACCTCCACATACATGACTTTTACATCAATCTGGAGACACAGGAAGTGACTGACCTGAGATCACCCTGCCGTTGGTGGCGATGGCAGAGATGGAGAGGGCAGTTACTGAGGTCACCGTCACAGACATCAGGATAATTAGGCAGGTAAACACTGACATGAAAAGAAAGAAGGTATTAATCATTATTGCGAGACTAATGTCAATACTTTTGGATTTTCATGTTTAAAATAGGGTCCCCTTAGATGTCTTAGCTACATACTATGGATGTACTGTGCATCTTCACATTACTTACATGCTCTCTTCTTGCTGCTGATGTTTTGAGGTGTTTTAGTCCTAGAGAGTTCTTATTTATTTTTGTGTAGACCTCAACAGCAGGGCCAGCCCTATAATTGCCAATGTCTGTGACTGACTGACTGACTGACTGACTGACTGACTGACTGACTGATTGATCATGATGATCTTGTAGTTTCAAAATTAATTGGCAGCCTGCAATCTTGCAAATTTAGCACATTTGTCGCTTTTTGGACAAAACCATGGCTACTTAGAAAAGAGTTACCAGTAATAATAAACGGTCCAATCAGTTTTCAACAAAACGTCCCAAGATCAAGAGTTGATAGGCCTCTAGTGTACCATGTTTTGTAAGGAAGTTTATGAATCACTTATAGTCAGAAGGATAATGGCACTATGCTGCATGTTACAGTTCATGTCTTTGTTTTTCCCTGTCAACCTTAAATCACTATTTCCAGGTAGATCAGTACAAGGCATGATCAAGAGTGGAGCTAAGGACTGTTACAGCGACAGATAAGAGAATAAATGGGACAGACTGAATGAAGTAATAACTCACAGATGCCCGCCTGAGAAATGATCCATGTCAGGCGGAGAAACAGGATAACTCCCCAGATATTCAGCATGCAACGCATCTGTGGTGAAGTTCAATAAAAAAAAAACAGCTCTGTGGGTGTTTTATATGCAATGTTTGTAAGATTGTTTCATATATAAAGGTGCATGTTCCAGACTCGAATACACACACACACACACACACACACACACCCTCACTCACCAAAACTCCAGTCACCCAGCCAAATCGAACAGGAGCTTTCTCCTGTGGACCTTGTGATTCTTCATGTCCACTGTCAGTGACGAGACTGCTGACTGAGTTGGTGGTGGTGTTTGTTACCTCCATACCTGCCTCCACCTCCTGAGAAAAATACAATTTCAACAAAGAGGGAAACATAAACATTATTGTGCTCTACGCTACACTGTGTACACTCTGTTTAGTCTATACTTCAGTATATATCTTGTTAGCCAACTTCTCAAAATTAAGGTTCACACTACTGCCCATCTTCGCTCTGGCTTGGCATATATTTGAATGACACATTTATGTCTCTGTCATGATAATGATGGTGAAAATAATTTAGTCTCTACAGCAAATATTCAAAAACCTCTGGACTTGACTCATTGGTCTGACTAGGTAAAAACTAATTGTGATTACACATATACTGAATAACAATCAGGGTTTTTTTTTCATATAAAAACTAATGACCTTTGACCCTTAATATTTTGTGCTATTTCTTCAAACTTGGTCTACATGAATTTAATTGAATGTTTTTGAATGGCCTGCTTTTTACAGTGATCTGTAGTGACTGATTGCTTTTAAAGAATTTAGCGAAAGGTTCTGCCAAGTTACATGATGTTCACAAGTTGCTGTGAGATGTGGTTCCCAGAGGTTGAAAAACGTACATCAAATGCCTTGCGGAGAGCCTCCAGAGAAGGTCGGCTCCTTGACTTCTGGTGTGGCAGGGTGCTGGCATAATTTTCCAGCTGTGGCACCAGGTCTAAGGTGCTGTAGAAGGAAGATCTCCGCAGGTCCATGCTTGAGCCCCGGCTCTCTGATGCACTGTTAGACAAGAGGTCCAAGCAAAAGTGTTTTACAGTAAATACCGAAGCTACATTGTAGTTGTTATGAGCTGCAGTTCCTTTAATGGCACAGACTGTCATTTTCATTGTTAACATTATCTAGTTGTGGTTTAACAGTCATCAGTTTTTACTTTGGTTAAGGGGACCCTGCTTAAGTAAAAAATAAAAATAGAAGTTAACTACACAAACCTCGCATCCACATCAGACACAACAATGGTGGGAGGAATTTGGAGGTTAGCATCTTGCTGTTGGCTGCTGGCATCAAACTGCTGTGAAGTGTACCTAGAAGGTCCTTCCTCATTGGCTGAGAAACGAACCCGAGGGAGAAAGCCAGGGACTTGCCCATCACGTTTGGATGTGAACTGCCCCATCGGCACGTCTTACTAATTCCTGTGTAAAAGTGTGAGGGGAAAAAAAATGGCTGAGGAAGTCAGATTCAGTGATGCTGCCTACGCATTACTATGTGATCTTGGGTCTCACTTGGATTCAACCAAGGTGTGACATCACTTAACCCTCCTGTTATATTCGTTTCTCAGGAACAGCAATGATGTTCCTGGGTCAATTTGACCCGGGGCATGTTTAATTATCCAGAAGTGTCAGAAACCAAAAAATCCCAATAAACATTGTTTATATCTCATTATTAACTCCATTACTAACCATTTCAATCAATATTTAGTGTAATGGTGTTCTTTACCTCTCAGATCATGGTTCAATGAGGATAATTCACTCGTTTTTCATTGAAAAATGCATGTTAAAACTTTTTTTAATGTACTTTGGAAAGACCTACATATAAAATACAAGACTTTTACATGACATTAATTTTTTTTAAATTTTATTTTACATTTTGAAATTTTTTTATGGAGTGATGTTGATAAATTAACACGAGACACCTCTGTTCATCCAGTGTGACATTAGGGCCGGGGTTATAGAGTAGTGGAAGTTGCTCTACCCACTTGTCCTACACTGTCCTGATAGCTGCCAGCTTGTCTCTTGTCTCTCTCCCATCTGACAGCCCTTGTCTCTCAATTATCAAATCAGATTACTCTGGAGAAAATATGAAAAGTCTCCGGAGACATTGTGGCAGGAAATATAGCCCTGCCTGTCTCTGCATCCCACAGACTGGCTGTTAATTCATAGAGAATATTTTTATGTTTTGCCCCTCCCTTGCTGAGTGTCCACTCAATGTGGGTGGAGTTTGCCCACGGGAACAGAAAAGGTTCCCGTCAAAAGTCATAACAACACCTGCATTCTCGCACTTTACAGATGAGGTCAAGAGAATAGGGAGAGGGTGTGTGTGTGTGTGTGTGTGTGTGTGTGTGTGTGTGTGTGTGTGTGTTTGTGTATGTGTGTGATTTTAGCCTGCACTTTGACTGCCGGGTCAAATTGACCCGAACAGTATCTATGTAATATAAACATGCAGTGAGGGGTTGCAAATATTCGAAATGAACCATTTTAATTTTACATGTTGATTACACTTACACTACCCCAAAAATACTTTTAACGATTTTTTTTAGATTTTTTAATTTTAAAATGGGTCAATTTGACCCGGAACATAACAGGAGGGTTAAGGCAATTAATCAGATTTTGCATTGCTCCCTCTGAAGGCAAAACATCCCCAACCCCAAGACCTGTAAACTGACTTTAATAAAAGCTAAGATAAAAGCTTAAATACAGTGTAACACTCTCCACTGTAATCGTGCAGGTCTATTATACATATGGCTGGTAAATGTTTCATTTTACTTATGATGATGATTCATACTCTTAAAAGGAACTGTTATCTGACTAATTACTGATGCAAAGTGATTCAATATGTGAGACCAGTGTGTGGGAGGCTTCTTTCATATGATGCAATTGCTTAAAAAAAAGTGAATGTGCAAGTCTTACAGCTAGATCATAATTTAATTTAATTTAATTTAATAATGTAAGAATTTTCCTTTCTTTTCTTACCAGTACAATCTGATGATAAAAGTCAGCATATGGCATCAGTAAACTAAAATAAATTTGTATTCATGTATTGATCAGGGAGTTCCAGTGATGAGATAGATGTGGCAAAAGACAAAGGGACGGTGATAAACAGCAGAAGAGAAAATTAAAATTACAGTGATAAAAACTCACAGCAATAACCCAAAGTTTATCAACACATTTTAAAAGTGATTAAACCGCCTAATGAAAACATGTAATTTCTATTATATCTAGCAGAAAATTAGTAGAAAATTAGTGGAAAAACAAGTGTTAGGTACTCACACAGGTGTTGTCTGTTCCAGATGAATACGCAGCTCTCATGAAATACTATATGTTCCTTTTTGTTGCATTTCACAGTGTGACTCTTTGTATTTATATCATTGATGAGGTAGATGACACCCCCTCCCATATTCCTCCCTTCCTCACACATACACACAATCATCCTTTCATCTACACTGAAAAAAGTGGAAGCTAACCTCAGAAAGGATAGTTTAGCCTCTTTCTGATGCCGTTAGTTTTTTTTTTTCAGAAACCAGTACTTTTGTAGGCTATTGGACAAACCTTGAAACATTTATCTTCAAATGATAATTTTCACATTTTAGAATCAAAATACGATTTTTGAACGATGATACACCTTTTCACCCTGTTCATACTGTGACCTTTCATATTATTCCCTCATAATTAGTCTCTATACCAAAGATTGAACAACAAAAAAAATCTATTTTGGATGGATTATAAAGGATTAATCTGTAATTAATGTTTCATAGAGCAGGGAGAGTATATGTTCTACACAATTTCTTTAGGGAGAAAACAAACAAACAAATTCACACATGTCAGCAAAATTTATTCATTGTTCAAAATATTAGTTATTTTCATTCATTCTGGTGTTTCACTGTCCTAAAGTCATTATTGTTTCTATATTTCCCAAGATAAAAGTTTATCTTTTGATTTAAAATGATCTTGAGAAATTATTATTCCTGCCTTTTTTTTTTTTGACTCAGCAATAATAATCCTAAATTTTCAGGTAATTTTGTTGGCTGACTCAAGATGTTGACACATGGCATAGTAGTGTTTACTAATGCACAGGAAGAGACTCCTCAGCTTTAAAAATAGCATGACACCCTCCGCCCCCACGTTGGTTGCATAATACTACCTTGATCAAGGTATGATAGGCCCAAAAATGAAAGCAATTTGATGAAGCACAACTTAAAGATACACACACATTTGGGCTGGTTCAGTAGTGGTCTCTTAATAAAGTCAAAGATGAGAGCGCTTACAGGTAATTCCGGCATGCAAATCCATAGTGCTACGCTGGTAGACATGTTGTAAACAGGCAGAAGGTCAAAGACAAGGTGACTTGAACCGGATCAAGACCAAGAAGAGAAACAGGAACAGGTTTCAGGTACAACAAAGCTAAGCGACATAAGCAATCACGCAGAAGACCGGTGGATGAGACCTGGCAAACATACTGACAGAGCTAATGGTGAAACAGGAACAGGTGTGAACGTAGGTGGGGGAAGGTCAGGTGATAGAGAATGGGAGGCAGGTGAGCAGGTGGATCTGAAAGGTCAATAGAAACTCAAAGAATGAAGTTCTTAAAACTAGATGATATGGAGTGACCCTGGGCAGTTATCCAGTTTGCCCGGTTGATATTCCAGCCTTGATCGCTAACACACTACAACTTGATTTGGTAGGTGTCCTGAAAATACAATACCTCAAAATCTAGCTAACTAGGCCTTTAATGGCAAAACATTGTCTGTTAATTTTCAATTTGAATTCAAAAAGTCCCCAGAGTCACATTTTCCCTTTGGTTTAATAAAAAGAACATTTCAGAGCTGGTCTCTCTAAACTGGAAACTTCTTGCAGTGTGTTCTTCATAGTGCCGGTACCCTGCTATAATTGAACCTGCTCTACTGCCTTGAACCCTACATGTTCACAATGCCATTGTGCCCTGGTTAGAGTCACTTGTTACACCCACACTGGTAGAGGAATCACTAAGGTTGGTGTCTGCACAGAGACTTTTCTAAAAAAGGGAAGACTCCTGTTACAACAGTTTAACACTCTGAGTTGACAGTGTGTTGGATATTTCCAAGCTATTTAATTGTAGAAATATTGGTGCTTTTCAAATATGTTTCTCCAAATCGGATATGACTCATTATACACTGACCTCTGTCGAGTACAAGGTGATGCAGACATTCAGGATTTCAAAACAGAAATGTGTTGACACATTCAGCTCTTACAGCATTGCTAAAGAGAGTGACTATCATGCATGTAACCACTGGTGAACTTGGGAGCAGTCAGTCATACAGTAATGACACGGTTGATAGTTAATTTTCTGGGAGAAGTTATGTTTATAAATGGAAAAAAACCCCTCAGGGGTCACAAGGGCACTCAATGGATGTTTGATGTCAAACTAAATAAGTGGAGTGACTATGTATGTGAAATTTCCAGGAACACAGCACTCACACTGTTCCTCCCTATACTGCCCCTGTTCTTCCCTTATCTTGGCTCTCCCTTTTTGTCCTGTCTTTGTTTGTACATTGTACTATGACAGGCATGTGACAAGAAGGTGGGCCAGGTGACAATGGTTGCAGCAACAAATTATGGAGAGACACAAAAAGCAGGATGAAGAATTATAGGAATGAGAAGATGAAGAGATTGAAAAAGAGAAGAGTAAGCAATAGAGAAAGTATGGACGATGTTTAGCATAAAGGAATCCCAAGAACTCTACTCCAAAACCAAACAAGTTATACAGAAACAGAAAAATAAATCCAGTTCCATTCTTGGGTCATATGTTTGTTATCTTCTGGCCTTGCATACGCCCGCTTCCACGGCCAAAATCTGTCCCTTATACAGCTTGATAGTCAGATGCTACTTCCACACTTGAACCAATGCCGGCACACACGCAGGACTGGACGATAACAGCCGGAATCTGCTCAGATGTGATGAGATATATGGGCCAGTCTCGGGCCAAGGAGCCAGGCATATGTTGGGCCAGAATTTTCACTTTGCTATCTATATCATATGTCAGACGCTAAAATTCATCACCACCTCCTTTCATCTCCCAAAGGATACACATCTCTTCTCTTACATCATCGCCTCATCACACCGTCTTCACTCGCCTACATAGACTTCAGGAGAAAGAAAGACTCCTGAACTGCACCTTTCCCCTCCAAGGCAGCTCCTTCAAAGCTCATAGGCTGGTGCTGGTAACTGCCTGTCAAAGCCCCAAAAGATTTGTTGGCTCAAAACAACAAAAATCAGGGTTGTAACAAAGGAGCACTGTATTTGACATCAACTCATGGGGTCTGTGACATTTATGCTGGTGGTGTAAAATGGTGCCATTTGTATGTGGGTACGTAAGTTTGCTGAAGCAAAAAGTGTTACAAGCGTACCTGGTAGGGGTATGTATTTGTAAAAAGGCTACTTCCACCTGATTTCCTACATTTCCCGGTGACCCTTTACTAGAATATTTCATAAACATGTTGCTATCAGCTGTTGGCTTTGTGGGTAGGAGGAGAAAGTAGTGTCAGTAACAGTCAGAGTTTTTCCAGTCATAGTGAGTCACTCCTTTACGCACTCTACAACGGATGTTTTGTGTTATGTTGAAAACCCTCACACAATGACATGTTTACCCAACATGCACTGCTGTTGTAAGTCCAAGGAACTTCCAATTATGTGACAGTATCACATGAAGAAAAGACATTCAAGAGATTCTGACCCAAAATGTAAAAAACCTGCTGTATGAGATATTCTGTTGATTAAGATGGAAATACATTTTTCAGGAGGGTGTCATTGGGCGGAGTCATAGTCTGTGGTATGGCCCAGCCCTGCATAAAGTCTCATAAGACATATAGATTTCAGACTGTCATCCACTGTCATTTATTGGGTAGTTCTTATGCGGAAGCCTTCAGTTTTCTTCCCCATGTCTCTTTGTCTTTTCCACACCTTTATCTCCTCTCTCGGCACACCGTGTGGTGTTAGCAGCAGGTGGGCTCTATTTCCTGGCGCTAGGGAGGATTACAGGAGTCCAGTGAGGACATTGTGTGCCTTCTAGACGTAGCATCCTTGGTCAATGAATCCATACTAGATTTCATCTACACGGATCAGCCCAGAATAGAGTGATACAGCATTGACTTCCTGCAGGACAGAATGGATGCACGCTCTTGTCTGGATGTTCTGGTCCTGGCAGAACTATGGGCTTGTCCAGCTTGGGCTCTGCAGGAGAGGACTTCAAGGATGTACCCTGTCCTCTCCTGGACAGGCTGCTCGTGAAGGAATCATTGTGTATAGAGAATTAAGTATTATCCCACTTATGTGGGTAAGTCCTCCTCTTTTGATTCTTGGTGTAATGTCTCACTTTTGCTTTGGCGCCATCTGGTGGTAGTATTGTGAACAACACTATGGCAGACATCAAGCACATGGCAGTCCATCCTCTCAAATGAGAGGATTTTCCTACATTTTTCATTTTTAAACACTTAACCTGAAATACTCTATTACTGACTATATTACACTTTGTCTACTCATGAAACATCATCATATGTTTTACATAGGGGTCAAATTTTTTATTGGAACCCAGTTTTATTCTGATATGTGCTGTATTGACCATTTTATTCTCCATTCATAGAAAACTATGAAACTCTAATAAATGTGGGGACTCTGAATTTTAGTGTCTCATACTTGGTCTTCAGGACAGTAGTGAGCTGGGTGGAAGAAGACCATTATGGTTTTGAAGTCCAGGTAAAGTCTTTCCCTAACCTTAACCAAATTAAGTACCTAAACATAACCATAAATATGTTTTATAATGCTGTAGTGTACCCTACATGTTGAAAAAAAATCACCCCATATCATTTTCATACATACTAAAAAGTGAAACAATGGCATTGTAAAACATGTACTGGAAAAAGTTGTATGGGCCATTGTTTCCTTGTCTGGCTTTTCAGGCTTTGTTTTCAGTGCCAAATATTATTTTCAATGCTAAAATTTAATGTCACTGTCCTAGACCCATATTTACCATATTTAGGGTTGTTTTTGTGTGTGTGGCTTTGAATACTTTTCATTATGTTTGCCGTGTGTGTCTCGTACTCTGTTTTACTGGTTAACTTTTAAAGTCAAATCTATTTAAAGGTATTGTCTCAAGCTGTGAACACTTATCAGCACGTCAATAAAAATATAAATTATGATGGTTTGGAAAAAGCTTTTAATCTTCAGGGTCTGAATAAAAATTCCTTGTCAAGTATAAAAAAAAAGCAAAGTCACATGAAATCAATTTGTCACTCTGACATTAGTGTAAAAATCTCTGAGTAAGTGAAATAATGTTTAATCTTCAGTCAACCACTTCTATCCAAAATGATGCTAAATGAGGCCACTCAACCCACAACAAATAATCTTCTGCTTTGCTCAACAGATTTGTCCTACATATCAGTTAATAAAGTGGTGCGTTCACACACAGCTTCCTGTCATCAATCAAAGAAGTGGGCTACAGTTAGATCTGAGTGTCTTCTATTTCATCACTGAGCGGGAAATGCTTTCAGATCTGCAAATGTCAGCTGTCAGAGGGTGGTTTCTAACTTTTTTGTTCCGCTTTTATGTGAGTAAAGTAACATTATTTGAACATGATGGTTACATAAATTGGGAATTTGATCTTTAGAGTCACAAAGAGAGAGAGCAAGGGAGGAAGCTAAAACAGGGCAGGAAGGAAATTTGCAAACTGATACCATCATTCATGACGTCTCAATCCTCCATATCCTTCTGACATTGCAAATAATGGTAACTCACTTCATTTTTGTGTTCCATATTTGAGAGATTATAGTTTCTCGTGTGTGTGTGTGTGTGTGTGTGTGTGTGTGTGTGTGTGTGTGTGTGTGTGTGTGTGTGTGTGTGTGTGTGTGTGTGTGTGTGTGTGTGTGTGTGTGTGTTCACACCATACCCCTCCCCATTTTTAGTTTCCACCTACATATGCCAAAGAGATCAAAATCTAATCAAAACAAACCACAGTGCCAACATGCAAATGAAATCAACACCTACAAAAATGTTGAAACTACAAGATGTAACAATCAAAAAAAGGAAGGGAAAGAATTGCAAAGACTTAAAAAAAAAAAAAAAGAAAAGAAAAAAGAACATCACGCACCCCTAGAACAAAAATCTCCCTGATAATTCACCATCATATAATTTCATCCATTTTATGATGGTTTGTGATGGCCTGCAGCAGCTACATGAGGATACAAATGAAAAGTTTGTAACGTCGTTGATGTACTCTGGTTGGCGGCTCTTGCAGCATTAGGCCTTCCGTTTGCTAAGTAAGATGTTTACACTATCACTCAGCAACCAGTTAACAGTGATGGAGAAATCACACCCTGGTCTCCTGTATCTGATATGATGCTAAGCTCTTTAGATGTCCATTCACTGTCTATACTGGCTATAAATGTGACTTGTTTCCTGTGAAGTTCCATTCTATATTCTTCTCATTTGTTCAGTGACACTCAGAACCGTAGAGGAGATGGAGGAGGAGGTGGTAACTCGGCCATTTAAGACAGATGTTATGAAACAGTGGACAGAGTGATCCACAAAACAGTGAAGGGAGGGACAGCTTTGGTGAAATGTTTATGAAGCAATGTTCTATTCACTGTGCTGAACATTGCATAACTAACAGTGTATAGTAATGTCACACATCAGCAAAAAGGACAATGACATTTGCAAGCCAATGCTTTGTGTTGACACAACAGAAGAAACAGCTTTGTTCATTTGACAAATTTTATTTATTTATTTTTTGACTACAAAGTGGCCATAAACATTTTGAGGCCAGTTACACAAGACATAACAAAATGATTTAAATAAAGGCGCTAGGTGTTGAAACCATAGCATAACATTTTAAAAAATATATATGTGATAATTTACATTATAAACGATAATGTACATAAAGACACTGCTATAGAAAACCAAACATTATTTTTTTTAAAAATGACTGGAAAAAAATATGACAGGAAATATATGAAATATAAAAACAAATGATAATGATTCAGGAATTATCAGCATATATTATTATAGCTTTAGTTGTAAGCCATTACGGTGCTGATCCCTCTCCTGATGCTGTTTCATCCCTTGATAAACAACATTGTTCAGTTGAATACTTAATGTAATAAAGCTTATGGACCGAAAAGCTCAAAAATACAAAATCATGAGTCAAGGTAGTTTGTATCTAATTCATCCATTCACAAAAGTAGTCCAAGGAAAATGGCTTAAGTGCTAATCTAGCTGCTGTACACTGCCCAGAGTCTCGGCCTCTTTTCCCGCCTCGCTGTAGCTCCTGTCCTTGCTCTTGCTTTTGAAAGGCTTCCCCAGTTTGACTGACAGCGCGTGCAGGGCAGAGCTCTCGTCCGGGGAGCTGTTGCGGCCACTGCGGGTGAAGGACGTGCTTCTGCTCTCGGAGTTGGTGGCCTCAAACAGTTTGCCCATGAAGCTGAGGCCGGCCTGGCGGATGTGGGAGCTGCCGGCGAACACGTAGAGGATGGGGTTGACAGCACTGCTGAAGTAGGCGAAGGCCGTGACATTTGGGCGGGCTACACGAGCAGCGTCCGTCACTGATTTGCTGCCTTGCAACATACCAGCCACCTGAGGGAGGGGGAGGAAAGAAGGAAACAGGGACACGGTGAATTCACACTCATTAATCACTACTTTTGATGGCAGAAACAATGCATCTGAACATGCATGCATTTCCAACAAAAAGTTCAATCAAATCACCTCTATGACATTGACGATGTGATAGGGCAGCCAGAAGATTGCAAAGGCACAAATGATCATCAGGATCAGACGGCTGCCTTGTCCTCTGCGGTGGAACATAGCACTTCTCAGGCGGCAGATGACGGAGGCGTAACAGGTGTTGATGAGGGAGAAGGGCACCAGGCAGCCCATGACGGTCTCAAAAATGTACTGGAAGACTTGATGACCCATGCTCCCCCAGTGGTATGGGATACAAAAGTTCAAAGTGACGTTGTGTGATGAGAAGGTCTTCTTCAGATTACTGTCGGAGAAGCAGATGAGGAAATATACACATAGAAAGTGAGTGTGAGGATACACACAGATAGCCAAAGACTGCGCTGACTCAGTTTGGATGCTTTAAGTACCTTTAATCTGACACCACTTGTGCTTCCTAGTTTTGTTGTTGCTAAATTCTCATGTTTAGTGCAAACCTGCCTTGCAGCAGAGCTCAAGAAAAAAATAAACATCCATGAATGCTGCTCAAAAGGTAAAGACAGAAACTTCAAATCACCTCTGGCACGACCCAAACAAATGTGTGCAACTTTCTGTGTTGAAGTTTGTTTTTTTCTGTTTTATGGTTTGCAACTTTTATGTATAAAATAAGGAAAAATTCAAGATCCGTTTGTTGTTTTATGGGCTACTATCCCCTTTTACAGTGTACAGAAGTCTTTATTGAGTGACATTGATTAGATGAGGTTGTGCTGATTCTGAATCTGTGTAGCACTTAGTGAAATGTTAAAAAATGGCAATAAGGCAAAACACAACATCAACACAACAATTATAATCTTAGTAGGCTCAAAGGTACAAAGGAAAATTAAGTCTCACCTGCGGTAAAAAGGCATCGGCAGTGACAGGATGAACGCCGTCACCCAGACCACCAGCAGGAGAACCAGCAGGGAGCGCTTGGTCCTCATCCTCTGGGACAGAAAAGGCCGTGAAACAGCCAACCAGCGGTCCATGCTCATCAGGCAGATGAGGTAGATGGAAACGTACATGTTAACACTGGACAGGTAATGAACCAGCTTGCATGCTGCTGTGCCAAACTCCCAGCCCCGGCCTCCAGCCAGGTACCGCAGGAAAAGAGGGGCACTGAGCAGCACAAAAGCGTCCGCCAGAGCCAGGTTCAGCACCAACAAACAAGTCACTGAGCGCTTCTTCACCTGGCAGAACACCGACCAAACCACAAACAGGTTCCCCGGGAAGCCCAGCACAAATGCCAGGGTCAGGATAACGATGCCAACCTGGGCTGAGACGCTGATGGGTAAAGAAAAGGGAGCCATGGAGGGCTGCTGCATGGTAGTGATATTGGATGCCATCAGGAACACCTCTGAAGACTCTGAGTTTGGCGTTTGACAACTGTGAGATTGAGTCAGCCTTTGAAAAGACAAACAGACAGGAAGGATATGTCGTATTAAGGTTTGTGACACGTAAATGTGTGTCAGTGCTGCATAATGTTGCACAATTGGCTTTTTTTTTTTTTATATCTGTATGACTATCTCTACAAAACAGAGTTAAGGAGTTTTTCTAAAATAATCAGACAAGCTCAAGGGAGGTCAAAGGTTGGAGATGGTAGGAAACAACACTGTATCACTTAATATCTGATAGCATGAGCAACGTTTATTGCGCAAGATTTCTGCAGCAAACAAATGGAACATTTTATTTAGTGGCATTGAAATGCAGCAAGCAATTAAGCACCATCCAACAAACAATCTATATACTTATTTTTTATCGCCAGAATTTTGTCTTTATTGGTTCTTTTCTCACAAATAAATTCATAAAGGAGAGGAAAGCTTGACATTTCCTTTTGGGATGTCAAAATTCAGCTTTCCCTTTCTTTCATATACCTACGAGTCATAATAAACCTTGCAGTCGAACAGAAAGGTCATAAGTGTTAAATCTGTTTTACAGCACAAAAAGACAAAAAACAAACAAACAAACAAACAAAAAAGAAACAAAAAAAACTCACCATAAAGTTTTTTTTTTTTTACTTACAAATTAAAACTTAAAACACATGTTCTGCAGAAAGCTTTGTGTTACAAAAAATATATAATTCTCAAATAGTCATGTGAAATGTTCATGAGTTGTATTTAAATATTACATTTAAATATTTGTTTCAGACTTTTCACATTGCCTCCTTTATTTTACAAAAATTCATATTGACAAAATTAAATGTGAAAAAAAGATCTAAATATTTTTCTCAAACAACCAAAGTTTTGCTATTAGAGTATTGTGATAATCTGAATTGTATAAAACTCACAAACTGACCTTCAACTGTAGATCTCTTTAAAATCCAACACAGTAAATTCACACCAAAAGTTCCATCTATCTTACACTGTATCTGATTTACTGCTATGATGGGTTTCTCTCTTTACTTTGAAGGCTGTGTGTGGAGAGAAAAATTATTGAGTAAGAGGGATCATGTGAGGGGAAACCTGACCACAGGAAGCCAGCTTGAGCTTAGCCGACTGGGTTTTGCCGTCCTTCCTCCTACACATCTCACACTTTTGTATTCTACAGCTGCAGAGTGTTGCATAAAAAAAGTAGGTGATACAGCTATGCGTGCCCCCTTTTGTTGACACGGCATCTGCTGCTCCTTGAGGAGCATCATTAGCTCTGCGGTCAATCAGAAGAAAAGACATAACGACTGTAAAATGTTTTGACTAAGCAACTGTGAGAACTGACACCGACAGTGTGAAACAGACAACAGCAGAGATCATACAGAGTCATTAAATGTTGTGAAACTGATGGTATCATTTGTTAAGGAAAAGCAGGAACGAACAGCACAAGATACAGTCATGAGGGTGAATAAGTGAGGGGGAGAATATTCCGGTAAAAAGACAGGCCCTTGTTGATACATGACTTTTATTCATAAGTCTGTTGTGTACATTGTCTTCTTTCTTGCATCAGACTTTTTTTTGAGTGATTTACATCATAATCCTCTTTCCACATGTCTCAAGTTGCTTATGAGGTACAGGATGTATTCAATTGCTTAACGAATTTGTGATGTTTCAGGAAAAGATTGTTCAATACATTTTGTATTTTTCCTGTATTTCATACTTTAACTGTTGGCATGCTCACAGTGAAATTCCAGTTTAGGGCTAATCAATATTTTCATGTCAACAATGGACCAAATGACTGCTTAAGGGGTCCCTTGCAGTGATGACACACAGAGATTAATCACCGAAGTCTGGAGTTCCCATCAACGCCATTGAAGCACACTTTGTGGTTTGGTTCACTCTCACCGCTCTCAACAATCTCATTGCTAGTCACACAGGGGAGCAGCTTGCAGTGAAACCCACTGTTAGACTCATGGTGCACTACCTACTCAGTACCAAACAGCAGAAAGACGAAGTTAGCGGCCAGCTGGTGAACGAAGTGGAGTGTTTAGCCGCTTAAGAGTCATATGTTTCTCACAGGAGTTGGTTGAAACCAAAACAGAGCTAAAAGGAGACTGATTATAGGACTATCGGCCGGACACATGACTGTAATCAGGCAGCATGCTGGTGCAGCAGTCAGCACTGACGACTCACAGCAAGAAGGTTCTGGGTTTGAACTCTGCCGGCCGGCTGTGTGGAGTTTGCATGTTCTCCTTCATGCCTCCGGGTAATCCGGCTTCTTCCCACAATCCAAAGACATGCAAGTTAGGATAACTGGCGACTCTAAATTGTCCGTGAGTGTGAATGGTTGTTTTCCCCCGCCCTTGCCCAATGTCAGGTGTGATTGGCTCCAGCCTACCCCTGCAACCCTAAAAGTATAAGCAGTATAGCTAATGAATGAAAAAATTATTGTAAACAATGCTAATGATCCAACTGTAAGATAACATTATAACTTTAGTGGACTGCTTTACTGCTTGTTCCACTGTGCCCAAGTGGCCAAAAATACATTCATGCAGCTTTAATGACAATAAAAGATGAGAAAAATTGCAGAATCTTGCAGCACATATTCATGAATCTGAATGTTGTGGATACAAAATGAAGTGCCTCTGTCGAACCTGAACTCTCAACTCTACTCACCTCTCAGCTCATCACTGAGGTATAACAGTATTCGCTGTTTCAGTCCGTTTATAACGTTTCTGTGCTTGTCAGGCATTTTTACAAGTAAAACATTGCATAAAGAAAATGACACAGACAAATTTTGCAAAAGACTCATGAAAAGTTTCATATTTACTTTACAGTGAACATGAACAGGAAACACGCCCCCCCCCCCCCCCGCCCCCCCCGCCCCCCCCCGCCCCCCCCCCCCCCCCCTCCCCAGGCCTCCTGCTTTGGGTGAATGTTGTGTTTAAAAGGTTTTTTGTGGTGGTGAAGCATCCTGGATAATACTCCACAATGTCTTTATGAAACAGTTAACAAGGCTCATATCTCATTGTACATGAGTGTTGTGAGGTTGAAGCAACACCTCATGCACAAAAATGTAACTTTAGGACGCCTCTGGCAGCAGGCTGTTCCAGGAGCAGTATGCCAAGTCACATCCCTTTTAAAGTTTGTAACAGTCTCATCTGGCAGCTGGATTCACATTATGCAACAGCTGAATCTTTTCTTGACTGGCAGGACCCAGCTGAGCACGATGAACCCGTAAATCTTGTTAAAAATTAAAAGTTGCTTGTGACTGGACGGAGGAGAGTATTAAGGCCTGAGCGCTTTCATTTTTCCCTCCAGGGCAACAACATCAGCATCAGACCTGCTGCCGCTTGTTGTCCTCTACTTGCCATTCTTCACTGGTTTGGTATTAGTGCTGGAGTTGGTCACAGAGTCCGGATCTTTGTCCTTTAGCATAACTGCATCAGCATCTCTGTCTTTGTCGCGGCTGTTCTGGCTGTTCTGTCGGCTCTTCCTGGTGGCGGAGTCCAGCCCCGTGCCCTCAAACAAACGGGCCATGAACGCCAACCCTTCTCGCCGGATGTAAGACTTTCCTGCGAAGAAGTACAGCACCGGGTTCACACAGCTGCTGATGAAGGCTATGGAGGAAGTGACAGCACGACTGCTTTGCCATATTTTATGCAGCCTGAAGGATGGGGAAGTGAGCAGAGCATTTTATTAGAGAGATGAAACTACAGCAAAATGTAAAACATGTTTGATTTTTATCAAAATGCACATGAAAAGGTCACAGACAAATATATTACTAGCTTTAGCCTACAAACCATCAGTGGTGTCTGGCAATTCACAATTTGCATACTATAATTTTTAATTAAATTTAAAGAAATAATCTTACATTATGGGAAATACAGTCATTCACTTTCTTTGTGGGAGTTAGGTAAAACATTGATATCAGGTCTGTAATTTTAAGCCAGTAGGCGATTAGCTTAGTTTAGCAGAAAGACTGGAAACAGGCGGAAACAACTAGTCTGGCTCTTAAGCTAAACAATACACCTACTAGCACTTCTTATTGTTTATTTTTAATGAACAACACTTTATCCATGTGCCCAGGACTTGTGTTCTTCAGCAACAAGACCAGCTGTCATTTGCAAACAGATACAGCACGCAATTCTCAGTAAAACCACTTGTAGTTTCTGTGTACAGTTTAAAAAACATCACATACATAAATATATATATATATATATATATATATATATATATACATACATATATATCACTGATATATAGTATGATAATTAATGAGCTTCACAGGTGCTGATAGCTTTTTTTTTGTTTTTTTTTACTTTGGAGAAGGTCAGACTAGCAGTTTCCAGCTGCTTCCAGGATGCGAAGCTAAGCTAATTGTCTCCTATCTCCTATCACTTAATGTACACGCCTAAGAGTAGAATCAGTCTTCCAATCTAACTCCAAAATGTTGAACTGCATTTGACTCATTTCTTCTCTGACCTGTAGACTGTGTACAGGAAGACATCAAAATCTTAATATTAGCTATAAAAGTAAGATGCATTCAAATTGTTGAGTCATCACTTACGTCTGTTTTTTTCCTGAACCATCTGGACACAAAGCCCATGTAACCTGAGGGCAATACAAAATAGTTTAGTTCATAACAATGAAAAATGTAATGATCAGCAACTCTTTATGCTTTTATAAATGATATTAAACCTGCATGCAAGCGTAATGGATTTAAAGACTGTATTATGCTCCATATCTATGATACATGTGACATACCTGCACTATGTTGATGATGTGGTAGGGCAACCACAAGAGGCAGAAAGTCAACACGATGGCCAGGATGAGCTTCTCACTGCGAATTCGGCGGCGGAATTTGGTCTGTCTGATCCGACGCAAGATACAGATGTAGCTGACTATAATGACGCTATAGGGAATTAAAAACCCCAACACAAGCTCCAGCGTGTACTGGAAGACCACCTGTGAAGAAGACATATGATGAGCATAGAGGGACATAGAATTTAATATTCTGACCTGTATTATGTGAAATCACAATCTGGCTGCCCCAAAAGGACAGTGAGAGATACACTTCTGAACACGCAGAGATGCCTATTGGATGGAAATCTTTTAATGTTGCTGAGTTCAAATCAAGTTCTCTGCTTTAAAAGACAATGTTTTTAATCTGGAATTGGTCTACGGAGTTTATTAAAAAAAAAAAAAAAAAGATTAAAAGACAGAAGAAGAAAGAGAGAGCAAATTAGTCTCTATTGGGTTTGAATATTTTTCTCTGTCAGTAACTTAAATAGAGTTGACAGTTTGGTACATAATACATTTGGAAGACTTCTTAAATAATGTTAATGTGAATCCAATTTCACATGTTGCTTCTTTTGGTGGCAATCTTGTCAAGGTTGCAGAAAGCCATGCTCTAACTAACAATAATATAATGACAAACAGCCATGACTTTAAGAGACTTAAGCCAGCAACACTACATATGTCTGAAAAGGACTTAGCTTAGCATGAAGACTGGAATTATAGTGTGGAAATAGCTAGCATGCCCCTAAATGTCTGAGATTCCCTGACAGGCAGGGCATCGGTGTGCTTGAAACAAAGTGCTATCCGATTATTTAACAGCATCTGAAACCATCCTTTGCCTCTGGACAGGGTCGGAAGATGATCTGACGTTAATCGCTCCATTCCCTCTTCCCCCCTTGTTCTCTCTTGTTCACTTTTCAAAGTAAAAGGAAAACATGTTCAAGCAATCTAAGGCAAGTCCAGTTGTCTTTGACTCCGCAGTTCTACGTATCCTGTGACCTGGGCTGTGACCTATTGTGCAAGTTACTTGATCAATTACTCATTACACATTAGTCACTGAAAAAGTAATTACTAATTATTTAGTATCAAAGGTAATACTTTACACTTGAGAAAACAGAAAATGAGACATTAAGATTCAAAAAGCAAGCAGCCCTACAATTTAGAGGAACTCATTGCATATCCAGTAGCTAACTTAGCCTCAGAGACTGCACACAGCTCTGCAGAAGCCTCGACCTCAGCTGCACGGTTCACACACCCTCCAACTCTAGACAAAACTAGGTGACTCCTGTAAATAGACATACCCATGGCTAACATTAGCAAACCATTTCTCTTAGTAGAGACTACCTTCTTCCTCCCACCTGCAGCCAGGCCACCAAACTAGTCCCAGAACAGTTTATCTATTGGAAGAAGAGACTGATTGACTGCTGAAAACTTTATTATATTTACTGAATTTCATGTTTTAATCCCTGACACTACGCCTTACTAAAAATCACATTACTGTAAGGCCTTACTTCTGCCCAACTCTGGACCTGAATAACTGATTACTTTAGCAAATTAGACTATTTTGCCAATTTGCCATTGTTGGTTCCTAAATTCTTGGAGGCATTTTCCATTTTACTAAACGTCTTGAACACTTTGGGCAACCATATTTTGATGATAACATATGAGGCCACAGAATGTAACATTTCTACAACTACTACAGCAACATGGTAAAGTTAAACAGCAAAATGTGGTTAAGTGGTAATGAGTTCTGACTCTTTGTTCAATTCAACCTTGTTCAAAGCCTGTCCCCAGATATGCAGCGTTCGTATGATTGTGTTTAACCACATACTGATGCAGAATAAAAACCATCAGTACATTTCTTTTGTATTCAAATTTGGAGGACTGTGCAGCCTTGGCGGTGAGTGTGTTGTATTTACTCACATGGTTGTCTGAAGAATGGAATGATTCGCACACCGTGGTATTCCCAAAATTCTTCACGTCTCTGTAGATAATTGCAGGAACAGAGGCGACCATCACAAGCACCCACACCACTGCCAGCATCCGCAGTACAGTCCTCCGGCCGGTGATAGCGCTGATGCGCTGCGGCCACAAGACTGCCAGCAGCCTGTAGAGGCTCATCAGCATGATGAGATGGATGGACGCGTACATGTTGGCCAGACACAGGTAAAAGAGGATCTTACACATAACTTTTTTAAATACCCAATTCTTCATAATAAGGTAAATAATGAAGAATGGGGTGAGAGCCATCAGAGAGCCATCAGCAAAAGCTAGGTTGACGATGAGGAGAGTGGTGACGGACTGCTTTCGAGCACGCACCAGGATGCTCCAGATGACAAAGACATTTCCAGGGAAGCCCAAGAGAAAGACAAGGCTCAGGATGAGGGCGCCTATAGTGGTGGCAATTTTGTTAGCCACGACGGTGTCATTTGATACACCGGGGGATATGGTGGTGTTGGCCAGAGTCATCTTTCTTACCTGTAAAAGGGAAAATATTGGTGAATGATTTTCTTCAAAGATTTCACTCAGTGCATTTATTTCTAAATTTTAAGGCACAGAAAAACAGAAAAAAATTCAGAGCAGCAATACTTCTTCAGGGTAACCAGGGCACTACAGTGACTCGGTATCGGAACATGACAAGACGGTCTGGAAAACAAGAGGGTTGTTTTTGAAATTCATAATCAATGTAAGATAGTGTTTACATAGCAGTTTCCCTAAAACGTTAGTAGAATATCTCTCCTGAAACCAACCCACTGCATCACAAAGTGACTCAGAGATTTTCTGACAAATAAAGGCTGTCAGCTATGAAGCTTATGCCATGTTTTATCTGGCACAAGCCTCACTTTTGAAAATACAAGTATGTATTTCTTCATGAAAGCGTGGGAGTGTGGTGCAAGTGTAACAGGTTTTAACGAGGATTCTTAATTCCTTAACAACGAGACCAGACACGAGTGGAGAACAACAGTCACAATGTTGGTGCCAGTATTTGAGCAATGATATTCTCTCTCTCTCTTTCTCTTTTGGCCTGACAGGGTAAATTTATTTGTAGTACCATCCAGACACAAAAGCATCAAATTTAAGATGTTTTAAACAAGAAAAAGAAATGTTTTAGAATATTTAGAAATATAATGAAGAGGTCACTTAAGGTAGAATAACATGATGTAAAATACAAATAGTCTACAACAAAAATAAAGAAAAATACACTTGGTCCACTTTAGGAAATTAGCTCTAACCCTCTTTTTAAAGAAATGACCTATTAACAGAAACGAGTTGGATTGAATATGAGTTCAGAAATCTGAGTTAACCATCAGCACTCATACAACAGACAGTGGTCATGTGTTTATCCTGTAGGCTGCTGCTAGGCAACATTATGTGTTATAGCCATTTTGAGTTCCTGGAACAGGTTTCAAAAAAATGGCATGTCATCACTTGTTCGACATATCTTGACTATTAAGAGCACACCCTGAAGACTGCCGCGCAGTGTCAGTGCCCTTTTCTTGTAATCAAATATTCACACCCAAACCTGCTAACCCAACCTGTTAGATATTTGTTAGCGACTTGCGCTGTAATTATAGATCATTACAGGGTAAATCAGTGTGTAATTGGCTCTAGTGGTGGGTGAGAGCACACCGGGTGATATTAGAGGTACAAACAGCAGAGCTAATGATTGCATTCTATCATTTGCTGTGTTCTGAAGACATTTTATCTTAGTACAGCTCCTATAGCCTAGCATATATAGAGAGAGTACCGTACAAGCTGCGTGAGGAAGCTAAAGTAAATATAAATTCATCATTTAAATAATAGTTCATCAGAAGATTTATATCCTGATAAATAGATTATAATGGAGCCAGATTAATTCAGTTTATTTATAGGGCACATTTTAATCTATAAATGTTGACCAATAGAAATTGAAAAAATAATTTGATCAATGAGTATAATGATAATTGTGGAGACCCAAAATGCAAGACTATGTGGCCAAGAGAACATGTGATCTCACTATATTAGAATGAATAAAAATAATATAGAATTGCTAGGAATACATATTCTATTTTCGTTTGAAAGTAAACATTAAATTTAAGCAAATAATGTAAAAGTCTTTACTTTTTTCCGCTTCTCGCAGCCTAGTGTTTCAAGAGTATTGTAGACGCTCCTACAGTTTTCAAATAAAATACTTTTGTAGACAAAGTGTGCTTTCAAGATTTCACAAGAGGATAGGGACAAAGACGTGAAACCACATGGCCAATGTTTACAGAAAGCCGGTCAAACCACATTGACAGTGGCATCAAAGCAGCAGCAGCAGGGAATGAAACTGTGTCATATTGTGCAAGGGCCCAACAGTAACACATACCAGCTACAAAAAGCTTTTTGATGTCATTGCCATTTTGACTTTTTCTTTTTTTTTTGTTCCTCTTGTAGCTGTCTGTTTCTCTCTTTCTTCCCATTTTTATGATCACTTGTACAAACAGAACCTGTAAAACAAGTGACCACATCACGCACTATAAAAACTGACTCACTCAAAAGGTGTGTTTGTGTGTATTCTGTGACTCACGCACATGCCTGCTAAAACACTCCTGTTCTGCCACTGCATACAGAAATTGTACAACATGCAGAATAATAACATAACTACACATATTTAGTTGCACAGACTGACCTGGTCATATTTGAATAAATCACAGTTGTCAAATGAACCTCAAAATATGTCTCAGGGCCCATGAAAACACTTATGCATATTCTCATATACAGCAACAGATTGCAGAAAAAAACTCCTGAAAACCCTCAAGAAGAAAACAAATGTTCCAATTTCCTCCTTCAACAGTAGCAGCAAAGCTTTGATTGACTGCAGTGATTTGTTGCAGATGTAAACACAGTGTTGCTACTGACAGAAGCCAATACACGCTCATGAATGAGAGACAGACTCACCAAAGACACCGAATGGAAATCCCACCAGAAGAAAAGAGGACACCAAGAGCTGGAAGAGAAGTCTGAAGATGTTGTACTTGTGTTTTCTTCCTCTTCTTTTTACTCTTTCTTCCCCCCCCACATTTTCCACCCACCCACTTGCACTCTCTCTCTCTCTCTCTCTCTCGCGCGTTCTCTATTGATTTGTCATGCTTGCTGTAACATGTAGTGCAGTGAGAGGGGAAGGCGTGCCCCTCTTTACCTGGCTTGCCTGCAGCCTGTCGACATCCTCACATGTTGACCGAAGAATTCCATCTGCGTAAAGTCGACGTAAAGGGTTAGTTCACCCAAAGTACAGAACGATTTCTTCCCTTTCCCTTGAAGAAGTCATAAAAAATAAAAACATGAGCATGAATCTGCAGCTAAAACATCCACCACTATTCTGCAAAGGCTTCCCGCAAGGTTTCAGAACCGGTGCTGCAGGGATTTGCTGCCGTCCAGCTACAAGATTATTAGTGAGGTAGGGGCAATGATGTTGGGCCTCGCTCTCAGTTGGCTCCAGTTCCAGTTCAAGTTCGTCTGTCAGGTTTTGGATGGGGTGGAGGTCAGGAATCTGTGCAGGCCAATCACGTTCTGCCACACCAAAGTATTCAGACCAATTTTTATATGCTTGGAGGCATTGTTATGTTCAAACAGGAAAGAGCCTTCCATCTCCTGCTCCCACAAAGCAAGAAACACACTGTAATCTAACACACTATAGCATTAAGACTGGGGGGGCTGAGCCCAATCAATACAAACCAGTCTCAGTCATGTGTATCTTTGTAAGTAGGGCAAGTGAAAAATATATAGTATATAGAATAATTTGTGTGTTGGATGAACTAACCCTTTAAACATTTAACATTCACACACAAATATGTGTGTTTCACAAACAGACATGAATATCGAGTATCTTTATAATTCTCTTTATTTTTATTATTGTTTGGCGTCTTATTCTGGTGCTCTCTCTTTCACACAGTAACTTCAAACCAAGACCCTCTCGCTTTAAGATGACAGTGCAAAGTACAGCGTGAAAATAAACCAGAAAAAAAAATCTTCCATATAAACAGTAAATAACATTGTACCATCCCACCTGCAGCCACCAACATGCATTGCTTCTGTCCAATTCAATTGACAAGTGAACCATTCAGTCCTGTCAATCATTGTCCATAGGCAGCTACAGTAACCGAAGCTGACAGCATCTGATCATTTGTGCTGATGTTGCATATGTCAGTTTGACCAGTTTCCAAGTAAAATTTCCACATATTCCAAAACACTTCAGGGATTGGGCTCTTGTAATAACTTGTAAGCTGTTCCGTTCTTTCTTGCTGCCAATGAAAACCCTCCGGATAAACATCTTTACAGATCACGCTCAACCGTCCAGCAAAAGCAAACAAATCCGTGTTGCTGTAAAACAAAGTGTGGAAGTGCATGGACTCAGCCTTTAACCACAGGTTTTATACTCGGTCACCTTCCCTCTTTGTTTACGTCTGATCTACAAAAACAGACAGATGGCAATTTTTCTAATACCAATATATCAGTATTACAAAGCTGTGCAAGGCACATGAAGGAAATGACTATGTATGGGAGAGGAAGAAAACAAATCTGTTTTTGAGAAAGTGTTAATTAGATTAGATAATACATTACTTCCTCTTTACACTGACACTGACGAGCAGTTAACAGAAGTAAATATTTCATTGTATAAAAGATTTTTTATGTGCAAAACATTTGCCATCTTTTTACTTCCATCCCATCTATAATATTTCCCCTCTATGTCTCCTCTGGAGCTATGTGCTAAATAGTTCAATGTCAGTGGTAATTGATGTTGCAGTGCAGAAAAAAAAGTCACACACACACACACACACACACACACACACACACACACACACACACACACACACACACACACTTCTACTTCCTTAACTTGACAAGCTGTGCAAACACGCCAATATCATACCATTCATAGTTCAGCCCGAGCCCAGGATAAAGAGGCTGGGTGAACGTGGTGTGAACTCTGTGGAGCAGAACCATCAGATCAGAGACGTGATAAAAACTCAGAGTTCCTGCTTTATAATCCAAGAACACTCCGATCTTATAGCAGTGGGGGCCTGACACTGCCGTTTCTACATTATTGTGCCGGAACGAGTAACCATTCGCTGAGCACTCCAAACTCCACGACTTGTCATTGTTTCCAAACCGTGAGTCATCCGACGCTCGGGCGATGTCTTTGTAAGCCACCGCTGCAGAGAGAGTGCGAGCGTTCCACTCCACCTCCCAGTAACACCGCTCAGACAAACCCTCTCTGCACAGCACCTGCGGGAACTTAGTAAACCTCTCTGGCTGAGCAGAGTAGGGGCTGGGTGAAGGCTTCATCATGCGATAGTCGCTCATCAGGTGGAGATACGCGTAGTTTGAGGTCACATCCAGTGTGAGGGGACGGCAATCTGCCAGGAAAACAAGGTCAGTATGAACAATCAACCCCCCTGCAAAAATGGAAATAAAGATTATTGCGTGGAAGTAAAAAGAGTTCAACTGAATCTCTTACAGTGTAAAAACTCTGCTCTGGTGTTTGGTGCCGGTGATAGTGAGAAATCAACATAAGAGACTGTCAGAAAGAAACAGAAAGTCATTTCTATTTCATGACTTCAAGCGATTAACTGATTAAAGTCATTTGCTTCATATTTGCTTATGTTACCTGTGGCAGAGATCCTGGGCCATGTTTCCTCCAGGGCAATCTCTAGTTTATCTCTCAGCTCAGACACACAGTGCGTCACTTCTCTGAGGGAACGTGGAGGAACAGCAGCAGGTGGAAAGTCTGAAGAGTCACAGGAAGTGGAGAGAGACTGGAAGATCTGAGGAGAAACGAGACAAGCAACATTGCCAAGATGTAGTTATTGTCAGAAAATTTTGTCCAAAAGCATATGTTTCACTTGAGAAGTGGGAAGTGATTTTAACACCCTGGCTTCTACTTAGGATTAATTCTACTTTCATTTTAAGCATTGTCACCTGTTATTAAAAAGCCAGCCAGTAGATAGAGCCATTTTCAGCAGGCGCTTTCCCACAGTGAAGATGACCTGCTGCAGGAAACTCTTTATTCAGTCATATTAATCATAAAGTTGTAAATCACACAACAACAACGCCACTGAGAAGCGTCCTGTACCTGTATCAAATGGATGTGGTCGTCAGCATGCGACAGCCGCTCCAGTTCGCCGTCTCTCCTCCTCAGCTTGGCGATCTCCTCCTCCAGCTGCAGCCGAATCGCCTCAGCCTGCGCCGCCGCCGTTTTCTCCTGACCTTCAATCAGCTGCTTCACCTCACTGCGTCTTCTCTTCATGGAGGAGATCATCTTGGCAAAGATCCTGTCGCAGTCCTTCAGCGCCTCTTGGGTAGAGATCTGTTGCAACACAAAGCTTTTGATTTAAAAGTTACTCAAAATGATAAAACCAGTGCGGAAACCGGTGCTGACCTTTGACCTCGCAATCATTTTCAGTCAAATGCCACTGATTATTTACTCATTCATGAGCAGGAACTTTTGATATTAGATTATAGAGAATTCCTTTGAGCAAAATGGACTTTAATCAACATTATAACAATGAAATGACAATGTGAAACAAATGTAAAAGCTCTTTCCAGCTGAATTCTTTTGGTTCATTCTCACTGCTGGCGGAGCATTTAGCAGCTAACGAGCCAGATGTTTCCCTCAAAAGTTGATGGAGATCAAAAACAGAGCTAAAAGAAAGTGACTATTGGACTTGAGGTGTGTAACCAAGCAACTATTTGCTGTAAAATGAGCATATGAACTTAGAAAGGTGATAATATGTCAATGCTGTGTTCACAACTTGCTACTCCCTCCCAAACTCATTGTTTTCTCACACCTTGAGATCGTTCTCCGCTTGGATCAGCTCCTTCAGCTCCTTTTCTCTCTGCTGGGACGTCTCCTGGACTTTCTTACGACTCAAACTAAGAAGATTCTGCAAAGAGGAAAGCATGATTATTTCCAGTGAGACTCGAGGAGCTCATGCTTAATTAGAATAATTAAGATAATTAAGACTACATTTGCCATGTCAGGAGCAGCTCAAGGAGAGAGTACAAATACGAAAAGGCAAGTACAGAGGCGTCAGATTTACAGGCTTTAGTGAGAGAGATTTTGTTTCTACCTCTGTTTCAGCCTTCTGTACTGAAACAGAAACCACTTTGTGGTCCCGATGCTCCTCTATGGTGCACAGAGAACAAACAAGCTGCTTGTCCGTCTTACAGTAGGCCTCCATCAGCTTGTTGTGCTTGGTACACATCTTGTCCTGCAGTGGGATTCTAGCCGAGACCAGCTGGTGCGTCTTCAGCACAGCAACGCTGTAGTGAGGCTCGAGGTGAGCTGGACAGTAAGACGCCAAGCACGTCAGGCAGGACATGGTGGCTTTCTTAGGTTTGGTCCCACAGCAGAAATCACAGGCAACATCTGCTGGACCTGCACAGGCCAGAGCAGCAGAGGGAGAAGCCTGCTGGGTGCTCGTCATCTTCAGCTTCTCCACAACCTGGGGAAAGGAGTGAGGGCAGTCATGAATAACCAAGACCAAGAAAAAGTACATTCCCAGTAGATGTAGATAGATGTAGATATTTGGATTAAGTAACACTTTACACATAATATAAAGTAACATTGTTTGTTCCTTTTAATGACCTCAAATTCGGCATCTCTAGACATTTTTATGGTTCGTTTTTCAACAAATACACCGATATTGATATATGTGCAAAAGGCTAATATCAGCGTAACATTGGCCCAGATCAGTTGAGTAATGTGCAACTAGTCTGGTACCTCTTACATTAACAAGTAATTTTAGCCAGCAGAAGTAGCGGCCTGATTGTTTGTGAGGGTGGCCTGGGATGGAGTCAAATTCCCAGCCTGAATTTTGTTTTTGTCCTCTCCCGTCCCAGAGGATTTATCAGTCTTTAATCTGCATCAAAATATAAATGTGAAAGTTTGTTTTCTTAATTTATGGAAAAAGAGGTGAGATTGTCTAAAAATGTCCTACAAATAACACTTGATTGAGACCAAAAATGGAAACCGTTGTTATTTAATTGAAACATGTCAACTTTTGAAATATCCTGCTCAATAAAAAAAAAAAAAAACATGGTTCTTTTACCACCATGAGTACGAATTATTTTTTCAACACAAACAAGAAATAGCTGCCAGGATTTAATTTGTGAAGACACATATGGGGCAACAGAAAAACGGGAGAAAAAACACCATGACACCAAACAACATCGGTTTGAGTACGTGTACGTTTACATAAAAAGTATATAGCGTTTACGAAACAAACGTAAAACAGTGTAAAGTCTGTCTGTACGATCATTCCCCCATCACCTTAACCAGCATGTTGTTTCTCTTCAGAAGAGGCCTGGGATTGAAGGTCTGCCTGCACAGAGGGCAGCTGCACCCTCCCTTCTCCTTCTCCTGGTCCCAGTAACCCTCAATGCAGCCCCTGCAGTAACTGTGTCCACAGTTGATAGTAACCGGCTCCTTCAGGAGATCCAGACATACTGAACAGCAGAACTGCTCTTGGTCCAGCTCGTCTCCATGCTGCCTTCGTTGTTGTTTGTCAGCCATTTTACAGACGAGCAGCAGCACATGGAGACAGGAGGGTTCCTGAGTTTATTTGTGTCTGAATCACTTGGGGGGGAAGGAGTGACTTCCTGATTTCCCCAGAAGAGGCGTGGCTAAATAGAGCAGTGGGAGGTTCAGTGTCCAATAACTTTAGTTAAAGGGTCACACACCAGTTTCACACATCAAGATCATGGTTAGTGCTAATCAGCCTTTGGAGACAATTGTATAACGCCTTCTGTGACTCTGAAGGGGAATATTTAAAATAACCTTGATCATGTCAAAGTAATGTCATTAGGATTATCTTGAATTAGGTCTGGGACGTCGACTCCTTAACAGAAAGCCTCTGTTACGAGTTGTGGGACCAGTCAGGAAAGGTCTAACCATAAACACAATGATGGGAAGTGTTTGGAGCCTAATCCATACAAAAGATTAAAAGACCTCTTTCTGTTTGGATTTTAATCATTCTTTTTTTTTCCTTTTTCTTTTTCTAGCAACTTTATTGTGGGTGCAAAGGGTCAAAATGGTAAAATGAGGAAAAGGATTTTGTAAAAATACACGTTATCTGTGTTTGAGGCTGTAAAACAAAGGTCATATTTTATATGTAGTTTAATAACAGCTTGTTGATGGCTTTTCACAAGGTGTTATCTTAATTCTACAATTATATGACCTTCGAACTGCTGCTGAATGTAAACTTCTTGCTGTTGTTGTCAGTAATAGTTAGCCTACTTTATCTATCCCCACAAAGGCATCAGCAGTCTCCAGGGTTCACAAATACAAACACCATAAATCTGGGGTAATCACAAATTAAAAAGAAACAAAGTCCGTGAGCTTAAGAACATTTTCTTTGAATAAAAATGAACTTTGCTCTCATATACTAACCCGCTTTTTCACATCAAGCACAAATTAGACCACAGACCCCCAACTGATAAGACTTTTGCTTTTAGATGTGAAAGTGATTGAAACCCATGACCACAATAGACATATATTTTGTCACTGTGTTACTTATGGTTCGAATCCTAGTGAAAATAAATGATTCCCCTTTTTGCTGGGGACCCCCTGGAACCCCCTCAAGGACTGCCGGGGGTCCCTGGACCCCGCTTTGAGAACCACTGTATTAACCAACTTTGGAAAATCCTCTCAGGTAAAGTCTACAACTCTACAATGAACTTACACAAATCTGCATTAAACGACATTAAAGTCCATGAAAGAGCCCACGAGTGCTACAGACTTATCAGGAAACCATGTTAATGTCTTGAAAGGCAGCGAGAGCGGACACTAGTTAATCCTGACAGTTGTAAAGGGAATGAAAATACAAAATGTCAAGCACTGTAGCTTGACCTCTAATGCCACCTTGTGGAATCAGAGATGGTATTACATTACAAACTCACCCACAACGGCATCCAGTGTATGAGGTGTTAATAAATGCTATTGCTGATTAAACTGTGTTTTTTGTGTTTTGTTTTCAGGCAGCCCACTGGTGACCAGAGCTCACAGGTGCAGTTTAAAAATATAAATCCCATAATAAATAGGTAAATTAGCTGCACACTTTAATAACAACAAAATGAACAAATGAGAAAAACAATCATTGCTTTTATTGTTGAAAATCTGATTTATAACAAATAAACAATGGCTTACTTAATATAAGAGCTCAGTGGAAAAAAAGTAAAATCCTAATCCAACACCTTGAAGTTAGAGTACATTTTATAAAACAATCACTGTCATATAATGATAGATCATTAACCGCATGAACCTGTTAATAATGAACAAATCATACATCAGGTCTTACAACATACAGATATTTGTTATACATCATCAATTTATAAAGATGGCATTACAAAAGTCAATTAAAATGACAATTACAAAAGTTTACAAGTCATTTACAAAAGTAGTAATAACAGAGATTTGATTTTAAAGCGTGAACATTTCCCTCCACCATTTTCAATTTTCATTTTGTTGTAGTTCGCAGCCCCAAAAATTAGTCCCCTTAACGCTGCACTGATCTTTTTTTTTTATATAACTAACAATGGATCGGTTGTGTATACATGAACGGAAACAAAGCCACAAAGCATCATCACCCGACAGTCAGTTCACCTCAGCTCTGTGGAGCCTTTTGAGTCTCTTTAAAGGTTATTGTTTAGGTTTTCTGGTGCTGCGAATGCATGTCAACTTTGTTTCTGCAGTGGTCTCACAGACGGACAATGATAGCGGCGAGCTGGTGAACATAGTGGCGCATTTAGCAAATAAAGAGCAGAATATTTTCCTCCGTAGTAGGTGGAATCAAAAACAGAGCTTAAAGGAGAGTGAATGCTGAATAAATATTTGCCAGGTGGCCAGAAACAAGACAAATTAATGCTAATGTTGCTTATTGTCTTCTAGATGTGTACATAGGCATAACTGTAGCATATGTGATACTAATGTTTTTTCATCTGCGTCCAAGTGGCATTTGCCTTGTCCATAACAGCCTTATAAGCCATCTGTGCTGCCTCACCTGGTGTTTTTGCTCCCTCAGCGGCATCAAGTCCAATCTTACCACCAATTATTCCACCAGCTGCAACACAGGCTGTTCCTACCACTGCTCCAGCTGCTATTGCTACCTCACCTCCTCCTACTGCTGCTGCTGTTGTGGCTGTCCCTCTTAATGCTGGAATGTTTTTCATTACGTTCAGGGATGACGTAATGTTCTTCACAGCTGTGATTACTAATCCAACCATCCCTGCCAGACCAAAAAAAGCTCCTAATAATGCTCCTGTTGCAGTCCCTGTCAGTCTGACCAAAAACCTATCAGACACAATAGTTTTAGCCTGTTGTCTGACCTCTTCCTGTGACAGGTGTCCTGATGACAGTTTTATTTTGCTGGCTTCTATATTTATTTCCTCCTCCACTGTTTGCAGCATCTTGTTGGTGTAGTAGCCTCCATTGTTTTCCATCACCAACTTGTCTATTGTGTTAAGAAGATCCTCTACCTGGGACTGGTTGCTCCTGTAGTTCTTCTGCTGTTTGTTCTTCCAGTATTTATTGTCAAAGACGTGGCACCGGCCGCCGCACTTCTTCACCAGATCACTCAGATTCTTATTCTGGCTGACAAACTCTTGAATTGTCTTCCCTTTAGGGAGCTGGTCACCGTGAGTGAAGACAATCACGGCATACTTCAGAGCATCTTCAGAGAAATACTGAAGTATTTTTCTGATGACATCCTGCTCCTGCTCTGAGAATTTCTCCACTTTGAGCACAATGAGAAAAGCATGAGGCCCAGGAGCGCACTCTGTGATACAACTCAATATCTCAGGCTTCATGTCCTCCTCAGACCTGTTTGCATCAAAGAAACCAGGGGTGTCGATCAAATTGATGCTTCTTCCATTGACAGATCTGGTTTCTGATTGGCATATAATTGTTCCAGAGTTGGGAGAATGGTTTGTGGTGAACGTTTCCTCCTCTCCTATTATGGTGTTAGCTAGGTTGCTTTTCCCAGATCCAGTTTTTCCCAGCAGGACAATCCTCTTTGTAGTCGACACTAGAGGAGAATAATGACTCTGTTAAGTACATTTGTCTTCGCTTTTTTACTTTATTTACATTTTTTTGTAAAATAAAAGATATAATAACTAAAATATTAAAAAAAAGAAAAAAAAACTTCTAGTGATAGTATTTGTCTATAGCATGGTGAATTAGTCATTACAGCAGTTGCAGACATTTTAAAACACTGACCGAATAAATCAGCAAATAAAAGTTGAGTCACCACAAAAGAAAAACACCAACAACGGCTGCCATAGGACTGAATTGAAAATTATATCTATACCCACCTTGGTCTGGTTGATGAATATCTTTTGTGAATTCTTTGAAGGCCTGCAGAGACAAAGACCTATAGCGTTTAATACCAATTCCAGTTTGTGCTCATCTGATGCTCATCTAATGCAGAAAAAGACGTTGAGCTGATGTTTATATCTCGATGTTTTTAAAATTGAAAAAAAATAATTTCTTCAAAATGAATCAGCTGAGAGAAGCCTGTCATCATTCTGTATATTATGTAATATAATATATGTAAATATTTGCACTGCTGCTTTCCATTCCCTCACTAACCTCTGTGTCATTGGGGTGGATGGCGATTCGGACCAGGAATGGCGTTCTGCTGGCTCGGTTCTGTATAAATGCTTGAATTTCCTCCTGTAGAATCCTGGCTACCAAACTGTTAGGAAAACGCAGGGCAATCCCAACCCCGAGTACAGGGAGAGTGACTGATGCAAATCCTCTTCTCTCACAGGAAGTTAGGATCGTGTTGATGCCCAGTCTCAGAATCTGTAAAAGGTCAGAATACAATGAGGCTAGATGCAGGAAACACTGGGAATCAGTTGCTGACAAAGTGTTCTCAGATAGAGACAGCAGAAGTTAGGACACAAATAAAAACACTCCTCTGCCATTTCACCTCGACTGCAGTTCCTTCTGGGTCATTGTCCCAGGGAGCGAGGTTGAGGAAGAACACTGCATTAGATGGAAGTCCAGACAAGCCCTCAACCAGAATTGCATCACCAGGCAGCGTATCTTCTCCTGCTTCCTCTCTAAACCTAGCAGTCAGCTGGGATCCAACCATTTCGAACAAAGTGTTTCCAACACGGGTGGAGAGAGGATTATGGCCAACCATAGGAGACACCAGGGCATCCACCTAGGAGGAGAGCAGGAGATGTGTTGAGGCTTGATCTCTATAGTTTTTTCTTTCATATTTTCCCCTTTAAAAATATCACCATGGTTGAGGCTAAAAATGAGGTTGAAATGCCTCCTGTGTAGACAAGCCATACTGGGCTCTATCTTCACCTGAGCTTTGTTGTTCAATTAACAGCTAAGTCTCTAGTCTGAATAGTTGGTTTGATTCATTTTCTTAAAATTTCAGAAAAGTTTTTCACCTCCTGGGTTTCAATGGTTCCCTGAACAATCTGAACATGGACACCATCTCCGGGATCTCCAGCATTGGCTTCTTTTGCTGTGTCTTGGGCAGCAGCAGCACCCATCAGGTATTCCAAATCCTCACTTGGTGTAGTGTTTTTGGTACTTATCCCTTGGAGAAGCCTGTCACATGCCTCCTGCATGGCCCTCACTACCTCTCCTCTGTTATCAATCAGGATGATTCTGCGCAGACTTCGCCCTCCCTGACTACCAAACCTTTTTACAGCAGTTACAATAGCCTCAGAGCACACAGTGAGAGGAACGCCAAACACACCTGAGCTGATACAGGGCATGGCAATAGACTTCAACTCCATGATTTCTGCCATATTCAGAGCAGACTGGACAGTTTTTTCAAGTAAGAACCTTTCCCTGCCACCTGCTCTTCCAGCTGCAGGTCCAACAGCATGCAGTAGTGTCTTGCAGTTAAGCTTCCCCCCTGTGGTCACTACCACATCACCTGTAGGAATTTTCCCAATATACTGTATTAAGGCACTGCTCTCCCTCTGTATTTCAGGACCGCCTGCTTTACTCAGTGCAGCAGCAACACCTCCACAATGGTCCAGATCTTCATTGGCAGCATTAACCAGGGCATCAGCATCCTGCTTGGTGATGTCACCCTGACACACCAGCACCTGGAGCCCATCACAAAGGCTGTAGCTGGCAACTAATGTGTTACCTTCACTCAAACTCAAAGATGGCATTTCATTCTTCTTGGACATAAGCTTTTCCCGAAGCTCAGATGGCACAGCAGAGCAGGTAGGTAGATTAATCTTTACTTCCTTGAACTCACCCTGCAGTGCTTTTTCTGCATCATCCAGTTTATCAGCAGAGAGGGAGAAGACACGTAGCTCTGCGCCTCGTAATTCTATTTCCACCTCGTCACCAACCCCTAAAAAGTCACCTAGCATCCTTGGACCTCCATAAGCCAGAAGATGTGGGCTCATGTTAGAAACTGTCCTTTCTAACACCAGATTCTCCTTCTCAGAAATCCAATCTCCAGCCTTAAGAATATCCTCCACAGAACCTTCCAAAACTACCTGACCTGCATCTCCCTGTGTGACCTTAACTTCTGGAAAATTTCGTCCTACACCATGCTCAATCTCTTTCCAGAGGAGGCGGAGTTTGGCCTCACCCAGTCGACGAATGCTGGTTTGCCTCTTAAGTGAGTGTGTCCCTCGATGTTTAACAGTCAGGTCCACTACATCCATCAACCTCGCCTTCACCTGAGAACGTTTCCCAACCACAACAACCAGCCCACCCTCACTGTACACCTTCACCTCATCTGTAGTCTGATGAGAACTGCAGGACTGAAGCAAAGCTTTGACTTTGTGAGGGTCCACCTCATAGTGGCACAGGTAGGCATCAAAGAGTTTGTCTACCTCAGCTTTCCAGTTTCTACCTTCATCTACAACACCAGGTTGGGCTAAACTCTTGACTAAAACCCTGCCCTCCTCTGGGTAAAGCTGAGCAGAGCAGGACACAGAAGCAAATTCTTTCTCTAGTTCTTCCCCGGCCTCGGGACATTCCTTTAGGTAATGTAGGAGGTAAGTATCAGGTCGTAGTTCATATTCTTCACCACTTGGTGGAGGAGTTGAGGCAGGAATAGACTGTGGGATCTGTGTTAAAAGGAAAGATGCATTCAAATAATGATAACAGCAGTTTACTGGTGTGTTTTATTTGTATTATCTTTTAAAGGTGCTTTTTGAATAGACAACCTTGACTGACTGACAGTGACTTTGTTTTACTAACCTGTGCTGAAGCTGTTGTATCCTGGCTTGGAGTGATGGGAGATGGGGTGTGAGGGTCCAGGCTGCCTCGGACAGTGAACACCAGAGGACCATCTGCGAGCTGCACAACATGCTCGCCTCTCTCCAGGACTTTTTGCTGATCTATGAAGGAAAAGTGACATTATTATCATGAGCTTTAAATAATACAATTGTTCCTCTTTGACATAAACCACAGGCTTTTCACTTGTTAGAAAATAACAAATTAAAGAAAAAATTGGGTTTGTTTTGTCCTCTGTCTTTCCTTATTTTCTGATTTCTCTCAAATCTCCTACTTTCCATTTATGCAAGTGGGCTACAATTAACAATGCTGCTGTTTAAACCCGTCTCCCACAGCGTGCACCACTTCCACAAGTCATTTGTTTGCTTATCATGTAATGACGTTTTATGGACCACAGCTGATTTTACTTCCTCGTGTAGCCACTGTACATTCAGCCGGCTGAATAAAAACTGGTATTTGACTTGTCTTTTGCAGAAAATTAATTATTTATGATTACTATTAAAAGCCTCATCTCTAGCAGCCGTTTGTGTTAAGTTTCGTTTTCCACTGAAAGTGAAACTAAATGATTTCGCTGTTCAGGATCCTATTTCACAAACTCCCCGTTGCATCAGTGGAATCATGGACCTTTGGACATTCGGTTTAAACTTAGACAGTCCAAAATCAAAATAAATGTGTTATTTGATACACAGCGCTGACCATTACAAGACAGTCCACGATCATATTGATGATGAATACTGATTAATGGATCGTTGAACCTACCTCTCTCATATCTGAAAGCAATGCTGTAGACTTGATCGTCCACACTCCTCAGTGGTCCGCAGTCACCTCCGCCTGATCGGCGACGAATACGGAAATATGTCTCTATTGCCTTCCTCTGCTCCGCGCGCAGGCTGCGGCACTCAAAGAAAACGGGATAATGGTGAATATCAGCCATCGTCCTACCGCGAAAAGATGAAGACAAACATGGGTAATATGCGATCTGAAGAGCGCAGTGTGCGATACGACTGTGTCACTCTTCTGATCGAGGACTGCTCTCTCCGTTCTCCTGCAGGAGGAAATGTGCCACATCAAGAGATGGCATCGGTATCACGTCAACATACTTACATAATGCATTTCATTAAAGCACAGATTAGAACAACACCATAGCACTCAAGAGATACTGTCGATTGTATTCAAATTGCAGAAGTAAACATTAAAACACACACACACATCCCATGAAAACACTGACAGCATGAAAAAAAATTATAAAACACAACGAATAAGAAAAGTTCTTAACCCTTTTGTTTATGACAATATTTTTATATAGGAGCAAATAATTTTATCCTGCATATGATGTTATTTGTGTTTGGATTCAATTAGAGTAGAGGTGACAAACTCCCTGCTGGACCTCTTCTGACCAAACAATTATAAAAGTCCAGTCACAGAAATCCAAAGACAACTGTTGCATACATTTTTGAAAAAAATAGTAGTAGTATAAAATAAAATAATAGTTGACCTTTGAAACTGTTTAACAATATAGGAATATTATTGCATAATAAAGTTATTTCATGTTTAAACTGTCTGGAGCAGAATCTTTTTTTTTTGGCTCCAGTTCACTTTGCTGACACAACAACATACTGGAGAGTCACGCGCTGCAGGTACACCACTTCTCCAGTCACATTGCGCAGAATAGGAAAGGTAAGCAAAGACCATTCCCTATTCAGTTTCTATCATGTCTGACATATTCGCATAGAAAATAAGTAAAAAAAAAAACAAAACAAAAAAAGCATAACACACCCATCAGTATTGAGGGTCTGTGGCGTGTTGGAAAGGAAATCTCTCATCATAATAAGACCAATGTTGACATCAAGACGTGCGTCGGGCAGCGCCTCTGTGGCTTTTCCAGTCACACTGAGGTAGACTGAGTTTAGTGGGACTAGAAGCAGGTAGATTCACTAAGACTTTCTCCATTGACTTACAGAGACAAGACTGAAGTGCTGCAGGTCCAAAATTGTTGAACAAAGTAGCTTCCATTATTTGGTGCGTGTGGAACTCTGAGAAAGCTTCCAAGAACCAAAACTTTATCTGGGTGGAACAGCTCTTGTTATCAGGCTCTGCATGGTGGCTTCAGTCTTATTAAAGCACCTCCTAGCCTGATGAATATTGGATCACATTCAGAGATGTGCTCTGCCAAACCTGTTTTAAAAATAAATACTGAGCTCATTGACAAAGCATGGGATATTCATAGCATGATATTCTTGCTGCTTACCCTCTCTACTAACCTTTTCCATAGGTTTGTGGGTGTATGCTACACTGTGAGCCTAAAGCTAATAACAATGATACAGCCCTACAGAAAATTAAACACTTTAATTTGCGTGACACAAAACGTGGCACATCAATTGGAGAATGGTTCAGAAGTTTTATGAAGTACTGTAGTTGAGCCTGTCATTGTAAAAACACAAAAACTTTACACTTAAACCTTAGGATTATTAATATTAAGTATAATCATTAATATTCATTTCAGGAGTCATACTAAATAAAGTTTGTCTTCTTTGAGGAATAATGCATAAAAATAAGGTCAAAACATTTCAGCCCACATTATGTCTATTACACTGATGCAGTTGTTTTTCAGAAAGCGTCCTTGTGTGTCAAGACAAATTCCACACAGTCAGAACCACACCTGCCTGTTTTATTAGTGACTAATGGGTGAAACCTGTGCAGTGACTCATACTGTATTTGAGTTGTTTATCCAAACAATAAGGAACAGCAGAAAAGGATAACGGCCTATATAGTGAGACACAGTTGCCCTCTTGTGGTCAAACTGTGCACATCACTCACACGCTGTTATTCATGAAGCTAAGACATGAGATGAATTTCGGATGCTGTACAGACTGTCAAGCTCTTTGAGTCAAACGTGTGAACCTGAACATAGTGTAGGCTTCAACAGCACCACAAACTGCAGCATCCAAACTGACCGCCGAGTTGAATCAACTTTACACTTAAAACCTAAATGAGGAGGATTATTAATATTTTAATGGCACCTCTCTATTTATGCTGTGGTGTTATATTGCATTTGTTTCAGTCAGACATAAACTGGTGGTAAGGAGAGTAATGAGACACCACGTTCTTCTCCCTACATAGAATTCCTTCATCTAATTATTCAATTAATTCAGACACAGCAAGTAGCTCCGGACACCCCGATGTTGTGCTGCTGCTAAAAGACACTACGCTGCAAAAGATACTGTAGATGTACTTATTAAATTTGATATTCAAGTAATAGATTTCAGACTGTTCAGACTCTGCCACAGAACAGAGAGAAATGCAAACCAGAAATTTACAGGTTGTGTGATTGCATTTATTGATTCATTTCTTTCTTTTAAAATAAATGATCAAAATGAACCAAAACAATCTTCTGCATATACACGGCAATGTCACCATTTCTGAGAAACACATTTTAACCAGTAAGTTTTCCAAAAAGTTGACAATCCAAACAGAACAAATGAAAGCAAACCATGTATGTCATATTAAGTTCAATAAATCGACCATAACCACTGAGGTCCATAATACCCTGAAACACATTCACCAACAAAAACACTTTTAAAAGTCCTGTTTTAAAATTCAGTAAACCATCAGCAAAGACTAATATTTGAGCTAATGTGACACATCTGAAAACCCCAAGGAGCAATGATTTAGTTTCAACTGGAAAAGCAAAAGTGAGAGAAAGAAACTCCAAACCAGTTAACAACTCCTGTGTCTACCAACACACACCTCTCCACCCTTTTACCTCAACTGCTTGGAATGTTGCAACGAGGAAATGGTTTATTTGCGCCTTTGGATGTTGTTACTCAAACTACAAAAATATTTGAAGCGCTTTAACGCGTTCAGAAATTTAGGGTCAAAATATAAAATCACATCCTCTCATCTATCACATGGTATCCAGTTATATTGGAGGGCCACTTGCAGCAAAAACCCCCGCCTCAATATAAATCTGATCACCATAACTTCATCAGTTCTGCATAATGTCCAGCGCTAGATCCAGCACTCTTCAGCCCGAGGCCAGGATAGAGAGGCTGAGTGAACGTGTTGTGGACTGTGTGGAGCAGAGTCATCGTGTCAGAGATGCTGTAAAAAGACAGAGTACCTGCTTTATAATCCAGGAACACTCCGATCCTGGAGGAGTTAGGGCCTGACACCAACTCGCTTTTTGTGTTGTGTTGTACGACATAACCACCTGGTGAACACTCTAAACTCCATGACTTGTTGTTCTTTCCAAACTCGGACTCATATGTTCTGCTGATGTCTTTGTACGACACTGCCACTGACCAAGTGCCACCGCTCCAACTGACCTCCCAGTAGCATCGCTCTGACAATCCCTCTCTGCACAACACCTGCGTGACATTTGTAAACCTGTCTGGGTGAGCAGAATAATATTTCTCATAGTGTTCACGAGTCACCCGCCTGTTTTCTTGTGAAAGGGACAAGTATCTGTAGACTGAGTTTTGATCCAGTGTTAAAGGACGGCAATCTGATGGAAAAGCAAAGGTAATATTAACATTAACCTTGTGATATCCAGTTCATTATCAATGCATCAGTGTATTGTGAAACTGCAGAGGATTAAATCTTTTACTCACAGAGTAAAAACTCATTTCTCTTCTTTGGCACAGGCGGCAGTACAACATCTGCAGCACCCACTAACAAAAAGGAAAACGACAAACCTAAATATCATCGGACCTGAATAAAAACACCATGTAACTGCTTTTATGTTTCTGTCAGGTACCTGTGGCAGAGATCACAGGCCATGTGTCCTTCAGGAGCTTCTCCATGTTTTCTCTCAGCTCAGACACGCGGTCAGTCACAGCTCCGATCGAACGTTGAGGAAGAACAACAGCTCCAGCTGGCAAATCTGGAGATTCACAGGAGGTGGAGAGAGACTGGAAAGTCTGACGGAAGTTCAGTAGGTCAGACACCAGAGGAAGACAAAAAATCAATTAAGATATTCCAGTACAGTCATCATACATTGTAATGTCAAAATGTGGCCAGCAGATGTCACTTTTGGGCAATGCATCAAGCCATGTGTGCCAGCCAGAAAAATGACCCGAGCAGAACTGAGTGTAGGAGCCATATATTGGTTCTGATCGTTTATTTTGTGTTTGATTAGTTTTGTCTTGTTGCCATGGGGATATGCAGTGTTTGGGGTCACATGAGCACCGCCGTTGACAGCCGGTAGGTTATATCATAATCTGCTTCACCTGTACTGGGAGAGTGAGGCGAGTCTAGGTAGCCGTAATTTTTGTTGACCGTTTTTTATGATCGTTTTTGTTCTTTTTGTTTGCTTTGATACACCACGCCAAGTGTACACATTTAACAACAAATTGGCGCGTGTAAAGCCGCTGTATTATCCAATGGTTACATTAAAACCTACGAAACTTCTCTGGACTCAGTGTGCTTCTCTGAAACAGCAGCAGCGTGTCACACAAATATACAAGACCTATTCTGCCTCACAAGCGACTTTCTAAGGTACTAGAAAACCGCAATACTGAGCTTTGTTTTAAGCAACTACAGTTACAGATGGGAGAGCTTTGGCTGTGCAGCAATGATTATTCAGCCATGTGGAACTGAAAAATTTAACCAACTGATAGAAATGCTGAAAAAAAAAAAAAAAAACAGACATGTAGTTGCTCTCCAGCACACTGACAGCGTCTGGTACCTGAATGAAATGAATGTCGTCGTCTGTATGAGAAAGCTCCTCCAGGTCGGCGTCTCTCCTCTTCAGCTTGGTGACCTCCTCCTCAAGCTGCAGCTGCAGCTCTTCAGCCTGAGCCACTGCAGTCTTCTCCCGGGCTTTGATTAGCTGCTTCATCAAAGTGCGTCTTTTCTTTATGGAGGAGATCAGCTCATCAAAGATCTTATCACAGGACTTCACTGTAGTCTGGGTACAACTCTGTTTATACAAAGAAAAAACACCAAGATTTTTTTTTTGGACCTTGTACATGTCATCATTTTACTTCTCATCTCATCCATTCTCATTCTGAATCAACAAGTTAAATACAGACATCTATAGAGGTGATTAGGGTAATAAAATTAAAAAGGCACAATCCTTTTACCACTATGTACAAATAAAGGTAGCCCTGACATTTAGACTGGAAACAGCATTCACTTTCAAACTGATGGACTGGAGTTAATATAGGGATTAATGTCAGACAGTATTTCAGTGTATGTTATTGACCCTTATGCATTCTTAGGGACATTTTTGTCCTTTTCATTTTTCCAAGGGTGTGTATTTTTTGGGGAATTTTGGAATTTCACCCTCCTGTAATTTGTCTATAATACGCCGAGTACTCAAAATACTAATAAATAAAAAAACGAATCTGTCACTGCACAATAAATAATAATTTATCAAAATGAATGTTGTTGCTAATCTTTGACCTATCCCAGACTGATATTAATTGATATTAATATACTGATATTAATATGTAATATTTTTATGACTGTTTTTTGATGCAGACATTGTTGTCCACTAAGGAAGACAAAGGAGGTCAGTGTCACCTGCCACATATCAAAACACCTGGACAAGACTTTCCCCATACTGTAGTGGTCAATACACACAGAGGATCATATTACTGACTCCATACCTTAAAATTTTTCAGGGCTTGACTCAGCTCATTCAGCTCCTTTTCTCTCTCCTGGAATCTCTCCTGGACTCTCTTTTGAGTCACAATCAGCTGTTTCTGAAAGAAATCGTTGGTGCAACATTGTGAAGGTTTCAGTCACATCAAAACAACAAAGCACCACTGATAATAAAAACTGGATAAATATTACAAATAACAAACATGTCCATGTGTTTCAGTGCAGGCCTCTTTTAAAAGTCTGACGACAGTTTTTGTTTCTACCTGTTCAGTAGCCCTCTCTGCTGTAGCTGAGCTCATACAGTGTGTCTGATGTTCATCTATAGTGCACAGATAGCAGATACAGCTCTTGTCCGTCTTACAGTAGGCCTCCATCAGCTTGTTGTGCTTGGTACACATCTTGTCCTGCAGTGGGATCGTAGCCGAGACCAGCTGGTGCGTCTTCAGCACAGCAACACTGTAGTGAGGCTTGAGGTGAGCTGGACAGTAAGACGCCAAGCACGTCAGGCAGGACATGGTGGCTTTCTTAGGTTTGGTCCCACAGCAGAAATCACAGGCAACATCTGCTGGACCTGCACAGGCCAGAGCAGCAGAGGGAGAAGCCTGCTGGGTGCTCGTCATCTTCAGCTTCTCCACAACCTGGGGATGATAAAAAAAAAGAAGGTGGTGAGAAATACTGATTTCCCTCAGATAGAGTGTGCGTCCACTCAGGCTTCACAATAGGTGTGGTTCATGCTGGCAGCACATGTAATGAAAAAAAGAAAAAGGCACATTTTTCTTCTATAGATTCCAGGTGTTAGGAGCCAAAATATTGAGTAATTCTTGCCATTCAAAAAAATAAAAATAAAACAAACAAATAGTAGTATTAGCTGAACCGATGGACTGTATTAATCTTTACACCAGTTGTTTTACTGCAACCAAGCCTGCCATCATAATGATGTCATAGTTAAACCTGCTCCAGAGTTTTTTGTATCTTCTTCAGTCTTTAATATTTGTATTTAATATCCACCACTAGGTTCATAGGGACCAAATCAAAGATGCAAATTAACAGAGCCTGTGTGTAACACAGCTTTCATCCTTCAGATAACAGAGTACATGGCACAGAAAACATGCAGAGTCTGCACTCAGAATGCAGTACGAGCCTCTTTCATGATATATTTTATAAACCTCATAATCCCACACTGCCTTCTGCCTACGGGGATGGAGTGTATTCATAAAGACGGCTGTATGATTGAGCTCTTTCTTAGAATTGTACGAAAAACTAAAATGATCTAAACATACTGTTTTCGCGGCACTTTTACTTTGCGCGCCATTACCTCAGCCAGCATGTTGTTCCTCCGCAGAGCAGGCCTTGAGTTGAACGTCTCCCTGCACTGAGGGCAGCTGTACTTTCCCTTTTTCTTTTCCTGGTCCCAGCATCCCTCAATGCAGCTTCTGCAGTAACTGTGTCCACAGTGGATGGTGACGGGCTCTTTCAGCAGTTCCAGACATACTGCACAGCAGAACTGACTGTTGTCCAACTCCACTCCGCGCTCCCGCTGCTGTTCGGCCATTCTGTTGAATTTCGCACGTGCAGAGAAAAACGCTCATAAGTTTCGTTTTTTCTTAAAAAAGAAAAAAAACTGAGAACGGAAAATGGAACTAACTGAGGCGGGGCTTTTCAGTCAAGTGGTACTGCCCCAACTCATCCTTGTGCCTGTTCACATTAAGTCCGACAACTATTAAAACTTTCACCTTCTTTCATCTATTTAACTTTTATATTTTACCAAACTAACTGAGTCATATCAACGACATTATATCAGCATTAGTGTTACAAGCTCAGTCAAGACTGTGTGACACAGTTTAGCTTAAGGCACCTTCAGGGAATCCCCGTCTTCAGTGCTACAAACGATGGACGCTGTATTCTGCCCACATATTAGGCTACACTGAAATATCGAAAAACGACAGCCTTTATCATTTGACATTATATTAACGTCTTGCCAGTGTAACATTTCTCTTCTATTTCATTTTAATGACCCAGTTTGCATTTACTTCTGTTATCAATTATTTTTTTCCAGGAAGTAACGCGCCCTCAAACTGCTGCTTGCTCTCTTGGCAGATTTTAAACTCTTTAAGTGACTGTTCATTCAACACGAACAGAAGACAACCACTACACTACACTATGAGCTTTGCACTAATAATACAGCCCTGCAGAAAAATTAAACATTTAATTTGAATGGCTAAATGTGGCAAATAATTTTGACAATTGTTGAGAAGTTTTACAGTACTTGAGCCTTTCCTTGTAAAAACTCCAAAACTTTACACTTAAAAAAATAAATAAATAAATAATAATAATATCCACTTTTTTAGGTTTTTCTGCCACAGAACAGACACAAATCTAAACCATACATTTTAAGTTGTGTGTATGCATTTATTTATTTATTCAATCAATCATTTATTTAAAAAAATATCAAAAACATAATCTTCTGCATATACATGTGCCAGATAATGTTAATAACTTAAAACATAATATCAATTAAAGTTGTAGCCTGGCTCATATAGCTTGAAGTAACTGATGACAAACTGATTCATGACAGTGCCACCATTTCTGAGCAACATATTTTATCTTAAACTAAGTATTTTAAAAGCAGGCAATCAAAATAGAACAAATAAAAAGCAAAACAGTGCAATAAGTCAACCAAACATATTTAACATAAACAAAACAAACACATAGTTTAAAAGTCCATAAAATTCAGCAAAGTTAATGTGAAATATCTGAAAACCCCAAGGAGCGAGGAGTTTCAATTGAGAAAGCAAAAGTGAGAGGAAAAACTCAGTTAACTCATGTGTTTACCAACACACACCTCTCTACCATTTTACCTCAACTGTTTGAGCTGTTGCAACGAGGATACTGGTTTATTTGGGCCTTTTGTTACTCAAAGTGCTAGACTGAAGCTGCAGAGTTTTACCAACTTTCATTTAAATATTTGTCAATTTTTGCAGCATTTCTTGTTGCTACTGAAAGCTACAGACTAAACTCTGCAACAAAAAAGGCAAAAACTATATTTAAGCGCTTTAGCAGGATCAGAAAATCAGGGTCACTCCTGTAAAATCACATCCTCTCATCTATCACATGGTATCCAGTTATATTGGAGGGCCACTTGTAGCAAAAACCCCCGCCTCAATATAAATCTGATCACCATAACTTCGTCAGTTCTGCATAATGTCCAGCACTAGATCCAGCACTCTTCAGCCCGAGGCCAGGATAGAGAGGCTGAGTGAACGTGTTGTGGACTGTGTGGAGCAGAGTCATCGTGTCAGAGATGCTGTAAAAAGACAGAGTACCTGCTTTATAATCCAGGAACACTCCGATCCTGGAGGAGTTAGGGCCTGACACCAACTCAATTTTTGTGTTGTGTCGGAAAACATAACAGCCTAGTGAACACACTAAACTCCATGACTTGTTGTTCTTTCCAAACTCGGACTCATATGTTCTGCTGATGTCTTTGTACGACACTGCCACTGACCAAGTGCCACCGCTCCAACTGACCTCCCAGTAGCATCGCTCTGACAATCCCTCTCTGCACAACACCTGCGTGACATTTGTAAACCTGTCTGGGTGAGCAGAATAATATTTCTCATAGTGTTCACGAGTCACCCGCCTGTTTTTTTGTGAAAGGGACAAGTATCTGTAGACTGAGTTCTGATCCAGTGTTAAAGGACGGCAATCTGATGGAAGAGCAAAGGTAATATTAACATTAACCTTGTGATATCCAGTTCATTATCAATGCATCAGTGTATTGTGAAACTGCAGAGGATTAAATCTTTTACTCAGAGTAAAAACTCATTTCTCTTCTTTGGCACAGGCGGCAGTACAACATCTGCAGCACCCACTAACAAAAAGGAAAACGACAAACCTAAATATCATCGGACCTGAATAAAAACACCATGTAACTGCTTTTATGTTTCTGTCAGGTACCTGTGGCAGAGATCACAGGCCATGTGTCCTTCAGGAGCTTCTCCATGTTTTCTCTCAGCTCAGACACGCGGTCAGTCACAGCTCCGATCGAACGTTGAGGAAGAACAACAGCTCCAGCTGGCAAATCTGGAGATTCACAGGAGGTGGAGAGAGACTGGAAAGTCTGAAGGAAGTTCAGTAAGTCAGACACCAGAGGAAAGACAAAAAAATCAATCTAGATATTCCAGTACAGTCATCATACATTGTAATGTCAAAATGTGGCCAGCAGATGTCACTTTAGGGCAATGCATCAAGCCATGTGTGCCAGCCAGAAAAATTAGTTTCACAGTTACAGATGGAGGAGCAGCAACAATTACTCAGCCATGTGGAACCGACATAAGTAAATAAAAAGTATACAATGTAAAAAAAAAAAAAATAAATAAACAAACAAAAAAAACATGAAGTTGCTCTCCACCACACTGACAGCGTCTGGTACCTGAATGAAATGAATGTCGTCGTCTGTATGAGAAAGCTCCTCCAGGTCGGCGTCTCTCCTCTTCAGCTTGGTGACCTCCTCCTCGAGCTGCAGCTGCAGCTCTTCAGCCTGAGCCACTGCAGTCTTCTCCTGGAATTTGATTAGCATCGTCATCAAAATGCGTCTTTTCTTTATGGAGGAGATCAGCTCATCAAAGATCTTATCACAGGACTTCACTGTAGTCTGGGTACAACTCTGTTTAAACAAAGAAAAAACAACAAGATTTCTTTTAAAATATGCTCTCTGTGTGGCAAAGTCCTTGGCAGCTAGTCTTCCTGGAGTATGACAAGTTACAAGAGTTACCTAGCTGAAATATGCACCTCTGCTAGTCAGTAGCCTCTCAGACAGAAAGCCAGTGGCCCAACACAAAAATCTAGATCCTGTACATGTAACTTATTTCCCCTTTTAAACAGATTCAGTGACACGACAAACTGAATCAACAAGTACACATATACAGTATATATACACATACATACTGTACTATATACTGTACATACATATATACTGTACTGGTCAAAAGTTTGGACACACTTTCCCATTCAAGTGATAACAAGGAAGATGGTGAGAAATACATTCAAGTGAATGGCAAAGTGTGTTCAAACCTTTGACTGGTACTGTATATACAAATTATGCATACATACTGTGCATGACCCTCTGTAACTACGACTGAAAGATTATTTAATAAAACGGGTGAGGTTTTAATGTTGTGAGGGATCGATGTGCACAGATTCCACACCTTGAAATGGTTCACAGCTCGACTCAGCTCATTCAGCTCCTTTTCTCTCTCCTTTTCTCTCTTCTGGACTCTCTTTAGTCTCACAATCAGCATTTCCTATAAGAAATTGTTAGTGGAACATTGTGTTAACATATCACTACTTGTAATAAAAACTAGAAAAAGATGTTTAACTGCAGGCCTTGGTCTACAGTTTTTGTTCAAGAGTCATGCTGCATTTTTTGTTTCTACCTGTTCCGTAGCCCTCTCTGCTGTTGCTGAGATGATCCTGTGGCACTTATGTTCATCTATAGTGCACAGATAGCAGATGCACCTCTTGTCCGTCTTACAGTAGGCCTCCATCAGCTTGTTGTGCTTGGTACACATCTTGTCCTGCAGTGGGATCGTAGCCGAGACCAGCTGGTGCGTCTTCAGCACAGGAACGGTGTAGTGAGGCTGGAGGTGAGCTGGACAGTAAGACGCCAAGCACGTCAGGCAGGACATGGTGGCTTTCTTAGGTTTGGTCCCACAGCAGAAATCACAGGCAACATCTGCTGGACCTGCACAGGCCAGAGCAGCAGAGGGAGAAGCCTGCTGGGTGCTCGTCATCTTCAGCTTCTCCACAACCTGGGGATGATAAAAAAAAAAAAAGAGAAGGCGGTGAGAAATACTGTAGGTGACATGACTTGCAGGACTTGGTGACATTAATTAGCCATTTTCATAGGATGTGGGGTAACAGGTATGCACATAAAAATGCTATATTGCTTGATATACTTTTATTAAATGTTACAAAGTGCCAATGTCCTCTCTGTTTTACCTTCAAAATAGACACAGATTTTAGACATATTTTACCCGTGGCAGAAAATCGTGCATTATAGGATTATATTTTTTGCCTCAGTATCTCAATGATTAATGAATTCCTGTCTTATAGGAGTTGCAAGAACTAAAAGGATAAACATGTTTTCAGGATGCTCACTGGAAAAGAGGGCATTTGACATGGGTATTGCATCTCTGGTATGTACCGATATGCATGCTGAAACATGTCCACACAGTTAAATCATCAGTATATGCCCTTACATGTCATCAAGAAAGCACCAAGCATGCAACCAATTCAGTCCTGAGGTTATATGGTTTAAGGATAATAGTTTTCAGTTATCTAAATTGTACACAAGGTATTAGATTAGCACCACATCAAGTATATATGTAGACCTATATAAGTAGAGACAAGAGGGGACCCTGCTTCTTCAATGTGGATGTTTCTTTTCCTAGAGGTAAAACAATGCCTTTAACTATGTATTTATCTATGAAGGGAACATGGAAGGACACTGGAACTTCATACACTAAATGACCATACATAAAGCCACTTCCACATTCCTTCTAGCTACCCTACATATATGGTCCTATGAAAATGACTGAAAGATGCTTCCACACCTTATTTTATTTTTAATATCTTCATGTTGTTCATTAGACCTTAAATATTGGCTCAAAAATCAATTAAAGATTGTATTTAAAAAGGAAATGATTGATATCATATAGGTGCAAATAAATGGGTTTCTTAATAGCACTCTTGTTTAGGAATTTCAAATCTATGTTTTCAAATCTAGGTCTGTTCAGAAAATACACAGTACCAACTTCTCATGGTTCAGGTAAACTGATACTGATGTTTGTCTCTCCGACAAAGTTTGATGAGAATAGGAAAAATACAAAAACCAACATGGCTTCTCAGAGATGGTGTTTTTGAAACTGTAGAAATAAAAAAACATATCTGAATTGAACAAAAATATTTTAAAAAGGCCTTAGTTTTGGGTACGCAAACTTATACAGACAAACAAACCACTTTCCTTGACTACATCTTATTGATCCATCAGTCATCACGTGCGTGCTGTGTCAACCACAATTTCCAAACCCGTTTACTGATGTCTTTCCCATTGATTTCCATAGTCACTGTTCCTATAGTGAAACACTGTAGCCAGTTGAATGATCTTTCTGACTGAAGCTGCCATCTTTAGACCACTTGCAGTGCACCTGCGTGGAAGCATCTGCATTATTCATTTTTCTCCACTCATTCAGGTTTTTGAATTAATTTGTCTGCAGTAAGTGAGTTACAACTCTTGCTAGAAAAATGCCCATATGTGTTACTTACAATGTTGTGCGTGTTACCAGATTACATAACACATGCTTTGAAGAACCCAAAAGCCATGATGACCTCCTCTTTTCTATCACCAATATAATCACAATTTCTAACCAGCTATAAGTGATATGTTTCAGTGGTGTCAGGGATTGTATTGATTACTTGAATAATATAGTTTCCTTCAACAAACTCCATATATATTTAGCTCTTGATGGCCTGCAGTGAGAAATCAACTGTGGCTCAAAAACTCTCCAACCATCACCCCTACCTCAGCCAGCATGTTGTTCCTCCGCAGAGCAGGCCTTGGATTGAAGGTCTCCCTGCACTGAGGGCAGCTGTACTTTCCCCTTTCCTCCTCATGGTCCCAGCATCCCTCAATACAGCTTGTGCAGTAACTGTGTCCACAGTGGATGGTGACTGGCTCTTTCAGCAGGTCCAGACATACTGCACAGCAAAACTGACTGTGGTCCAACTCCACGGCATGCTCCTTCTGCTGTTCAGCCATTCTGTTGAATTTCACACGTGCAGAGAAGAACGCTCATTTAATCAAACGCGTGACGGTCATTCAAGCAAGGGAGGGCACGAGCCCCACCAGATTTTAAACATCTGGATTTTTTAATGTTTTTTATTTTATTTTATATTATATTATATTGCTATTATGTTTCATAATATCTGGTTATGAATATTTTTATTAAACAATTAGACAAATATATTCTTCTACTTATGTCATAGATTATACCTCAAAAGTCTCACCCCCCCCTTTCCCTATTGGTTTCTTCCAAAAGTTACTGGATGAAACCGGCAGGTACCCTAGGCAGGTACCCTGTACACCTGCGACAGCAGCAGGTAGGCAAGTATGTCGCACTCTATTGCGCACTAATGTCGGCCCTGTAGGNGTAAGTGAGTTACAACTCTTGCTAGAAAAATGCCCATATGTGTTACTCCTTCATCCCACAGAAATCTCCCCTTACAATGTTGTACATGTTACCAGATTACATAACACATGCTTTGAAGAACCCAAAAGCCATGATGACCTCCTCTTTTCTATCACCAATATAATCACAATTTCTAACCAGCTATAAGTGATATGTTTCAGTGGTGTCAGGGATTGTATTGATTACTTGAATAATATAGTTTCCTTCAACAAACTCCATATATATTTAGCTCTTGATGGCCTGCAGTGAGAAATCAACTGTGGCTCAAAAACTCTCCAACCATCACCCCTACCTCAGCCAGCATGTTGTTCCTCCGCAGAGCAGGCCTTGGATTGAAGGTCTCCCTGCACTGAGGGCAGCTGTACTTTCCCCTTTCCTCCTCATGGTCCCAGCATCCCTCAATACAGCTTGTGCAGTAACTGTGTCCACAGTGGATGGTGACTGGCTCTTTCAGCAGGTCCAGACATACTGCACAGCAAAACTGACTGTGGTCCAACTCCACGGCATGCTCCTTCTGCTGTTCAGCCATTCTGTTGAATTTCACACGTGCAGAGAAGAACGCTCATTTAATCAAACGCGTGACGGTCATTCAAGCAAGGGAGGGCACGAGCCCCACCAGATTTTAAACATCTGGATTTTTTAATGTTTTTTATTTTATTTTATATTATATTATATTGCTATTATGTTTCATAATATCTGGTTATGAATATTTTTATTAAACAATTAGACAAATATATTCTTCTACTTATGTCATAGATTATACCTCAAAAGTCTCACCCCCCCCTTTCCCTATTGGTTTCTTCCAAAAGTTACTGGATGAAACCGGCAGGTACCCTAGGCAGGTACCCTGTACACCTGCGACAGCAGCAGGTAGGCAAGTATGTCGCACTCTATTGCGCACTAATGTCGGCCCTGTAGGCCAACGGTGTATCGCTGCCGTGATTCAATTCCCTTTTCAAACGTGTGAAAATACACACTTAATTGAATTTGAAAAAGATAAGCATAGTTTCCTTTGCAAGATAGTTGGCTAGTTGCTAAAGTTAGCATCTTTCAGTCCGGTTGTTTAGCCTTCTGGCTCGCTAGCTAGTTGACTCCTGACTTGTGACAGCCATTGCAGAGGAAGCAGACATGGACCCAGGAAGCGATTCCTTTTGGAGACTTGCAGAGAAGACCTGAAGGTAGGCCTGAAAATGTTACACTTTATTGCTACTATTATTCCTATGCATTGTGTTTGAAAATACAGATATTACCATGTCGGCAGGTTCCCTTCGTCTGTGGCTTGAATATCTATGTTCTCTAAATTGATTTGCATTGTGGATATTGTGTTTTTACGTGAATTTATGCCCCTTAATATTTTTGGGAATCAGAGAAGGTTTAGCTCTTTTCAAGGCAAAGTGGCAGCAGTGTGCAAGTTAGGCAAGAAGTGAGTGAAGCCTACACAAGCAGTTGCACTGTGCAGCTACTGGCAAGTCGCAACTAGTGTTATAGAGTGGCGAAGAATTGATTTACGGTAAATAGTGTAACATAAAACGTAAGCAATGTGACAATATGTTATGTCCCACCAGACAAAAGGTGGCACCAGCGTTAGGACAACTGGTGTAGAAATTGTGGTAATCATGTATCTGTTTATGTCTTACAAAGGGTTTAACTTGAGCCATGTCATGCAACAATGACAGCACTCATATCACTTCCATACATGGTTAATAGTAAACAGCAGCAGTGTACAGTTAAAATAATTTTTCAGACCCTTTACTTGGTAAATGCTGATACACAAGTTCAGGTTTCTGAATAGGTACTGGGAAGATAAAAATAATCTGGAACCAAAAAACAGCACAAATAATTGACATTAAAAACTAAATAAATATATAGTGTTTACTCTTATATGAAATGGAAGGTTATTGAGCTACAACTGATTTAGTGAAGTTTTAAATTGAACATACTATGCAAAATACTTTTTTCTATGTATTTTCCACATTAATATATGTCTTAGGTGTGTCTACAGACACTCCAAAATCATAGTTTCAGTTTCAGTAAAAGTGTGTGCCATAACACAGATGTTGCTGAGTCGGACCTCCCCCAGCCCTTCACCTCGCTGACGGTCCGTTCCCACAGAGAAGTTACTGAAATTTCCTACCTGTTCGTCATTTTTGTTTTTCACTCGATTGCCGAATCCGGTAACAAAAACATGTTGAGGACAAGAAGCAGACACGCATATTGTTCTCTGGGGTTGTAGAATTTATTGTAACATTACCAAACAGACACTGGAAAACCCTTTAAATCACACAACTGTTTAATTGTTAAGTAATTTATGACACAAGCAATACGTTAAATAAAAAACAAAGATATCAATCAACAGTATCTTTCAGCAACTCAAAGTTGTGTACAGTGTAAAATAAAAAGTTAAGTCATCAGGTGTTTTAATCTTTCAAAAATACCATTACAATATCATAAGACATGTCTTTCATATTTCCAAGCTAGAATTTCTTTTTTGATTGATTGATTGATTGATTGATTGATTACCCTATTTATTCATTAACTTATGGAATTGTAGAAAAGTTTAAAAAAAAAAAAAAAAAAAGTCTTATCATTACTGTAATTGGAGATGACACAGCAAAGAGAAGAAAATACAACAACAAAAGACACAACACACAGATGTTTACTTGTTGAAACAAATAACAATATTCAGCATCTCAGAGCTATGGGAAGTTCATATACATATCTTATCTATCTTTAAAATAAGTATTCATTGTTGCCTATAGTTGGTCTCAACATGATTAAATTTAACATCAACATCAATGCTGCCCAACGTTTTGCATCTTCTTATTGTCTGTGCTTTATTTACTGTTTTGATCTGATGCAGCCCCTGCCCTGAAACCTGATCTGGCAGAGTCCCACATAGCCCTTGCCGCTCTCTGCACAGCTTCTGTTGGATTTTCTGCTCCTTCCGCTGCATCATATCCTATCTGACTGCCCCTTACTCCCCCTCTTAGAGCGGCCGATGCAAGTGTTGTTCTTGCTGTTGATGCTAGAGCTGTAGAATTTGAAGGCACCTGTAAATTTACAACCATTGTTGTAACCATCTCTGCAACACCAAAAAGAGCTCCTAACAATACACCTGTTGCTAGACCTGTTAAACTGATCAAAATGTTTTCAGATACATTCATTATCGCTCTATTTCTAATCTCTTCCAGTGACATATTCCCTGATGACTGTCTAATTTGCTCTTGCTCTCTTTGTATGTCTCTTTTCACTTCTTGTAGCATCTCATTGGTGTAACAACTTCCTTTGTTTGCCTCATTTATCTTGTCTATTGTGTTGAGTATCTGCGCCACCTGGAACTGGTTATTTCTATAGATGTCATCTTTGTTGTCCCTCCAGTATTTATTATCAACAACATGGCAACGGCCTCCGCACTTCCTCACCAGATCGCCCAGTCCTTCATTCTGAGTGACAAACTCCTCAATCTTCATTCCTTCATGGAGTTGGTCGCCATGAGTGAAGACAACTGCAGCATATTTCAGAGCGTCTTCAGAGAAATGTTGGCATATTTTCTTGATGACTTCCTTCTCCTGCTGTGTGAATTTCTCCACTTTAAGCACAATGAGAAATGCATGAGGCCCTGGAGCGCACTCTGTGATACACCTCAGTATCTCAGCCTTGAGTGAATTCTCAGATTCTATCTCAGATGTGTCAAAAAAACTCTGAGTGTCGATCAAAGTGATGCTTTTCCCATTGACGTATTTGGTTTCTGAATGAGTAAGACTTATTTCTGATGTGGGAGAATGGCTTATCTTGAACACATCCTCTCCCAATATGGTGTTGGCCAGGCTGCTCTTCCCAGCTCCAGTTTTTCCCAGCAGGACAATCCTCCTAGTCAGCACTAGAAGAAAACAATGACTCTGCATCAGTGAGCTACATTTCACTTTTACTTGTTCTAGTAGCTTGTTCTTTTGGACTTTGCATACAGAGTTGCAACAAACACCTTTTAAATGGATTATCCTGCAAATTATTTTCATATTTAACCAATTAACCATTCGTATATCAGAAAAAGGTGAAAAAGAATGAAAGTTTAAATTGTTATTACTGCATATTAGTTGTCGTATAGCAGCAAACTCAATCATAATTATCATCAACCAAATATATATCCAAATAATTAAGGCGTTGTTAAAATGTCATTATTTTAACAAAACCTTGATAACAGCCATTTGAATCTGAATTTAAATATCTGTTTCTTTCTTTTAAGGTTCTGTGTGTGGAGGAATAATAACTCATTGACGCTGATGTGAAATAAGCTCAACTCACCGTCCATGTTGCGATAAAATCACCCGGAGCAGGCCTTGCTGCGTGTGTTTTTCCTCTGGCTCTCTTGCTGTGATTTGACTATACTTTCGTTTTCTACCAGTTTGAGGCGTTGGTTGGGCCGTGCCTGAACAATGGAACAATGTGTCACATCAGAGTGCCTGATACAGGTGTCAAGATAGTCAAATTTGTTCCACACAAATCTTTGGTTCTTTAAAGTATAAGCAAAAAACAAATCATGCATAAAAAATAACATATAGTCAAATTCATG